TTTCCTACCTTTGTTTCTGTTTTTTGCGTCGTGCTTACAGGAAGCGAGAGCAGCGTCAGTGGTGGGGGAATCTTGGCGGTGGGAAATGCGCGGACGTGACGCATTTTCGTCGTTCAAGCGGTTCAGTCATATACTGAATGGAGTAATTTTAATTTAGTAAATAGTATAGTATAGATATGAAATATTAGACGAGTGCAGTAGAGCGAAAATATAATAAGTTCTGCTGTGTTATTGGATTAGGGCTACTCGGGGACACCACTAAAAAAAAAAACGCGCTTCGTACAATACCTCATGTTTTGAAATTACGTCAATTAATAATAATTATAGTACCGCCAAGAATAGACTTAAAAAAAAAAATAATGATAATATTATAACTTTTATTACCAAAAAATATGATACTTAAATAATTGCGTAAACAGGGACATTATTCATCTTTTAAGAGTTAACTGTCTGCATTAAAAATAATATAAGTACAGTTGAATTTTGATAATGTTCAAAGTTTGAACGACTTTGCATTGCCTAGATTTGAGTGGAAAATACCATACGAATTGTCGCGTGTTGACGGCTGGTATTGTATATATAATTGGTATATAATTGTATTCGAGTTACGCGTAGAGTTTTTAGTTTTTCATTCGAATTATTCTCAAAAGATCGAACTACCGAAAGTTTTGAATAATCGAAAGTCGATTGTGCATACTAATTAATCTCTGAATCTGCATGATAGTAAGTATTGATTATCAAATTAAATGTTATCCAGGGTCTAATTATTACTAGAAAACTTAGCATTTTATTAAAATTTATTAAAAAGTGCATGGTACTGTGAACAAAATTCAAAATATTAAATCATGATTGTAATAATCTTTTCAGTTTTTCCTGCATTTTCCTCAGTTATTAAGAAAACTAAGAAATACAAGATATATTTAAAAATTACCTACTAAAATCAAAATGCTACAAAAAAACAAATTTATAATTTTTTCGTTTTTTGATTAGAGCAAGATTTCTGATAGAAAATTTGTTTACAAACACAAAAAAACATTTATTCAAATCAATAATATATTCGCCATAACTGCGTTGAGAGTACAAATAAAGTTTATCCTTTTGAAGTTTTGAATTATAAAATATTTTCATTTTCTACTTTATATGATTGTTCAAACATTTCCTAGCATTAGCTGAAATTAACAATAGTATATCACATTTAAAAGATTTATAAATTACTTTTAAATAAATTTAAATGTATTTTTGAGTTAATAAAATTTCCGAAAATGTCGGGAAAATTGCCTTTACGCATTTCTCCATTTACCGGATTGTATCACGTATAATATACATAGGTATTGATGATATATAAGTCATTGGACAACTAATCGGATTGAATTTTAAATGGATATAGGTATTCAAAACAAGTTTTCGTTTTGTAACTTGACCCGAACACGTGTAAAGAATTTGAACTCTGGTAATGAGTTTGTTATTGGAATTTAAAATGTAGATACATCATCATAATATTTCAGTGTGAACAATTTTACCGATTAATAATTAGATGTAGTATATTATAGTGTATTACACCCGATAAAAACAGAACAATATACACAGTGTCGACGATGGGAATGAATATGATGTGCATATTATGTCAACATGTTGTTGTCGCCTTCCTGGTTTTAATACGATGCGCAAGGTGTTCGACGAATATTATTATTCGTCGTAGAGTGCAATTTTGTAAAATATTTTTTTGGCAACGAAACATCCGCCGACGGCGAGAAATTTGTTTGTTTTTATTTCATCCGGTGCCAATGTTGCACATATTATTGTCAATCAAGGTGAAACGACGTCAAGTGACAACCATGCCGGTGTCCCTGTGCGTCATTGTACAGCTATATGGGTACACACCACTGTCATTTTAATCATATATGTTAATTACCTTGAGTAATTACTGGGTTTACTTTAGATTTTATTATTATTGTTTTTTAATTACTGCGCCGGGTTGCCGGAAAAAAAAAATAATATAAAAAAAACATGTTCAACACTTTGGGTAAAACTATGCTACGCGTTACTGACGGAAAATACTTAACGAAACAATTGAAATGCATAGAAACGTATATCGTGTATTGTATGTATTGTATTCCGCGATGCAACACGCGTATGCTTATTCGATATTCAATTTACAGCTGTTTGACGTATGTACGTATAACATAATAACCTGCAACACAGAAACATATTATTATAACATACATAATTTTACAATGCAATTATGTACTTAATTTTTGAGTTATAATAACATTTTTATTTTTGAACCGATAGGTGCCTTTATACTTTACCTAACTTGTTATACAAGAATACTGTAAAACTAAAAAAAAATGTTAACGCAATTATTGAAATAGTCAGTAGGTATATATTATATTCTTTACATTTTACAATTTATTCCGCTCCATTTGGTTCGTTTTAAGTAATAAAACATTAAAAAAAATTATATAGTGTAGTCGTTTCGGGGCCACAGCAACCGTTTAAATAATTTATGAGTATTATGAAACATGCAATAATATTAAATTGATTGTATTTGAGAAATATTTACTTCACACAATTTATAATAATTATTCGATTTAAATTCTAAGCGTACCTCCTCGGCGGTGTCGCTGGTTTACAATGACGATTAATGGGTTTTTTTTATTCGCTTCTTTCTTAAACGTTGTAAACAACAAGGTTCGAAAAAAATTAATACTTTCCGAGATAATGCTAGTGTCTCTAAGTTATGTTGATCACCCTGTATGCCAATTAAAACCGATTTTACGACTCTATCGTTGTCAAACTGTAAGCCAAGAAAAATGTTCTAGTATCGTATGTCCCCCGTCCTAATCTCCGATGTACGGTAATACATAGGTGCATTTAATTATTCCGGAAAATTATATAGACTGCAATTATATCAATAGATCCATGGTGTTTTGTTAAAAAGACATACATCACTAAAAATCGAAAAATACCTTTTCGGTATCAAAAAAAATTTAGAAAAATTTGGAGCATAAACTGGTAAAAGGGCGTACTTAAATACAGAAAATTAAGTTGGTGATGTTGACTAAATTATATCCAGGAGCCCCTTTAAAAATATAATTAAATCAACACCGATTTGTTAAAAGGGCGTATACCACGTTCAATGCATGCATACTTTATCTACAAGGTTGATTACAAGGAGTAATTTTATTGTTTTCCATGATAAACATCATTAAAAACTGTTTTACTATTTTTTTTGTTTCCTGAAAAAAAGTGAAATTTCATAGACGTTTTAACAAAACACTATCGATTTATAATATGTATATAATTATATTATTGCATTTCATGATTTTCAATTTCCAATTCGATATGAATACGTCGTTTTATTTAGGCTGTTTCGTGTGTATTTTGAATATTGTTTCCATTATACACAATGAACGGAACGTGTCAAAAATTGGTTCTCAAATTTTTTCGGCCCTTAGAATATAATTCGTGTTTTTCGGAGCCCAAATTCTTATACTCAACCACAATTTGACAGTTATATTATCTGAAAAGACATAAGGCCATAATAAAAGCCAAATCGGTATGGTTTGTGCGGAACCTCTGTGATTGTTCCGTCGAACACATTTTAAGGATTGCTGATATAGTTTTATATCTAGTTATTTTCAGTATAATAATAATCATTCCAGTGACTATCCTATGAAGAAACACTTCAAAAACCATAAAATATCCCCTGCAACTTTATAAGAAAGCGCGTCGAATAGTGAACATTTCTTAGAGTTTTGCACCGTTCGCGGATTTAAAATGTAAAAGAATAATACGTTTTTTACGTCATTTATTTATCAAAGTTAAAATATAAAAATCCGTGTATAACGTTGTAATCATAATTATTGCACGGTACAGTTTTTGCGGATTTTCGTTTGACGTACCCTCGTATCCAGATACGAAATCAAATGAGAGTAATGTAGAAGCAATGCAAATTCTTAAATAAAATAGAAATTATTATAACATAGTATCAGTATGAAATGCTGTCGAGGAGATCCAAAACGGGGTATTAGATGTAAATTATAAGACCCACATTGACATACGTATGTGAAGCTTGAATGACAACGATAGTAACGGAGAGGAGGTTAAGAACATTTGAAAATAATTTATCGTGGAAAATCGGCGGCCCTGTGCTATTATGGGAAGATGGCGAAGAAGATACAATAAGGAACTGCAGGAAATGATGGGCTTGGGACCGGTAACTAATTTTATCAAACGTTAAAGAATACAATGGCTAGGTTAGGTTAGGTCACGCATATCCTAAGAAGAGAAGGAAATGATACTTTAAGGGCTGTTTTTGAATGGAAACCCCGAGGCCTCAACGACCCCGGGAATACCCCAGAAACAGGTGGATTAACGGAGTAAGAGAAAATTTGAACGCAATGGGTATAGATATTTGAAGACTGATATGATTTTGCGCAAGACAGAGAAAAGTGGAGTCAATATTGTAGTGACGACTAAAACTATTAAATAGTATTATGGTCAGCATATGAAGAGACAAGAAGATAAGGTATCAGTATGGGAGGTACGTAAAAGTTATTCAATGATAAAACTGCGTCTTGATCGTTTATATCAGAAGTTTTCGAACTTTTTTTTTTGCGCGTATCACTTATTGCCGAAAATGTAACTATTCATAATATCTATATATTTATTTCAAAGCGATAAGATACTATACTATACTAACTTCAAACTGTCCTATACTCTTATAGGACAGTTTGAAATAATACAATATAATTAATATAAAAACAATAATAGATCCGTTAAAAAAAATGCGCACAAATATTCGTATTAATTAATTTTCCGCATTCTGTTACCACGCGGCCTATCCACCGTGTTGCCTATCGCGTACCGTGGTTTGAGAACCGCCGGTGACGGCGCCGACAACAATTGTTAACAAACCCCGTTAATAAAATATTAATTTTTGATGGCTTTCCGCGTCTGATCCTCCCCAAAAGACTGCCGTCCGCCGGCTCCGATCGATGACGTCGGCGTCGGAAGCAAAACGTTTGCGGAACGACTCGCCCGTAATAGAAAATACAAATAACAATAATACTATTATTGTTGTTGTATAGACGTACACATAGTTTGACGCAAAACGGATATGACATTCGGGACGAACCACGCGGATCGCTTGCGTAAACGGACTTCATACCCTTGGTACTTCGAACACGTGTCTTCCATTGTTATCCGCGTGCGATATAATTAATAAACGCTCATCGGATTGTCGAAATATCCTTCCAACAATACACCGCATTTATACATAGGGTGTTTGTTATTATCGCGTACAAGCGATTAAAATTGTTACAATAATATCTATATTCGGGAAGATTTTTGAGTGAATTTGATTTTGCAGGCGATTTTTCTCTTTCGATTTTTCGTTGCCATCTTAATTACAGAAATTCCACACGTCGACTTTTGATTTTTTTTATAGTAACACATATTTTTTTTATATACTTCGATTTGAAAAGATAATCATAGAGGCCATAAGGAATTTTTTGAAAATGTCGAAAAAATTTGCATAATTTAATTATGCAAATTTTTATCGGATAGAATACGTTATAAAATTAAAACTCTTTAATATTTAGGCGGGAGGAATACAGTAATATAAGGAATCCGTTAATAAAATTAAGATTTTTGAAAATATATCACAAAAATAAGATTCTATCAATTAAACGTCAATCTATATAATGTTTAAAAAGCGCCAAAATTGCGAGTGTACTTATTCGAAAATTTTTTTTAGTTAATCGTCGATTCGTGTTACAAGAATCACTCTGTATATTCTTAGTAACTCGTCGTATTTATATAGCTTATAGTGTTTATAATTGATATTATAACGTCGTTTACTGACGGTTACGGGGTGACGTTAGCAATAATAATTAATATCCGATTAAAAAAAACAAATACAAATTGTTGTCGCACATGCCACCCACCCAAGCAGATTTTGGTTCGGATTTCAAGGGGAGCAAAACAAAATAGACGTTCCATTTTATCGAGGTCGAGTATTGTTCAATTTATTAGTATTACGGCAGATTTTTTAATACAATTTTTCGTTTTCCGACCAATAATAATTATTAAGTATTGACGATTCAAAATTATATACGCCAGTCGATAATTTAGTATGCAATGTAATAATTTATTCTAATAATGCATTTTGTTGGATTGAATACACCTTCGATGTTATTGATATCGACAAAAAATGAATACACAATAATTATTGCATTTCCGTATTTTATATTATTACTTATTTATTACTGACTCAGTGAAATATTTGTTATAATTAATTTCAGGGGATTGCGGCTTCGGTGTACATTTTAGTTGATTTAGACATAATTTAGACTAGACCAAACTGTGGAAATTGTGTTTGACGAATATAAATTTTGAAAACATATTATGATTCTCTAGATTCTTTATTAAGATATGTTGGAAATTGAAATTGAACTATTTGACTAGAAATTATAAAACAATTTGATTGCAATTATTAACAATTTAAAAAATGTATTTCAAATATTTTGCTTTTCGTCAATGATGGAGAAAATTAAAATTCAAAAAATAATTCCAACGTATCCCAATCAAAAACTTATTAAAGAATCATAAATATAATTTGTCAATATTTTAAAACTGTCAAACGCAATTCCTGCAATTATTTATCATATTTTAATAGACGTTTCGTCTGACATTTCAGCCTACAACATTACTTGGTCGTCTTATCAGTCTGTAAAAACGAGTATCGGACAGTAGATTAGTGGAAAAGTCTTATCGTTAAGGAGGTCATTAAAATTTAAAAAAAATTTTACAAAATTGGAGACAATTTGGAAAAACGTTAACCGATCTTCTTAAAAGCAATAACGGTTATAAATTAATTAATTAATTAATCACTATATTATATTATAGGTGTTGGGTACAATAATAGGCACATATAGAGGCTTTTAATAAACAAATCGAACTATCTTAAATTTCAAGTATTTCCAACTTCTCAGCTACGACGGTGGCCTACGAGTAATACGAAGTATGCCAACCATTATTACATTTTAATTCGTTTTAACTTTATAAAGTCAATCCAATTGATTGTTACTGAAAAGTCAATTTCGAAATTTCACCAGTATCATAATATAATATCCAATTAGTATAATATTTTTTTTTTCTTATTATTATTTTTTTTTTTAACATTTAAAACAATGAGTTCTAATGAGTTTTTGATTCATATCAATGAATCTAAAGCTATTGTTCTTACGCTGAGGTCCGGATTTTTTTTTATCATTTTTTTTTTCTTTTAGTATCACGGGACATATTATGCCTTTGAATGTTTTCTAATCGAATACAATATATTATATATTATTTCGTATTACTTCGGCTCCTTATTTGAAACCTTTTTTTAATTTCTCCAATACTGATGGAAATAATATTCGTAGTGATAATAATAAAACAAACTTTGACTCACGAACATATTCCATTGCGTTTATTCATTCAGAATATTTATCAAACAGAATTTTTTTGGTTAAAATAATATAAAAACCATTATTATTATTTTTTTTTTTTTAACGACGTGCAAAGACGTTATTTCTTCGACATTAAAATCTGTATACTGTATATTTTATGACTTGGTTAACTACAGTAGGTATAAGATTCCTATTAAAAGATATATAAAATAGATAATTCTTTTAGTGATTTTTTTTTTTTTTTTTAGTTTAATTTAGAAAATAAAGTTTACTTACAATAAATTTACTATACACATTTGTGTTAAGGACAATGATATTCCAAAAAAAATATCTGCTAACGTATAAAAATCTTTTATTAATTCATACAATTCCTAAGATGACATCAGCTTTAACACTACCATATTCAAACTTGGTTTTTTTTATCGATGGTATTTAAGGTTTTATGAACAACTGGTCGTTAACTATATATTAACATATAGGTATGATCAGAAATGTTTATTTCTAGAATATTTTGGCGATTAACAATAAAACAAATATAATTTAAAAAAATTAAAAAAGCCGGAAATTTCGCACGCGGGTTGGCCACTATTGTAAATGAGAAGTTGGAAAGGTAGTAGAGGAGAAATTTAATGTATGTCTGTAAGCAATGCTAACAAGAAACGATTCTGAGCGGAGTTCAGTTGATAGTGTTGCTTTATCAACAATAATTATGTCATATTATGGTAAAATAATTGCATAGGCATCATATATTTTCTTTAATATTATGTGTTTAATATTGTACTTATTTTCCCATTTTTCTTGGTTTTCTCGTGTTTTTCCCTGTTTTTCAAATTTGTTGGGAAAACTCCTGAGAAAATCAAAAAATTAACCTTATTAAAGTAAATTTCTAGTCCGATTTTCTTTTAGAAAAGGTGCTACACTTGTAAATTGAAGCAAGATTTCTGGTAGAAAATTTGTCCACTGAAAAAAAACATCTTTGTAAAATCATAAGCTTCTCGTTTCATTCAGAATCTAAAAACAATAAGTATTATTTAATTTGGTTTTCACGGGCAAGACAATCCCATTTTTTAAATAGATTAATTAGAAGAAAGAATAAAATACCATGATAGTAGTGGGGGGGATAGGGGGTATTATGTGCACAGGCATTTAGTTTGTCACGGCAAGACCGTACGGGACCAGCAAGTAAATTACAATGAATCCGTTTAACTGTAGCAGTACTGTTTAACAGTAAAAAAATACTTAAGACGGAAATTTGACTGTAATAGTTCGTATAACGTATTTAAACTTCTGTAAAATGGAAATTATAATGAGTAACGGGGGAGTTTTTTTCCGGTTCAGACAGTTTTCACTGTGGCCATACTTTAATCGGATATATAATCTCACACTTTCAGTATAGGTAGTCGAATTTCGGTCAACAAAAACACATAATTATAATTATAATAGTACCATATTAGATGAACATATTAGATATCCGGCAAAACAAGCAAATGATAAAACAGCGGAAAATCAGATGCACACCGTGGATGTATATTGTATATTGTAAATGTAATATTTAATTCGTTCCACTTAATAATCCTTGGGCAATCACTATAATTATAAGCTCGTTTGTCGACTGATAAACACGATAACATTATAGTTATATAACACCAATGTCGTCGAAAAACGCAGACAACTCTTATTGCATATTTTTCGTGAAGAAAACTATAGTTTCACTCGTCAAGCATGGAATATAATATAAAATAGTAGGTATTAATAATAGTTCAAAAAAAATCGATACTTACTAAATTACGCAATCGTTGGGCTGTGTTGAAATCAAATATTTTAAAAGTCTGAAAAATCGGAAAATAAAAACCGGTAAAAATGTACACCTGTAGCGTTTAAATACAATTGATGATTTGATTTAAATTTCTTGTAGAATATTGTAAGGAAATTATCATATTTTCTATATTAATTTCTCATTTTGGATTCTGGCTATAAGCATTAAAATTATTTATTTCTTCGAATAATAATTTTTAAGTTAGTAAACAATTGCTCAGATTTCTGAATGCCCTACTCAAAAGATGCGGTTTTTTTTTTCAAAATGTTCGTATGCTTACCTTTATGGCATTTTATCGGCTATACATTATTCTACATTAATTCGATTTTTTACAAATTAGTAGACTTTTTTTAAAAACAAAATCGTGGATGATAATAGTTAACGTTTACATTTCCAGAAAACAGTTTTCTTTTTTTTATTTCCTTTATTCGCATTATTGTAGTTGATCGCATTTCATTTCCTGTTGGTCGTCATATAATACGTTGAGAATTATGTATTGTCTGAAAATTGTAACTTCCGGTGGTATTTATAACGAAGCGTATCAAATTGTTGCAAAATATTGTTATCCGCTTGAAAAAAAATAAACTAAATAATGATTATTAACTTGTAACAATACGTGACAACTTCACGGAATTCTAAATTTATTTTTTAGTCATGTTAAATTGTTCGTGAACAAGGTTATACCTATAGTTTATGGTGACACGTCAAAAAAAAAAACCGGTAAAAATATCCCAAACCAAAATAATCCTCGCAAAAAAATTCCATCACAAAATATCCCGCGTAAATATCAATTCAAAATTATATCCTAACATTTTATAAAAGTTGCTATTAAGTATGTAAAGCGATTAGAAGTAATAATAGCACAGCGATAATCGCACTTTATCTAAAGTGATTGTGTGTTATTTGTTATTTTGATAATAGTATAGTGTGTCGTTTTCATTTTCTAAGACGCGTGTCGTGAGATACAGTCTTAAAATGAGTTATTTAATTAGCACTTTTTATAATTTTAAATAATAAAATGTTAGAAATCATCCAAAGCCAAAAAGGCAACAAATTACTAATATTTGAAGTCTATTCATTCAGTGTATACCGAAAAAGCGAAAATAGAATAATTTGGCGTTGCTATGAATACAAAAGTAAAAATTGTTTAATTAAATTAATATTTTGCAATGATGGAATATTTTCATTGGGATATTTTGTCGTGGAACCCTTGTTATTAATCCTTAGGTGTTTACAAACTATAGAACCTAACATTTTTAAACAATTTAAGGTTTTTATTATTGTATACACTGTACAATAGTTTACATATATTGAGATTTACACTTAATTCGTGGCTGTAGATTGGAGATATTGACTACGACGATACGTACATAGTAGGTATATTCCATATAAACTATGGTTTAATTAAGTTCAAATATTCAATAGTTTAACATTATTTAAAAAATTGTCGATTCTATAGTTTGTAAATATCTAAGGATTAAGAATAACAATACAACAGTACTTGGTCGAAAGCCTTATTAGTAAAATCTGTATATTAATAGTGTCGACATGAGAATGTTAAGCAAATTACTCATAAAATAGAGGTTAAGATAAGATTGAAAGTGACAGTTGATCAACCCGATCGAAACCAACGGTGTTCTTAAATCAGAGAGGTATTGATTAATGACTGGATTAATCGAAGAACTGATTCAAATGTTTTCGATGCATGATAGAGATTTGAAATAGGGAAACCATTCACCACTATAGAGGGGTCACCGGTTTTTGATAATTTCTTCATCATCGGCAATTAAGAAACATGTATGCAGTCTGCACACGACTTCAGAAACGATAATATACAGTGTTAGTCAAAACAATTGCACGAATCGAATAAATAAACATTAAATAAATTAAAAATTAATTTTATTTACGTATTTCATCGAAAATTACTTTGAAAATATAATCAAATGTTTCCAAACTAACGCGCGTAAAATTTTTAAATTTACCAAGTTCTCGTAAAAAACGTAATTTAATTAAATAATTTTCCGCTCTTTTTTTATTAAAAGAAATACCCATATTGTTTTTTTATTTTCACTAAGTTGAACTTCTAACAGAAAATGTCGTAATATAGGAACAGCAATATCTTCCTCATCAGAAGACATGTTGGCGACTAATATTATTTGACTAGTTGTGCTTTTTTACTATGCGATATTTGCTGATTTAGGTATTATGACTAAAGACAACTAAAGAAAAATTACACAAATAATTGTAAACAATTATTATCGAATATTGTGTGGGGGCACGCTCCTTCTCCGAAATTTTCTTTTTATAAGTTATTTTGGTGTATTTGATAATTTAAAAAAACAGTAAGTATAAGTAATAATACAAATTATTATCGTGCATCTGACTACACTACTGTATGTTTTATGACCATAATTTACTTATAGTTACAGAGAGTCTCACTGTGTTTTTTTTATGGTAATGTCTCTGACCAGGGGGACCTGGGATCTATTATTTCTGGTCCGGTTCAATTAACCAGCCTGGACCGATTACTGACCCGTTTCCTTATCTGTTGGTTTAGGACCATCTCTGCTAATCTAGTCCTCTTTACCCGATCCGGATCGCAGATTCCGCCAGATTGTGGTTTTGAGCCTGAATCACGATCAATTCACAAGAGAAGGTCTAAGCCGGTTGGCCCCGGCCTCAACTTAGGTACTTATTATATCTATACTTGGTCGTTTGATGACTATAATTACTTATATATTTATTATACTATAGATATGGTGTATTTTATGTGTAACAATAGTATCGATGTACCGTATTAGATGTTTGTAGGAAACAATTGTTCTTTATTTTTATTTAGTTCATTTAGTTAAAGCACAAGATTACCTGCCTTTTTTTCTTAAAATAAAATCGTACATAAATGTTACAAAAAAAATGAAAAATAAAAGTGAAAAATTTCCCCTACAAAACATATACAAATCTAAACGAGCTATACGAAGTCAAATCGTTTTTCAAAACAGAAATCGGACTATTGGAATATCTGTGTTTATTTTACTCTCGCTAATTATTAGTAATTTGTGTGAAAAAACGAATTGGTTTCGACCGCCATAAGATCAATATAGTATACTATTGTATTATTATTATTGTAGGTAATTGACACTAACGTACACTGAGTATTTAAAAACAGCGAGTAAATTTAGAAGGGAGTTATAATAATGGTGTCGAGGATTTATAAGAAACTTGTTTTTTGCCAAATCTGACCCGTGAGCAAGTGCTGCGTCGTTCAATCTCGAAGAGATAGGCATATTGTATGCAACGTAAAATTAAAATAGGAAGGTCGACGCGATTAAAATGCACTTACAGTTAAATAATAGTAGGTAAGTATCTTTAACTTAATCAAAAATCGTAAATAATCCGGAGTCTTGTCTTTTTTTTTTTAATTTTAACAAAAAAACTGTTCGATTATAATACGAGTTCAATTTTAATTAAAAACCGGTCACGGTTTTTCACCGGAAAAAATTTTTTTAGATAACGGGTAGGTATACTATGTTACATAAAGAGTGTGGATTTATAACAGACTTCTTTTTTTTCTCATAGCTTTTTTTAAGATATGGCTTTCTTAAAATACAAAGCATGAGTTATAATTCAGTAACATTATGAAAACTTGTTTTCAAATTTACGTTTTACTTAACTGATCATTTTAAGCTATTTTTATCGATATTTATTTTAAATTTATTATTATTCAAGTTTTTGAATAATTCAATTTTTATACATTTTAATAAGAACATTAAAAAAGGAACTTTTTTTTTATTAATAAGTGTAACTTATGATGAACCTTGTTCAATTTTCAAATATTTTTGTTTGATCAAACAATTTCATCTACCAAATAAAACTAGGTAAAAACCTTGCAAATATAAAATATTTATAAAGGGCTCAAAAATCGCCAAAATGTTTTGAACATTTTACCACAAAGGCTAGTATAAAAACTTGTGAACATTTTAACTCTCTACGATAATTTTTAACCACTTTATACCATAAATCCAAAATCAAATGAAATGTATAAGTAAAATATAACGGTCTTTCTTTTCTGTGGACAACTTTTCTATCAGCAATTTTGTAATGAAAGCACTTTTTCTAAAGAAAATCTGACTGGAGAGGTACTTTAGGGAGGTCATATTTTGATTTTCCCAAGAGTATTCTCGATAAATGCGAAAAAAATAAGATAAACGGGAACATAGGTAATATTAATCAAATATTATTAAAGAAAATATGTAATATTTTTAATTATTTTAGCATAATAATGACATTATATATTGTTGACAAAGCAACATTATCAACCGAACTCCGCTCAGAATCGTTTTTTCGTTAGAAATGGTTAATTGCTTATAGATATGCATTAAACTACCTGTAATAATGTTTATACCCGTCTCCATTATCCTAGGAGAGGTTTTTTTTAAATTTGTAAACGCATTTATGATTGGCTTACCAAGTAATTATTATTATTGGGATTTTAAATGGTTTTTTTTTTTTATAATACATGTACGCAGAAAATCGATGATATTTTTTTAAAATAATTTAATTAATTATAACGAAAAATGTCCGTGGTAATTCCAATTTTGTCTACGTTTTTATCCTAATTATTAAAAAACTATAGAAAAAATAAAAAAATGCAGATATACATAGCGCAATAAGTAGTCCACTGTTGCAGATGAGAAGTTTAGAAGATAGGGGGGAATTTAATTTATATATGTATGTAGCGATAAATCATTGCTAAAGAAGATCCAAAATGCTACAAAAATGGTTTCTTGTTATTAACATACTAAAAAGACGACATTTTCTTTCAGAAAAAATACCACACTTAAAAATCAGACCAACATTTCTAGTAGAAAAGTTGTTTACAGACAGAAAAAAGGAACTTAACAGAATTTTTTCAGAATTTGACCAAATCAAACTGATTTCAACTTTCACGTCCGTTCGAAATTCTCAAACTCGTACTTTTAATATCGTATAAGTAGATATTAATATACGTATAGCTGATGGTACATCGAAGACGTGGCGCTGTTTTTCGCGTATTTTTATTCACAGTTACTTCATCGAACAATGTTGCTATTTTCGTTTTGTTTTTTTATATATATTATTGTATTTTGTTTATTATTTTTTACATCAATAGCGACATACGTAACTTATTCGCGTGGTTTCGATGACACACAGTTTTTTCTTCCTATATTATAGACACACAGTTATATAACACGTACCTATAGTCTGCCAACCGTTTCTGTATTAAGAATAGTTAGTTTTCTGCGATTCTGTTCTATCAAAAAAAAAAAAAAAAACCTCATATAAAAATATATATGTTATTAAAATAGCCGCTTAACGTTATCAAAATATTATTTACCTTTCTATATTGTGTACACCTATAAAATATGTTAAAACTCGATTGTTTTCGTTTGGTTACACCGTTTCTAATAAATGTACGTTATGTAAACCTCTTATATACGCCAATGTTAACGCACACTTAATTTTGTATCATTTTTTTTTCAAAAAGGAACTTTTACTAGCGGGAAAATATCGTCAAAGAGAGACGTTAGGCTCCTTGGGATCAGGGGCCTCCGAAAAGCATCTCGTTACCCAAAGGTGGAGTGATAAAAAAAGTTATGGTCTATTATATTTTTATGTCTATCTAATAAGCAATATACCTGTAAAGATGTATATTATAGATGTATAGATGTGTATTCGTAAGTACTTCCAATAGTGTTCAGGATCTAATATATTATCTTCAATTGAATAGATTCATCCAAGGAAGATGAATACATTTAATTAGTTTTAAAGTGGAATTTCTTGATGTACTCGTATTCATTATAGAATTTCAATTGAGATGAAAAATAATAAATAGTTTTGTAATGATAATAAATTCTTTGTGAAATTGATATCGACAAATTCTCCTTTGAAAACATAGTAAACGTAGTCGTCTTTAATTTGGTGAAATAATTTGTGTCTTCTGTTCGTTATCTCCTGAATACTATTGGAAGCACAAAACACATTTTTACTATATTGCCCGTTAAATATACGGCCAATGGTTACACTATGACGCCCTCTTAAGAGAAAATAGCTGTCTTAACACGTTTCTATAATATTATGACGATTTTTTTTGATTTTAAGAAACGGTAATGATGTAAAGGGTTTTGATTATCCGGAGGAAGTAGGGGTACTTGTTTGATTGTTCATGACGTTTCATTTTTTTTGGAGAGGGCCTAAATATTAAATTCGTATTTGACTTCGTGGCCCCCGGGTGTGTAGTTGCACCACTAGTTAGGCCTGTAACGGTTTTTATCGAAATATAAATCAAATTGTATGAACGACAATAAATTGGATACAGTAACGATTTCGTAAATAAAAAAAACTTAAAATCGTCGCCTTTTTACGTAACAATAAACCGTAGATAAAAATGTCACCATGTGGTTTTGCTATTACATATTACGCAGTTAATTGCAATTATTGAATAATAATACTAGAAATCATAATAATAATTTTAGTTCAGTTGTTTTTACTGTATAAAATAGCAAAACTATAGTGATACCCGATTGTTAAAACAAACTAAAAAAAAAAACCTGATATACAAATGAAAGGTTTAAAACCGAATATGAACAAATAATGGAAAAAAATTATGCATATTTTGTACTTAAGGGTGTCCGTTTGAATTCAGTTTTTGGGAGAGGGGGTCGGCATTTTAAAGTCGAAACCCTTACTCGATCCTATTTGATCATTACATAGAGAACAAATGTTTTTTAGTCGATTCCAAATAATAAATTATGAATCAGGGAATGCAACTGAAAATAAAACGTTTTGTTTTTACTTTTGTTTACATTTGTTTTTTCATTTAGATTTTTTCTTGGCTGCGATCGAAAACACGATTGTAATACTACTCGGCTCGGCATAGTTTTATCATTCCTAACAATTATTTATCGTCATAATATACAGTACCTATAAGAAGGTATAAGGCATAATAAGTATAAATGTACATATAATACAAATTAAATTATACCCTGTAGATTAATTATATATCAGCCCAACTGCCCACCTACAAGGTGAGATTTGTTTTACGTTTTCGTTTTCAAATGTTATCCACCAAATCGATGACAATTACATTCGCCCGTACATAATAATAATCGGCCTTGGCCGCCGCCGGTTCCTTCGGCGTTCGTTCCGACACGTTCCCCGACGACAACGACGGCAATAATAATATAAAAATATATAACGTGCGGCGATGCACTCGCAACCGTCAGTCTAATATAGCCGGTATACCGGGAATATAATAACGAGATAATAGATATAAAAAAAAAAAAAAAAAATCGAAAATAATAAAAAATCAAACGCGTATAATACGAACGCGATTCGCCACCGTGTTCGCGTAGAAAGGGAACGTTGGCCGTCGTCGCCGGGAGAAAGGGAGAGACGATATTATCATCATCCTCGGCCGGCCGTCCGTAAAAATATTCTTCGAGTACTTACCAACCAGCAGCCGACCGGTCCGGAATCGCCAGTCCAACATTCATCAGGTAAGTTTGAATACTATAATTATTATGTGTAGTATAAATTATCATTAAAAAGAACGAAACGCGCGTGATTTTTCTATTATTTTTCCGTCGTGTCGGTTTTTTGTTTTTCACCCATTTTGTATTTTACTCGTGTTGTTTTCGCGCGTTTCGAACGGTTTTTGAGTGGTGTAAAACCGCGTCCGCGGAAAACGAAACTCCCAGTTCACAGATCAGGAAATTTCCGTTTGTCACGTGGTTTCGTGACGGGATACCATATTTCCATCTAGTCTCGTGAAATTCGATTATGACGTACGAGTTCGAATTTCCGTTTTACAGACCGCAGTGTGATTTACCGGCTATACACAACGAATATCCGGAGGTATTGTTTTGTGTTGCGGTCAAACTCGTACGGCGAAACGAACCTAAAACAACCCAGAAGCAATGCTGGTAAAATCCGCCCAGTACCCGTCCGCGAAAATTTCCAAAACATTCCCAATACATTCCGACCATTTTTTTTTACTAAACTCGCTGCAGAAAACGCGTGGGTACTGATATTTAACTATTTTTCGTGATTTCTCGTGTCAAGCACACCCCGACGGACTCGAGAAGCGGCCGTTTCTCAAAGACTCAGCTAAACTCCGGTACATTTCGGAATCCAAAAACACTTTGTTCGCTGCGATTAAATTTCCGACCGTGCGCGCGGCTTTGTATTATAATTCTAACTTATAAGGAAGGTATAATTTGTACGCCGAACCGCCGAATCCTCGCACTCGCCTCGCAAACGCCACCGCCGTAGCCGGGAACAACGGTAACCGCGACGCGGACGCAATTCTCTTTCTTTTCCACGTTCAAATGGAATTTTCGCGCATATGCACGCGGCCCGTCCTTCGCGTGCACAATTCCGGACCGAGCTGTTACGAAATATTCGATACAGATCGTTGCCGTGGTCGGTCGTGGGCGAGACCACACGTCGCCGTGACCGCGGTAAACAACGCTAACAACAATATAACGAGAAAATAAACATGGCTATTTCGACGCGTGGCGCGCACACGTTTAAACGGCGTGAACGTCGGTCGTGCCCAAAACGAGGTGGAGGCCGCCGTCTATTCGGAACGGCAAGCGGCGTTTGACCGGGCGATAGATCCCACCGCAACGACCGTTATTGCGCGCGTATGTTTTGTTGTCGAACGTCATTTCATCCCGTACACGGTAAAAGCGCGCGGAAAGTCGGCGAGAATACCGAACGAACGAGGCCAATGTGCGTTACACACATTTTGTTTCCGTTACCGACACCGCACACCGAATTGCCCGTACCACGGTATTATTGCGTTCTGGCGGACCCGCGGAACGTAATCGGGAACGAGGTTTACGCTGTACGTGTCCGCCGAGTGTACTTGTAATTATTTTCGCCCGACGCGATCCTTTCGATGCAAATACAGTGAGACTCGGCGTCTGCCGTCCTGACCTAATCAATAACCAGTAACGGTTGAATTTATACGGGACGCAAAGTTCACTGAAACCTCGACCGAATCGCAGACAAGACCGCGGTACTTATAGATTATACCGGAGGAGAAAGATTTTTGAATTTCGATTTCTAGACGGGTGATGCTCGAATTTCGTACTTTTTTTTTTTTTTTTTTTTTTCAAGTTTTCTCGGTTACATAAAAAACCACGGTACCCGTGAATAAGATGGTCCGGGATAAAACACCACGGGAACAACACGGGAAACCATTGTGTAAAATGGAATTTTTTTTTTTTTTTTTTCGTGTTTCCCGGTTAACGCGTGTAAACTCGTGCACCGTTTACTGACATTCTGTTGTTCAACACTATCTCGGACGACTATAGTATCTCACCGGAGGGGTCCAATATCCGTCGCCGAAATTCCGGAAAACCGGTCGCCCTACGTCTGCACCGCAAAGTGTAAACGGATCGGATACCTTTGAAAAGCGGACGGATACCAACGAAATCGGCACACCGCGCAGTAATATGTCGTTTCGGCATGCAGTCGTACGCATTGATAACCCGCGAACTCGTATTACTCACTGCGTACCCGACGGACGGCCAGTGGCCAGGTGGCGTATTGACAATGTTATTTAAGAGTTACGGCATTTAAACGAGGGAGGGGGCAAGGCGATCTGTTTTGTATTTAAAACGTATAACAGTTTATGTATTGTATTAATCAAATTTAATATTTGAAAAATAATTGCCCAATAATTATAAGTGGACAGTTTAACGAACTATAGGAAATCTAATTACGTCGTACACTCGCATGCGTTATTAATATATACGAATTTCGGTATAGATTTTTGATAGGTGTATTCGAGTGAAACGAGCGGAACGGCTGCCCTACGGGTAAACGTAGTTTAACACGACACCGAGCAGTGTCGTCCCGTATACCGTGATTGTTACGATATCCGTTTTGTCTCGAACAATATAGGCGCGAAAATCGTCGAAAGCGGCACCGCTGTGTGTCTAGCACCTACTTATGCGAATACACAATAAATAACAACGTTACTATTATCGTCGCGCGACTACAACAATGTCGGTCCCGGCGCCCCCGGTGCCGCCGTCGCGGATGTTATTGTCCCGGGGGAAAGTCTGTGTACGAGAACGTGGCGGACAATTAGGTATTATCAAGGATAGAACGGAAATTTCGCCCGAGTGTCGTCGGGCGCCGTAATATTTTATAATGTCGCCGTGTCGAATAAAACCGATAAAATCACAACGACAAGAGCGTGCATAGCGAAAACGCGGTTCAAAATGCTCGGCAAATGTCGCGCGACACGGGAACGCGTTTGCGAGAGCGGCAGCCGTCAAAGGGAACGAAGCCGCGTAATACTGTCCGTACGTGTATACGCCGCGCAATTCCTAATAGTCCGGAACAGTTTCCGATTTCCGTCGGCCGACGGATTTCGCGTGTCAGACATTGTCAAACGAAAATCGGAAACTATGCCGGACTATTAGGAATTGCGCGGCGTATATACGTACGGATAGTATTACGCGGCCAAGGACGTTGATCCGTGTTTTGTATTAGGCGCGCGCAATACGATATATCCGAACGGCGTCGGTGTAAATGACGAGTTGTGTCCAAGTACAACGAAACGCACAGAGGGAAAGAGAGAGAGAGAGAGAGAAAAACATCTACTGGTTTCAGGAATATTAGGTATATCCGTCCGGGCCGGGGAACCACTGTAATAATAATATTACGTACTGTCCTCGGGGCGTGCTTCAGAGTGCACTCGTCACTTCTCGGACGTAATATTGCATCACAACGCCGACTTTGAATCCGTTTTCGGCTCGCCTCCTCCGGCGACCGCCCCTCCCCCGCGGCTGAAGAGCCAGCCCGGGGAACCGGTTCGGCGTTGTGCAACCGCGGTCGGCAGTCGCTTTCGTTTCGACGAGGTATTTTCGGTGCATTTTTTTTCTCCGCTCAACGCGACGTCGACCGGTCACAATTCGAATCCTCGCGGCCGCCCTTCCGCGACGGAACAGATAATTTACAATAAGTGTCCGTGCGTACACACGATTTATGTTTTCGGGACAACACCCGAAGATTTCCGGGGTCTTTTGTCGTTTTCATTATTGTTGTTATTATACTGTGCGTGTGTGTGTATTTTCGTAATTTCGTTCTCGTCTATATAAATCGCCACCCGCCAGCCGGTCGCGGAACAGCGTGTGTGTAATGCCCCGTTCAGGTGAAAGTGATCGCTGACGTAATACCGGTAATAATAATAATAATAATAATATTATTATTATTATTACCTATTATAACGAGGCGTATAATAATATAATATTACGGCGCGTGACGAACGTTTGTCGTTTGTCGACCGATCGCCCGATTTTCCGTTTGTCACTTTCGAAAGGAAAAAATACTCGGACCGTCAGGCGACTTGGTGGGGGCCGCGCGCGCACTAAAGTCCCGAACGAAACGTGACGTCGGTAGAACATCGACAAAATATCGACGGCATTACAAAAACATACGTTCTTCTCTCTATTTCTTCTTATATTCTCGCCGCATCTCCGCGTTTTCGTCCGTTCCTTTATAATATCGTCTCGCCTCCAGCGGCGTAACTAGTACTCCTAATGCCCGTCGCTCTAAAGACCGAACCGATAAGCAAAGGAAAAAATAAAGAAAAAAAAAATCGTCCAATAATGCCCAGGCCCTTGGTCTAGGCCACTGCTAAGGCACTCATCAGTTTGTCCACTCGGCATGTACGCCGCTGATCACCCCCCCCACCCCCGTTAATAAGTTCATCGTCTCGACGTTCCGATTTAAGCTACACATTTGCGTTTCGCCTCCATTATACCGGACGCCCGGACCCGCATGGATATATCGTCGACAAAACGTATCCGATACGCAATACATATGTCGTATCAGGCACTCGATACGATATCGAAATATACAAAACTAAACGTGCTATAGAACCGAATCTGGTACAATCCGACAACCGCACCGAACCAACAATATTACATTATATAGTACGATGTTGCGATATTGTATTACGGGCACCGGACGTAAGAGACCGGTGTGTTATGCAACTAGCGGTGGGATAACCTTTCCGGAAGTGGACGGTGGCGGTCGGTACGTAACGGTAGTGCATGTGGACCGCAGCCAACACGACGGTTGTTACGTATCGTTTCGGACCACCGTGCACAAACAAGAACGGCCGACGACCGCGACGTTCGGTTGCGCGAAATCCTCGTGAAATCGCACGCCTGTCCACGGTACCAATACACATGCCGATACATTAAACTCATCCGGGGAACTATAAATTGCAGCAATGTGAAAAAACAACGAAAGCCATTAAATCCTCTCACGTTATTATTCTTCTCCTCTATCTCTTTTCCGAACTGCGATCGGCCACCTTGCAGGTCTCCTAAATCTCCACCCGGACGCGGTATACACCTTTCATATCAACCTACACGGTGACCATCTTCTTTCTTGGCTTTGTTAGACTTGAACCAACCTCGTCTACTTGTCTATGCTTCGCCTTAACCCAACAACGTCTGCACTATTTCCATTTAACATACACTCTGTTGTATTTTTACTAAACTATTTTTACAAACCAACCATTCGTATATACAGTTTCTTTCCTTGTTTTCTTCGAGTGTTCTTTTGTACGTTCCTCGCGTATCTTCCTATTACCTATTGTTAACTACTTTTATTGCGCGGGCATTGATTTTTTTTTGATTTTTGTTGGCCTTATACATTGTGTTAATTTCTTTATTTTACGGGAGTATAATATGTTCGTTTAGCCATCTCGTACGGGCCGAGCGCGAACACAACATCCGCCCGCGGACCACTTAGCGGATCCATTCAGCGACAGACGACGCGCACATTAAAGTTATAAAGATGGGCGTGGGCTACGACAGCGACGAGGAGACCGTGGACGAGTGCCCGCTGCCCGACGATCTGAGGCTGGTGGCCAAACAGGAGTTGCGCGAGGACGATGTGATCAGAGCCCATTCGTTGCGGGCCATGCGCAACTGGATCAGAAAACATCCAGACATCGTAAACTGTCGCACTGGTAAGTTAAACCTAACCGCAAGCCTAAGTGTAACTCTAATCTACTTGTTCTTGTACGTATATTAGACGCTCCGTTCCTATTACGGTTCTTGAGGACGAAAAAGTACAGCGTACCTATGGCCCAGGACATGTTGGAGAGATATCTGGTCATCAGGCAACTGTACCCACAGTGGTTCTCTAAATTAGACGTCGACGACCCGGTGATATCTGAGATACTGGACAGCGGGTGAGTGAGACCACTCGATAAAATAGTAATATTACAATTGAAAATAAAACTTTTCGTGTTCAGATACCTGGTTCCGTTGCCGGGCCGCGACGAATTCGGCAGGTGCGTCATGTTTTCGTGCGCTGGACGATTCGATCCGTACAAGTACACGTCAGCGGACATGGCGCGCGTGCACGCGCTAATCGGCGAGAGCCTGATGGACGACCCCGAAAACCAGGTCAAAGGTTTGTTGGATAAATCGTCAAACGACGAGTTCTCTATAATAAGTACCTACTTAACGCCCAACTGATTTGTTTGTCCGCAGGGTACAGCTACGTCAACGACGAGTCCGGTCTGCTGATGGGACACATGACGCTGTGGTCGTTTTCCGACATAAGACGTATCATACGGTGTTTGCAGGTAAGTAAGATACACCAGGTTTTTGGTGAACACCGGCTTAGAAAAACTTTATTGGTAAACTGAGTTCCATAAGAGTACCGAAGATTGCATGGGGTAATTGTGTACAGCGGGCTATAACTTTGGTCCAAAGGTGGTTATCAATGTTTGACCCGATATAACAACGCGTAGTAATTTACCGGTTAGTTCTCGTGTCACGAGCGAATTTATTTATTTTTGATTTGGTCAATTTTAACATTGTTAAACTTAGCATCAAACTTCAAAATCAGGCCATAGTCGCCCCAATCTAGATACCTATAACTCGTGACATAAGATTTAACGGCTTTAGGTTTGGTCTGTTTATGTTTAACTTGGAGGTAGGACTCGATTTACCGCTATTGAAAAACATTTGGGACTCAAGCAAACCTTTTTCAGAGTTCTACGCCGATGAGACACAAATCTACGTACTTCATAAACGTCCCGAATTTCGCAGATAAATTTTTCACTGCTACCGTTTCGTTTCTGAACGCTAAGCTCAAGAGCAGAGTAAAGGTATTCGTTTCTAATTATCGTCGCGCGACGCCTCTGATTTGCATTATTTATTTTTGATTTCAGTTTTTCAGCGGACAAAAAGATATACAGAAATTTATCGACCCGAAATATCTGCCAAAGGAGTACGGTGGTGAAATCCCGTTGGCGACAATGATAGGTTTGTATCTATATTTTACCACGCATATCAATACAAAAAGTTATTTTTTTTTAAGCGAAAATATTATTTGTCTTTTGCACACTTGCTAGAATAAATTATAAATTAATTTCGTTTTGAATATTGATATATCTATATAATATATATTTTTTCTTTTGGTTTTCTAAACAGCCGAATTGAAGAAGAAACTGCGCGCTAAACGCGAAATGCTGTTGGCTTTGGACGACATGAAAATCAACGTCAACGGTAAAGGGAAGATTATCAGCGAATTTGACGATAACATGCAAAAAGAACTAACCGGGTCTTTCAGAAAATTGGAAGTAGATTAAATTAATATGTATTTCTCTATTGATGTTATTATATTGTTACCGTAATATTGTATTATTGTATATTTTCAATCATCCACCATCGAACATGAAGATTTTCATTTTGTTTTTATAATGTTTATAATTATTATTATTTTATATATATATAATTTTTTTTTTTTAATAAAGAACTATTAGGTGTCTCAATAAATTTGATAAAATTGTATTGTCTTCTTTTACTTTTTGCCGTTAAATTACACACGATGTCGCTAGTAGTAATTAAAAAAATAATAATGATAAAAATGTACATAAACAAAAATATAATAATATAATATAATATAATATAGTTAATTAAATATTATAATATGATACACTTAACAAAAAAAAACATTATGCCCTAAAATATAATTATATGATATTTATAATCGATATCACAAGTTCAAACGAATAACGCGTTTATTGGTCATGGTGTAAACAACAAAATAATGCTTATGTTTATTTTTTATTATTATTATTAATTTTGTTTTTTATACACTTACACCATGGTATCGGTCAGTCGCTATACCAGTAAAACAAAAAAAAAAAAAAAATAATAAAAATAAAACAAAAGACAATGTTTTAAATACTGGCAAACATGAAAATATTTTACAAAAAAAAAAAAAAATAATAATAATTATAATTATAATAATAAAAAGAACATCAATATAATATATAATATATATATTTATATAAACTTATAAAAACGTTATTTTGTTTTTAAAACTCTCGTATCGTTTTTTTTTTTTTTTTTTTTGGGAGGGGGAGCGTTTTAAAGTTGAATAAATTAATACACACGTACCGGACAAAATCTTCCATATTTGTTTGTATAAATATCGTATTCGAATATGTTGTATAATATCCTACAACAATATTCTCAGTCGTCGGTCTCTTCGACTAACATCTGGGTGTCTTTGCCCGTGTCCGTGGAAGCCGGTTCCAATTCCCTATGCCTTCTCTGTATCTGAGGCGACGCTTTTTGTATGACGCTGGACGGCGCTAGTATGGCGGACGCAGGCTCTTGTACCACACCCTTGGTTTTGGTAACGTCCAAGGGCACCTCGTAGATTCCGCTGCCCGCGTCCGATTCCATATTGCCGAGGGCGTCGTACATAGGATTGCTAAAGTCCCGGTTCTTGCCGCTTATGTCCGTCATGTTGTATTCCACGTCCAACGGTTCCTGTAAAACATCATTAATACCGTCGTAAAATCACCATATAACTCGTATTACAAATACTAGGATTTTTTTGTTTTTGTATATTCTTTTTCACTTACCCCTCGTCCCGGGCCGTTGTTAAACGCGTTCGTGCCAAATTCCACGTTCGTCCCTTGTCTGAACGATACACTCTGCGAGTTCGTCAAGCCACTGAGTACCGCCCCTTTTCCACTGCAATAAATAATTTATAAAAATAAACCCTGTGCAAATACGTAATCTTTTTTTGAAGATTTAACTTCTCTCCCACTAAAAAAAAAAAAAAATTGTTTATACGCACAAAGGCCGCTTGTTGATGAAAAGGAAAATAGCTCCGGCGACCAACAATAGCAGTAATCCGGTCATCGGAATAACGAGCATAGAACTAAAAAGACTCGTTCGCCTGGTGTGCGTGGAATGGATGTCGCATACACGACCGGTAAAGTCTGCTTGGCACAAACAGTTAAGTTCCGAGCCGATGACATCTTCTACGCAAACGCCTCCGTTTTGGCAAGGGCAAATTCGCGGTTCTGGTATCGGGGGTTCTTCGGCTAATGATTTGAAAAAAAAAAACCAACGTAAGATCGAATTACGCGCTTACGGCGATATGTTATTTACCTGCATCACAAATTTTTTCGCTTACGCCTTGTTGGACGTGAGTCATATCCGGGCATGCACAATACACACCTCCTGGTACCAGTAGACAAAGATGAGAGCATCCGGCCGTTTCACACATGTTCTTTATGGTGAAATTGTACCTCTGTACATGGTAAACTAATAGATAACGAATAAAAAAAAAAAAAAAAAATTGTAATAATATTGTTACTGTACGATTAACGTAAAGGATATTGTTTCCACCAGTAACTCACCCTTGACGCCGGACGGATTTACCAGGTCCTTTGCGATGGTGACCGGAACGCCGCGACCGTATTTGTCTTGCTTTATTAACTCACCGGTTTCTCTAGACAACCAGTACAATTGGTTTTCAAACAGGTCCAACGAAACGGGATGATGTAATCGTTCTGCAATACATCAATAAATCGTTGTAAACGAAAAGCGATTCTGAGCGGAGTTTGGTTAAATATTTTTTTTGTTAAATAATATAAATTGAAAACTGTATTACCTATTATTTGTAACTATACAACAAATGCAAAGTTGTTTATGTTTTAAAAGAATTGTACAATATATTTTAACTTAAAATGCTTGATTTTTTTTATCACTGAGAACAATCAATAATGAACCTTGTATAGAACAAGCTTTGGCGTTTTTATAAAACCAAAAATGTATTATATTTCTATTAATGGAAAATAAATTGTTATAGTAGCAGTAGTATTCCGGATTTATATGAATTTTAAACAAACGGGGGAATTTTATAGGGAAATTCGAAACATTTTTAGAATAAACTATCGTTGAACATTTGGAGCATTTTTACTAATCGTAAAAGTGTTTTCCGAAAAAAAAAAAAAACACATTTTAATAAAACTAATCGCTTCTTTGCTACACTCAGAATTCAAAGTATTAAAAAAAAAAAAATTGTATTACAACACTCACCTCCACGTATCACGACGTTTCGATTCCTTTGATCGTACTTGATGGATTCAATAACATTGAGCTTGGTGTCCACCCAATACAGGGCGTGGTCCATAGCCGTGTCTATTGTTAGTCCCGTAGGGTGATGAAGCCTAGTAGTAACCAATGACGTTCGCCTAGAACCGTCCATCCAAGACATTTCGATTTTCGGATTTTCACCGACATCGGCCCAGAACATTTTACCCATTTCAGGATCCAAAACTATGGAAGAAGGATTCTCCAGATCTAAAACAAATAATAATTAGGTAATAATAAGGTGCGCCTTACTATATTAATCGTCGACGGGTTTTTTTTTTCGTTTATTTACCGGTACTGATAATCGATCGTCTGTACCGTCCGTCTTGTTTGGCGACCATTATTCGACCCGTGGATTTTCCCTCTTTCGACACGTTTACTGCTGCCCAATAAAGATTATCGCCCATCCAATCTATGGCGACGGCGACCGGTTTAAACGGCCCACTAATTTTCAAATCTTGTGGGTATCCCACTTTGACCTGTCCGCCTTTAGCTTCCACCATGTATGAACGTTTTATTGAATGGTCGTAGGTATCGGCCCAATAAATTATCTCGGATTTTGGATCGTAATCAATAGCATTTATACGTTTTTCGTTGCTTAGAATCGACAAGTGTTTCCTCTCGGGCGCGTCGTACGCCCGTAATTCCGGACCGTTAGTGTACACAATGGTCAATGACGGATCTATCGCTTTGCAAACTCCACTAAACAAGTCGCTCAATACGAAACCGTCGCGACAAGAACAAATGTACGAACCGTTTATATTGGTACAGTCCTGAGAACAGTGATGGAGTCCTAACTTGCATTCGTCCAAATCTATAAATATTAAAAGACATTGCAGTGTATTGAAAAATAAAACTCTTGCGTTATTTTTTATTTTTTCTAATTTTACCTTCACACTTTTTGCTATTATCGGCGTTGATTTCGTATCCGTTGTAACAAGCACAACTGTATCCTTTACCCGACGTCACGTTCAAACAGTAATGTTCGCAACCTCCCTTGTTAGATTCCAAACACGTGCCGGTATAGTCTAAAAACAAAACAAGATCGTTTGGGTATAGTATTTAAAAGAAATCTACGGCTATAATCGAATAATATTTTCTCATCTTACGGCATCCTTTTTCGTCCGAAAGATCTTCGCAGTCATATTGGAGATTACACAACTTAGATTTGTTTACGCATTCGCGATTGGCGCAAGTGAATTCGGTGTAATGATCACACTGTCTAATGTTATGCATTATACCGCAAACGCTCAGGTCGTTTTCGTCAGAGCCGTCTCCGCAATTGTCCACACCGTCACAACGTTGATACATCGGAATGCAGTGTTTGTTTTCGCACGAAAATCTGTTATCGAGTTTGCAACTCATATTGGCTGCACAAAATAATTATTATAAAATAGTAAAATAATCCTTTTTTTTTTTTGTAAAATACACCAGAGAAACTATTCATAAAGAGATATCGAAGTGAATATCGTCAAATAAATAAAAGCGAAATAATTTCTACTTACAGCAAAGTTCGGGCACTTCGTCGGAGCCATCACCACAATCGTCTTCGCCATCACAAATTTCCGAGTTGAATATACACAACTTAGTGGTTTTGCACTCGAATTTGGACTTTGGACAAAACCGGCCTTCGGGGTACCTAGGAGAACAGCCGATTTCGTCACTGAAATCTCTGCAGTCCCTGTCGCCGTCACAGCGGAAATATTGCGCGATGCAATGGCCGCTATTACACTTGAAAGTGCCGTTTTTACAATGGAATTCACCGCAGTTGATTTCGTCCGAATTGTCTCCGCAGTCGTCGTCGTGATCGCATCTCCATTGACCCGGTATGCACTTTCCGTTGGCACACTGGAATTCGGATTCCGAACATGGTCGGTATAATCCTTTACACAAGTCCTCGGACTCATCGGAGTTGTCGCCGCAATCGTTTTCGAAATCGCAAAGCCATCTTTTCGGTATACACCTGTTATTCTTGCACTGGAAGTCGGAAGACGAATGGCATTTTGGACAGTTTTCGGGCAACTCGTCCGAACCGTCGCGACAATCGTCTTTGCCGTCGCAGAACAACCATTTTGGTATACACCGGTAATTCGTTCTTCCTGGACACCTTTGCCAACCGGTAGTGCAATTGCGTTGTCTGCACATGTAAGCGGGTTCGTCCGAATCGTCGCCGCAATCGTTATCGAAATCGCAAACCCATAATTTCGGTATACAACGACCGTTCTTGCAAGAAAATTCGGATTTCGGATCACACGGTCTATTATCTATGATAATAAAGGTGTAATTAAAAATCAAACTAACGTTTACACATTGAATATACATTTTAGAAAAAAAATATACTACTTACGGCATATGCTAGGGTCTTCGTCACTTCCGTCTTTGCAATCGGGTTCACCGTCGCATTTCCACGAGTCCAATATACACCGTCCATTCGAACGACATTTGAATTCTATGCTCGGGCAGGGTAACGTACAATTAGCTTCATCCGAATTATCTCCACAATCGTCGACACCGTCGCAAATCGTAGCCGACGGCGTACAATTACGGTTTTCACATTGGAACGCTCCGCCACGGCAATATCTCGTCGGGCATTGATTCGGTATTTCGTCCGTTCCGTCGGCACAGTCCCTTTCACCGTCACATCTAAAATAATCACAGATTAAAAATAATATTTTTCGTCGCGATTGATTACAAATTATTATGAATCGTATGTCACGTACTTCCAAAACCACGGGATACATTTTTGATCGTTGTCTTTGCACTCGTGCTGTCCTGCGGTACAGTTCGCTATGCAAGTTTTATTGTCGCGTGGGTCCAAATAAAATTGATTGGGACAAGCACAAGTAAACGATACCGGACTCTTGGTATCCGAGTAACCGTCGGGGGCTGGGTCTACACCGGGCACGGGTTTCAACAAACATAGATGAGAACATCCACCGTTGTCTTCGGCGCACGGATTAGCGAACGGTATTTGCCTTAAATTGTGGTAAACATGTAAATCATACGGACGATGAGTGGTGTTTCTGAGCACTTTATAATTATGTCCTGTATTATATATACAAATATATAGAAAAAGAAAATTAATTAATAAAAGCTACATTGTATTTATTTCAGTACAATATTTGATTTGATTAAAGTATAGTTTACCTGTGAATTTATTAGATTTTACGATCGCTTTTAAATTCCAATCGGTCCAGAATAACTCGTCGTCGAACAACGTGAGTGCAAACACGTGGGGCACGCTGTCTCCAGACAGTACGATATGTTTGTGTCTGCCCTCCAAATCCGCTGAAGCAATGTAGTCCAAATGAGCGTCGGCCCAATAAATACGTTCGGTAAAGTAATCAATGGTCAAAGCGTTCGGCCAAGCAATGTCGTTTTCATGTGTCAATATCTGCGTGAAATTAGTACCGTCCATTCCGATTTTACCGATATAGGCCTAAAATATAAATCAATATTTAATTTTAAACCACGGAAACGTCTTAAAATAACCATTATGATTAGTTCTGTAATAAATTTTTGTTTTTTTTTTTTTGCGTACCTGAAGATGCCAACTGGTGAAATACAAATAACCGGTTCCCGGGTGCACTGCTATCGCCCTGGGGTCTTGTATACCAGCCTTTAGAGTTCTTCTATTGGTACCGTTCAGCTCGGCCACTTCTAAATGTTTACTGTGTCGGTCCAACCAGTATAGTTTCCGACCGACCCAATCCACAGCGATGCCTTCGAGTCCGTGACTGTCGTGTCTGATAATTTTCTCGCGATCTGTACTGCCCACTTTTGTCCTGTATATAGTCTTTGCGCTGACATCGCAGAAATACAATTTTTCTTCCGAATAATCGAAATCTAACGCCACTACGTTCAACAGATCTTGATGATTGAGCGAGTACTCGCTTGCGTCCAGAGACATGTTACGCACGTAATACTTATTTGTGAAAATTAACCACGGTTTATTTCTATCACGTCGTTTGCACGATCGTTCGTCGGAGGAACGATCGTAGTAAGTTTCGTCACATTTACAGTAAAATGACCCCGGAGTATTCAGACAATATTGCGAACACGATCCTGGCATTTCCATACATTCGTCTATGTCCTCGCACGCTTTACCGTCTTCCATTAGTCTGCAAAATTAAATACGTTATTATATCATTATAAACTATTATTTTTTTTATTTTTTTTATTTTTGACAACGAAAAGCTGTATTCAAATATTTAGGTTCAATGGTTTGAGATAACGGAGGAAAAGTGGCTAAATGAAGTGGAAGGGAGTGACACGAGTAATTGAAAAATGCTCCAGATAAAAATGAAAGTTGCGAAAATGACAATGTTAAGATGGATGCTAGGTGTAACTAAGTCGGGCAGAATTTAGAATTAATACGCAAAATATAGTAAATATAGGAATAAGGAGTGATGGGTATAGTGGGCAAATGTAGAGAAAATGTAGACAATGGGTATGCAAAGAGAAAACGATGATGAGATCTAGTCAAGAAGATAGGTGAGATAAGTCTAAATGGAAACCGGGGAAGAGGTAGGCAAACGAAAAAAATGTTAGACTTAAACGTGTAGATAAGGGAATAAGAAATGGTGATAGATAGGGAAATATGAATAGGAAGATGTGGAGGTTGAGAATAAAAGTATAGTCGGGATGAAGGCAAGGACGGAGGAAAATAACAAAAATGATATTGACAAATTGAAAAACAGAAGCGACTCACTTGTATCCTTCGTTGCATTCGCAAGTGAATCCGGTAGGCGTGTCGATACACTTGTGTGCGCACTGGTTGAGTTCTACTCTGGCGCATTCGTCAACGTTACAGTGTGGCGGTTCGTCACTGTCGTCCTTGCAATCCGATACTTTGTTGCACACCAGTGTCGAGTTGATGCACTGGCCGTTGGTACACCGGAACTGATCGGCGCCGCACACGGTAACGTTCTTGCCGGGGCAATTGAACTCGTCCGAGTTGTCACCACAGTCATCTTCGTTGTCGCACCGGTAAGTGTTCCGGACGCACTTGAAATTTTGACAGGCGAACTCCCGCGGCGAACACGTTTTGTACTGCGAATGACAGTCCTTGCCCTCGTCCGTACCGTCGCCGCAATCGTTGTCGTGGTCGCAAACCCAGCCCTTGTTGATACACCGTCCGTTGCCGCAAGTGAATTGATCGGCGCTGCAGCTCACCACGGTCGAACAGTTGAGCGCCGCGGCGTTCTCGTCCGCGCCGTCCACGCAGTCGGGGTCTCCGTCGCACAGCCATTTTTTCGGTATGCACTGCGCCCGATTCCACGCTTTGTTCGCTAGACACGTGAACTCCGTCGACTCGTCACACTTTCGGTTGTCTGTAATAATACATAACAAATGCATTGTAAATTATCGCTCTATCGACTTAAAGACGAAACGAAAATTCAAATGTATGCAGTTCGTGCCCAGCACTTAAAGTGGCGCTGAAGGGTAAATGGTACTATATGATCTTTATACTATTTTCAAGGCGAATATACAAATAAAAATCAAAATATTATCGAGTCGACAATCCAAGCAAAATGTTTTAATTCGACATGCGGGAACAGAAAGGTTTGCAATTCCGCGATACACATATTACGTATAAAGCCGGTCACACACGACTCGTGTACCCGGCGATCATACGCAATTACGGCGCTCGTCGAGTATTTCGACTTGACGGTATGTCGATATGTCCTACACGACTTGTACACTTGTCGATCTTCGTGCACTCGTTGACCATTATCCGATCATTGTGTATATACTATATTTGTCATCGCCAATACTCTTAAGCCGGTCCGACACGACCCGTGTGCTTTGCGAGCGTATACTCGGCGAGTGTACTTGCCAAGTTTGTACAATGTGCGATGTTTGTAATTATGTTGCTCCTACACGACTCGTGTGCTCGCCGATTATTTTTCAATCGTATATACTTTGCTCGTCATCGCCAATGCTCCTACACGACTCGTGTCGTCACACCTAACCTCAACCTTTAATCCTTTTCCAGGCATCACTAACGAGATTTCTATTTTTATGCAATGGGTCCTTTGGATTCCAAATTAATGACTCCTTTTCAAAACACGACAAAAATTCCAATGTTTTTTCATTGGACCACTCCATTTCGATGAAATTTTAGTAATACAATTCGCAAGTAGGTATATACATTTAAATAGTTAAACAAATTTTTTTTAAAAAATTAAATAATATTAATTAAAGATTATTTAAATATTGGCGCCGATTGCCAAGTGCGCGATTCGTGTGGGAAAGACGTGCGACTACTATTTACGTGTTGTGTATCCGACACCGACGGGAAACCGCGAGTGACTCGGCGAGTAAAATTAATCGTCGTGCTTTACGATTAAATACCTCACACACGACTCGCAAAGTAGTACGATTGTCGAATATTCGCCGATTACACGACTCGGATACTCGGACAAAAATAATTATTTACTGATTTACTATATTTTGTCGCTATCGTCGCTACCAGCGCGAATGGCGAGCAAGAACGAGTCGCGTAGGAAATTCCACGATTACGATAATAAATAATCGTGATTATTTATAATTCCTTTAAGTGAAAATAATCGCCATACTTGACGATGGAACACCTACTACACGACTCATAAAGCATCACGATTGTAGATTATACGCCGAGTACACGAGTCGTGTGGGACCGGCTTAATAGGTAGTTATACCTACTAGTCGTCTAGAAATACCAACAATAATAGTTTGGATGTTTGGAAAAATAAAACAAAATATTCATCCAAAATATCTTCCAGTTTATAGAAGTTTTAAAAATTACTCAAATAAAAACTTGTAATAAAATAAGAAGTTCAGAAAAAAAAATTGGGAGACCGGTTTTTACAAAAAATAAAAATGTATAATGGATAATATAACAGAAAACAAAATCGCTGGAACTATAGATCCTAACTCCTCAATCTGTAAAAATAGGAAGGAAAATGTTATGTATTGCTATTAAACATCATGACTCAACTAGTATATTACCTAAGTACCGAAAGCCGGGACCCAACTAGCGTAGTGCTCAAAATTCATTGGGATCCAACTAGTGCACTATCGATCAAAACTATTAGAATTCGAGGCCTAACTCGGATGCAGCCAATGATTTATATACCTCTATATTTATGTACTTACTGCACTGGTGTCTTGAATCTTCGTCGGAATTGTCCAAACAATCGTTGTCACCGTCGCAGATGTAAATCCTGGGTATGCAATTTCCGTTGTCGCACGTGAAGAGGTCGCCGAAACATGTCCGTCCTTCCGATTTACAGTACTCCGGCGGTTCGTCTGACCCGTCGCCACAATCGTCGTCTCCGTCGCAATACCAAGTGGCCGGTATACATCTGTGGTTGGGACATCTGAAACTGTTAGTCGGGCACGTTCTCTGGGAACAATGTATCGCGTCTTCGTCGCTATTATCACCGCAGTCGTTGTCGCCATCGCACAACCAATAAGGTTCCACGCATATATTCGTCTTTTCGCATTTCAAATGGTTTGCCGGACACGTTATATTCTTTGGGCACCGGTCGTGAGTTTCGTCCGAAGTCGAATTGTCTTTACAATCGTTTACGCCGTTGCATACCTAGAATTAAAAATGTTATACAGTTCGTTTAGAATTCGACAATATTCCATTTCCGTTATATTTTAGTCGTGTTAGTGTTACATCCGAATTCTGAGATGTTTACGTTTCTAATGTTTCTATATTGACGAATTTAGCCACCAGAGTGAATCTATATTTATTCATGTCAAGAGTATTAAATACTAATAAATACTTTTTTCTACAACCAGTCGAAAGACCGATAAAGTGTCACATGAAAATATTAATTAATTTGTACTATTATTATTTGATATTTTGCCTAATTTAAAATGCCATAATGAAAACTAAACCATTTGACAAAAATTAATGATACAATTTCGATAATAACTAATAAGCATTAATTGACATCCTTATGGCGGCAAAATTCACAAATATAAATAATTGGGTAACCATCTAAATCAATAATTTAAGGATATTATAATATTTGTCCGAAAAAAACACATTATGTTTTATATAACCTTATAATTAATAAGAACCTTTATTGTAATATTATTAGATAACAAACCACTTTTTGGCGTGGAAATCAGATTCAACGTAGCAAATAAATATTAGGCACTGTATATTAATATAGTTGCTAAATATTTGTCATTTTTATGTAAAAACCAATAGCAAATCCTAAATCTTCAGATAAATATTTATCCATGTTTGATATTTCCATTTATTGGCAAAAAAAAAAATACCCAAATATTTTATTATTTTATATAGGTACTTGTTAAATATCATAGATCAATAACGAAACATCGTTCATAAAACAAAACGATACCTATTCACAGCTACACGTCTACACAGTGTCATCACCTACAACCCCTATCGCACATTCTTAAAAAAATAGTGTGACTGCTGTCACGTCTTTGCAGCGTATTCGGCGTCACTGCCGCATTGTATGTTGTAATATATCGTAATATATTAGATACTGTTATTATTTGTTAAAAATACAAATATCAACTTACTTGTGACATGGCGATACATCTGAAATTGGCGCACGTAAATTCTCCGTCTGCGCACGGGGGATAAACACATCCGACTTCGTCGGATCCGTCTTTGCAGTCGTTCTCGTGGTCACACTTCCAAGTTTTGAATATACACCGTCCGTTGGCGCATCGGAACTCGTTTGTACTACATGCATGGTAGGCTATAAAAAATAAAACACGACAAATTGTTTTAATTAAACTATAAATATAAATAGGTGAGTATTATAAAAAAAAATAACGTTTAAAATTCCCATTAATTATAACTATTTTGAAAACCGTTATAAAATAATTGCTATGGTAGAATATTATACACACCGCAGTAATTAACGTCTTCGTCGCTGTTGTCACCGCAATCGTCGTCACCGTCGCACGACCACATTCGCGATATGCATTTGCCGTTTCGACAGTGGAATTTATTATTCTCGCAGGTGATGTTCTTGTTGACGCACATACGACCTTCGTTTACGAGTTTCGAGTTATCGTCACACTTACATTCGGCTGTGGCATTGGGTCCGGGATGACAACTCTGAGCGCATCCGCCGTTACTAATCGAACAGGGGTTCACCGAACATTTTTGTCTTTCTTTAGAGTATATCGCGATGTCTCTGGGTGAATCGTCTAATCTCTTGACGATTTCTATCATATTGGCACCCGTATGTTTTTCGGCCCTGTAAACGCCCCTCAATTGGAGATCGGTCCAGTATATATAATTTCCATGTACAGTTAACGCGAACGGGTATATAGTGGCCGTTATCAACACTTCTCGGTTGCTTCCGTCCAGCATAGACCTTTCGATTTTTTCCCTAACCGCGTCCGACCAGTATAACATCTGATCATCGAAATCGATCGTTAATCCACTGGGTTGCGACAATTCTCTGTCAATAATGGCTTTTTTTAAAGAACCGGCCATCGTGGTTCTGAAAATCTTGCCGGCAGTGCCAAATCTTCCCCAGTCGGTAAAGTACAAAGTCCTAGATAAACAAATGAAGTGACCAAAAATTATTTTAGCAATTAAACAAAATAATCATAGGAAAACAACAATTAACTTTATTATAAAAAATCAACGTAAAATATGGCTACTAACCCATTGCAAGGATCAACGACAATAGCTCTGGGTCTTTCAACTCTAGCTATCATTACTACTTCGGTACCATCTATATTCATGGCGTAAATGGAATTATTGGATGAATCCGTCCAATAAATTTTTTTTTGTGTCCAATCGTATGAAATTCCTTCCGGGTTGATTCTACGGCCTAATATCGTCTTTATTTGACTATTACTCGGTGAATTACTCGACACTGATGATATCTGGGACATTGGTCGTATTTGTGTGAAGAACAACTTATTGTCAGCGTAATCGAAATCCAGACCGACCACGTTTGACAAATTACCCTAGAAAAGTCCGCACATTATTTTCCATAAATTATTTACTATAATAGTGAATTATTAAAATACGTACTACTGGCTTGAATGGCAGTATGGTCGACAAAGGATCCAAACTTGCCGATCTAATTTCGGTTCTTGTAGCGAACACCAAGTATTCGGATACAGTGTCACATTTAGTACCCGTGCCGACCGTTATAGATCCGGTAGCGCAATCGCAACGGAACAAGAATTTGTTGGTCGAGACAGATGGTGGGAACGAGAAACACAGTTGGTCACATCCTCCGTTGCCAAATCGGGAACACGAATTTAAATCGTCCGAAGGTTGAGTGTTAACATCAAATATCGCTATATCGCGTAATCTTGGGAGCCCTGTTCTAATTGGTGTTGGCATAGAATTGTTTCCTGGTAATTTTGATGCTTTGAACACGGTTTTTAAATTTCTATCCACCCAATACATGTCGCTCAAATGTATAGCGAGGCCCATTGGATTCGGCGTGTTTCTTCGTACGACCTAAACAAAATAAAATAAAGAGTTGAAACACAAAATGTTGACATCGAAAATTCTTCACGGCTTACTTGTCTTTCCCCGCCGCTAGCCGATATTTTTTGAATTAAATCTAATCTGGCATCCACCCAGTATACGTCATGCGTAATCATATCGACGGTTAAGTCTCTGGGCTGACTTATTCCAGTCGTTACGATTGGCATCCAATTGGTTCCATCCAAATACGCTTTACCGATTTTTGGGTACTGTCCGTAGTCTATCCAGTACAACAAACGTTTGACCGGATTGACCGCTAGTTCTTTCGGCGCGTCTGTTGTTGTTTTAACGAGAACTTTACGCATGGAACCGTCCAGCCAACAAACCTCGACATAATTTTCGTGAGGAAACACGTTTGTAAAGTACATGTTTCCGGCAATCCAATCGATCGTCAAACCCCGTATACCGTTGGAACCAATACCGTCTTTGATAATATGTTGAAGCTCCGTACCGTTGGGTCTTATCCTGTAAATACCGTTCCATACTCCGCGGTTGAATTCCACCCAATATATCCAATTTTGTGCCACGTGAACGTCCACGTGTAAAATATGATGTCCTAAATATTTTCAAATCCAACGTAAGTCTATAAACTAAACAAGTATTCAGATTATTGATTATTTACCTGGTCCCGATATAGGAACGATTGCGTCGAGCGTGTCGCTAAGACTGTATCCTCTGACCAAGTCCACTTGAGAAACGACTGCAAATGATGTATGTGGTGTACATTTAATATCTAGTTCTTTTTTGTATCCCACAGAACAAGCGCACACTCGATTTCCGTTTTCGCTAGGAATACAAAACTGTTGGCACCCGCCGTTTATGGTTACAGCACACGGATGATTTTCGTCTAAAATATTTTTATTTAAATTTTTAAATTTAGAATTGTCTCAACACAATATTTATATGAAAACTTACTAGATTTATGTGAAAAGACGGTCAACGATTTGAGATCCGGATCATTTTCTATAATTTTTTCCATGCCAGAACCGTCTTCGGCTTTGACTCTCACAAGATGATCGTATCTAGAGTCGATGAAGTACAAAAATCGATCGTAAACACCCATCGATTTCGGGAAAGCAATACTATTGTGATCGGTCATTAATGTCCTGTGATTCATACCGTTTACATTCATCACTTTTATCTAAAATAAAAAGAAATATATATATTTGGTCAACATCTGTTAAGAATATAAAAACTTGATTTTATTTACACTGCTGGGGTACTGAGTACTGTAATAAATATTTTTCTGGTCTAAGTCAATCGCTATCGATTCGGGTGTATAACCGTCATTGATTAACACAGTAGGATTAGATCCGTCCATATTGATTTTACCTATCTTAGGCGGAACTCCAAAACCTCCTTGGTCGGCCCAATAGAGTTTACTAAAATAATAAAACTATGTATAATTACACTGTATGTATAATATTATGAAATCTATTTAAAAACCTACCCTTCACTAGGATCTAAAACAATTCCGATCGGTGTGGCCACTGATATATCCTTGCCATTGTTCGATAATAATACCATCCTGTATTTGTTAGTACCATCAACTTTAACTACTTCCAGACTTGAAGATTCTCGATTTCCAATATACAAGTTTCGACCGTTCCAATCAAAAGCAATAACGTACGGTGCACCCACAAAGCCAGTAAGTTCACCCAACAAAGATGACTTGTTTCCTCCATGGTATGGAGACTTCATTAACGTACACTATGAAATCACAAAAACATAATTGAATGTGATATTCATAAAAAAAAAAAAAACAAAATAAAACAATAATAAAATTGTACTAACATTAACACTATTGATACTTTCGTCTTCTTCGTTCACTTTCAACCCTTCGACCCAATATAAGGATTTAGATTCGTTATCGTAATCGACTTGGGTACCTCCTTCAATACCGACAATAGGAACAATGTGTCCGGTAGTTTTGTCTCCGGGCGTCAGACTCACGTCGATTATTTGATAACCCCTCATGACTAGCAAAAACGGTGACACGCCTGGAAAAAAATGTATTGATTAAGTACATACGAATAGTAATTTAAATTAATAAATAAAATAAATTACTTTCGATGCATTCTCCGAGAACGCCGATTATGTATCCCGGTTTACATTTACACGTATACCCGTTAGGTGAGGAAGGCGATAGTAAACAGAGTTGTGTGCAGGTAGCTTTTTCGCACGGGTTTGGCGTTATTGGTTGTAAAGACGGGTGGTGTACGTGAATGCTTAAAGGTTGTGAAATCAAATGAGAAACGACAGTTTGATTTTTCCCCTTAAATTTATGAGCGGATAATACCTATTGATAAAATTACAAAATATACACACATATATATATATATGAATAAATAATAATATGCCTTTAATCAACGAAAAATAATTATTCTGTTCATTACTCTGTTTAACTGTCGATCGGTCCAATAAAGTGTGTCTTCAAAGAGAGTAAGTGAATGCGGATGAAGCAAATAGTGACTTCCGGCGATAACTTGTTGACGGCCGGTTCCGTTATAATAACAAAAGTCAATAAAGTCAAGTTTGGAATCGGCAAAATACACACGTTGGTTGACAATGTCCAACGTCAAACCGTTAGGCCAATAAATCTTTGTGCTTATGATAACGGAACGATTAGTACCGTCCATACCAACACGTTCGATTCTTGGATTTTCTCCCCAATCAGTCCAAAATAGCCATCGTGCGCTACATAATAATACAATTTTTACAAAATATTTAAATATTTTGATTACGATTTAACAACTAGCTAAAAATATTTTCAATCTTACCCTGGACTCGGATCTAACATCATTCCTCTCGGTTGGGTTATATTTTCCTTCAGTAGAATAATACGATTCGTCCCGTTTTCATTGGCCACTTCAACTGTATTTAGTCGGGAATCTAACCAATAAATATGTCCTCCAACCCAATCGTAGGCTAAACCTTCTACTAAATCTAATCCAGATGTAATAATCTAAAATCATAATTTATTGCATTATTGTATTATATATATCATTTTTAAATTTGTATTAGTTTGAGTGTAATATTCACTAACATCTTTTGGTTCACTGCTTTTGTCCAACCTCGATATCTTTTTCAGTTTCATGTCCGACCAGAATATTGTGCCCGTGTGCATGTTTGATGCGGTCGCTACTACGTTTTCCACTATGATCGGGACCCGTTCAAGACCTTGTTCTTTGAGATCGGCTACCAATATTGAATGGCGGTTAGAAATTATTAGAAATGCTGCGCTATGATCTACAACAAAAATAAAAATATACATATAATAATTTGTATAATTTCATGTCCGATTAAGATAAAATATTATCATTAAAAATAAAGGTACAATATAGTATCTTACTTAAGGCTTTGCAAGTGTGTTTATCGGGTTCCAAAACATAGCCCGGAACACAACCACAGAAATAACTTCCTTTAGTATTCGTACAATGTTGCGAACAAAGACCGGGTGGGTCACACTCGTTTAGATCCATACATTCGTACGTAGTGTTTAAAATTTCACCACGAGGACACGTGCACAGCGGTCCCTATAATTTGTTTTATTTTACTATAAACTAGAAGGCGGTAAAATGTTTTATTAGCTATGCAATCTAAACTAACTTACTACTGGAGTTTGTTTACATCCGTTCGAACAGTAATTTCCCTCTTTATCACATTCTGGGAGATCGCAATTCGGTCCTTCGTCGGCACCGTTCGGACAATTGAATACCCCATCGCAAATATTTGTTATGTTGATACAACGGTTTGTCGCGTTGGGACATTGCCATTCGCCTGGCATACATCTGTACGAATAATGTAATCAAATTATAATTACATAATATTATTTCCTTCAACTGCGAACAGTCTAAAATAAATAAATAAATATAAATAAACAAACTTGAATGGTGGTGCTGTACAAGCGAGCCTATAATCTTCGTCGGAACCGTCCCCGCAATCGTCTTTGCCGTCACAAACATACGATTTGAAAATACACTGCGAATTATTACATTTGAAATAATTCGACTGACATGAAACTACTCCACAAGTTTTCGGTTCGTCTGAATCGTCATCGCAATCAGCCGTTCCGTCACAATACCAAGTTTTCGGTATGCAAATTCCAGATTTTTCACAACGGAATTGTTTTTCTGTATCGCACTGATTAGGTGCCAACGTTGCTAAATTATCAAATACAATTACGACAAAATTAATATTATTTTTTTAGTAATTATTTATTTGAATTTGATTTGGATTTCAATAATCCGTGAACAACTTTGAGATGTTTTTTTTTAAAAAAAAAAAAATTAATAACCTCACTGTGGAAAAAGCGAACGAAATAAATAGAAATAATATGACAAAGAAAAATGAAATGTGATAGAAAAATCATTTGTGGAATGTTTTTTTCCATCACTTAGCACTATTTAGCACTAAAACATTCCATCAAAATATGAATAGACTATAATATTAAACAATTCATAATATTTGTATAGTGTATGTTACTACGTGAATTTAATTATTTGTATTAACTGTATTAACTATAAGTTTACACTTACGACAACCGAGTTCATCGCTGCCGTCATTGCAATCCAATATACCGTCACACTTGTAAGTTTCTTGTATACACTGTCTAAGGTCAGCGCATTTGAACTGTGTTGGCGAACAAGTGATTGGCGGGCAACCTTCTTCGTCTTGGTTGTCGAAACAATCATTGTCACCATCACACACCCACGTCTGAGGAATACAATGCCCTGATCGAGGACAAGTAAACTGAAACAAAAATACACAAAAAAACGTCAGACTAATCGAAAGGCCAAGACTAAGACGTATTATAACTAAACAAATTCTTATAAAATCCATACAAAGGCACCAACTCAATTATATAGAAATAATAGATAGAAGAACAGAAAAGTACATAAAACCACATTACACAGCATTAATTAGTTCAAGAAGTTCCCCCGATTACACGGTAAAAACTATATTCAACGATTTGGAAAATTATGTAAAGAGTCTAATAAAAAGTTTATATGGAATTCAATCTAATAAAACCAATTATGTAATTAATACCAATTTTATACAAAAAATATTTGGCAAAATAGTTTATGACCTTATGAGAATCAAATGTATCAATCAAATTATAAAATGTCGAAATGTGTAAATAGAAATAATTAAGGAAACATAGATGTTAATATTAGAAATATAATTTAATCAATACTGTTGTATATCTAGAAAATTATGGCAACTTTTCAATTATATAAAAATATTATATATAGGATGATTCACTAAGTGTATTCACCCCATTTTTTTAGTGAATTTTAAAATTGAAATATCTCATCAACATGTTGATGGAAATTAAAAATTTAAACACCAAAATGTATTTAAAGTAATACTCCATATATTTGCGGAATTTTTAATATAGGTTCTCATTAGAAAAACCAAATTTGGTAACACCAAAGGATACTCCTTAAATTTTATGAAAAATCTAAATATTCGAAAATATCGACTTTGACTACACTTAAAAATTCAAAAAATTAGAATTTGGATATAGTGGATTTCGCTTAATGTGGGCACGTTGAGACCAGTTACATACGCCTACATTAAGCGGTTGCCCGTTTTAACCGAAATATGTATCGTTATAAATTAGGACTAGACCATTGTGCACATATTAGGCGGCTGTCCGCATTAATCGGTGGCCACATTAAACGGAATGCATGGTGTATGCAAAATTTAACCTAACAAATGGGGCGAGTGAATCACCCTGTATATTATTATATTTATCTAGGAACTTCGTATACTAGATACGAGCTTAGCTCAGTTGGTATATGTATCAACTCTTATTATTATTGTTATTATTGTATTATAACTGAATTATGCTGAAATAAATAAATAAAACATAAAAAATTACTTGGAAATATGCACAAGTTTTTTCTGCGCAAAAATCTCCCTCGTCCGAACCGTCTCCGCAATCGTTTTCCGAATCACATTTCCACGTAGACGGAATGCAACGGCCGTTTTCACACAGAAATTGTGTCGCAGAGCACGTTACGTTCGTGCAGCCGGTTTCGTCGCTGTAATCGCCACAATCGTTTTCGCCGTCACATTTGAACGTGCCCGGCACACAACGGCCCGAACTGCATTGCCATTCGCCCGGAGCACAAGTCGGTTCTGTAACCGAAGAATAAAAAGGTTTTTGATTAGATCCGGTTGGATTTCAATCTCACGTGAACATTACTTGTGCAATTTTGTTCTTCGTCGGAATTGTCTAGACAGTCGTCATCACCGTCGCACACCCAAGCTTTTGGTATGCAACGCATATTGTTACAAGTAAAGTCCCACGTGTTCGGGCAAGCCGTCACCGGAGGCTCAGCGTTGGGGTCGAGCACGCACGTTTTTCCGTCTGTGTCGATCTTCTCACCGTACGGACATCCGCATTGAGTTTTGAGCGTTACTGACGTATTGGACGGGATCGCAAAACATAATTTTTCACAATCCCCATAGTTTTTGAGGCTCGAACAAGGATGCGAGTAATCAATTTTTTGTTCTTGTTCGCTGTATATTTTCACGCCGTACAAACGGTTATTTTGTGGTTCTCGTACTTCTATGTTAGACACTACACCAGTCAACTTATGAATTTTAATTATGGCGTCCAGTCGCCAATCCGTAATGTACATCCAATCTATATTTGAATGAGATCACAATAAATATATTTATGTAATCTGTGCACAAATTATGAATTATTTGAGTGATTATCACTTTAGTCAGAAAATATTACTATGCTCAGAAAAGAAAAGAAACCACTAAGAGCAGTCTTTGAATGGAAATTCCGTGAAAAACAAAATTATATGATGATGGCCGTTAAAAATCGAGAACAGCAACGAAAAGAGAAGAAAAAGAAGAAACAAGTATTTAGTAAATTTTACCGAGATGTGTGACTATCGAGAACGGATGTTTGATCAATGTAGAATTGATAGTTTTTACGTCCGTGCCGTCCAAATTAGAATGTTGAACGTGGTCCAGTAACGCGTCACACCAATAGAGTCGGTCCGACGTAAAATCAACGGCCAGACCGTTGGGCCAACCCAAAGTGATATTACGGAACACGATTAAATTCGAACCGTCAGTATAAGCACGGCTAATGTTGGCGGGCCGATCCCATTCGGAGAAAAATATAAATCTGAAAATGTAAATGGTCAATGATCATTAGTCATACTGCAATAAATCCATCAACAACATATCCATGTAAAAGCACTTACCCTTTATTAGGATGTACGACAATTGCTCTGGGTCTTTTCATGTTCTTCAGCAGCACTCTTTTGTTGGTAACGTTCCGGGTGCTCAACACGTTTAACGTTCCTTTTCTACTGTCGATATAATACAGATTCTTGGCCACCCAGTCGACGGCCAGTCCTTCCACGCCCTCGTTTTGCGACGCCAAAACGATTTCTCGGCCTGAAAATATTAATTTCCGTAGTCATTCAGGGTGTGCTCTTACTATAATACGCGTTTGGCATAAGTAATTAACCCGCGCGGTAAATCACTTACCAGTTCCATTTTTATGTATTCTGTATATAACGTCCTGAAGAACGTCTGAGTAGTAAATGTAATTGTCGCGAGCGTCAAAATCCAGCCCCACGAACCTGGCTCTTCTCGACGATACCGGTAGTATGGCGTCGCTGAACCCTTGTGAAACTTTGTTTAACACCTTACCTTTGATGAATCTCTGTTGCGAGTACAATAAAAAATCGTCGACCACTAACAAACAAACAAACAAAATATAAAAAACCATTTTCCATTACCATACAATTAAGTAATAATTAAGAAAACACATATATACACACACATTTATATTATAATATTAACACTCACCGATGCAATTGTGTAAGTCATTCGCGAGTTGGTAACCCATATTGCAAGCACACCTATACGCCAACGAATTGTCACTACTCCTAGACACAACGCACATATGTTGACAACCGGCATTATGAATGGCACAAGGCGACGGTACTGCGTGAAACATAAAAATCCGTTAAAAACTATTAACACCTAACATTTTTTTTTTGATTTAGTATAATAAAACTTATTTCGTTGCTTTTACACATAATTCATTGGTTGGGTTATTTTTATCAACAGTAAAATTTCGCTTACCTTCTCTTTGCACTAACGAATGAACAACTTTTACAGATTTTGGATCCTTGATGTCTCGATTTTTGTATACGGACGAAACGGTAGTGGGGTCGTACTTGTTGACACTCAATATGCCCTGTTTAGTACCGTCTGACCAATACACCCTGTTCTCGAATACGGTGAGCCGCGACGGCGATGGTACTTGAGGTCCCCGCAATATCAAATGTCTGTCATTACCGTCGTAGTCCACGGTTTCGATATAATCCAACAGCGAGTCACACCAATACAGTCGTTCGTCGAGAATATCCACGGAAACCCCAGAAGCTTTGTACACAGCATCAGTGACGATGGCTTTGGTATCGCTACCATCCATGTTGGCCCGAATCAGCTGATTACCGTCGGCTATGAACATATAACCTTGGGTCGGATCTAGCGCGATATCTGATGGATTAGTCAAGTTGCTGCTTAATACGATAGCGTGAAACCGGCCGTTTAGCTCAAACATATCTATTTTCTGGCCCACCCCGTCCACCACGTACAGTTTGTTTCCTATCCAGTCCACCGCGATCGATATCGGTTCCCACATGCCGGGCAACGTGATTTCAGTAGGCAACGCGTTTCCGTCACGGATAAATTTTTTTGTGTCCAACAGTTGCATCAATTTGATTTTTTTCAATTTCAAATCGGACCAGAACAGCGTGTTGAGCGCATAATGAAAGTCCATGCCACTAGCAGACGTTGCGTTGGTGACGACCACTTGATTTTGGTATTTCGAGTCCATTTTCATGAGGTTTCTGTCTTGAGCAAAGTAGATTTGAAACGATTGAGTCCGATTGCTGGCCACGCACTTTTTCTTCTCTATCAGTTCGTATCCGGGATAACAAGTGCAGACGTACGATCCTTCGGTATTTGTGCACTGTTGTTCACAGAATCCCCACTCAGCGCATTCGTCACGATCTAAAATACACGATTAAAATATTAGCATCACATATCGCACGGACCATCAAATACGTAACTATCATTATTTATTTACTAACCGACACACGTTTTTGAATCGTTGGCGATTTTCCGTCCGTCGGGACAATAACACGCGCCACCGGTTGGTGAAGCCTGACACTTGTGTTCGCAACCTAACGCCGGACAACTTAACGTCGCTGTAAAACCAAAATACAAATTAATTTTCTCTCGCGTTAAATATGATGATACTTTTATTTTCATTCCTTCGCCTTTATCACACGCAAGTGGGGTCGGCTACTCTTGTATCCGTCACAATTCAAAAGCTCTCATTTTTTTTAAATTTAAATCCTAATCCTATTAAACCTGGTTAAACCACGCACATCTACCTTAAAAGTCTCATTTATGCTACTTCCCACTTTTTTGGGTTTTTTGATTTATTCAAATGTCCAACACTTAAACTCTTAAATCATTGCCGGTCTTACAGTTTAAACAACTTTCCTTTTATTATTCATCCAGTCACAACTCATTCTACAAACTATAATAGAATAGAATTAACATTCTACAAACAGAATTTCTCCGTTATCTTTTGCCTACAACTAAGCCTTTTCAAACTCATCGAACCTTATGTAAAATTATGATGACAATTTTATTAATTGTTCATACTTACAACACGCAGCTTCTTCGTCGGCGTTATCCTCACAATCTTTATGGCCGTCACACAATTGCGACTTATTTATACACTTTGGCCGTTTGTTTGGTCCCCCCTGTGGACATAGGTATTTGCCCGGGCAAGCCAAAGCGGTACAATTTACTTCATCGGTGCCATCCTGACAATCTGCGTACCCGTCGCATTGGTAGTTTAACGGAATGCAAAGACCGTTGCTGCACCGAAACTGACCCACGTGACAAGCGGCGAAATCTTGGGAAAATAACAAAATTACGTACATTGATCAATTAGAAAAATCGATAATATTAAATAACATCATCGTTGTAGACTCACTGCAGGCTTCCTCGTCACTGTTATCACCGCAATTGTTTTGATGGTCACATTTCAATTTCGGGTCGATACACTTTTGTCCGTTTGCACACCGGAATTTGTCCAATGGACAAGATACGTTGATGGCTGGCATGCAGTTTTCCTCGTCTTTGTGATTGCGACAGTCATAATAACCATCGCATCGTTTGGACTTGGGCAGACATGGACCACTGCCCGGACCGTTCACCTCACACCGGAAGTCTTCGGTCTGACATTTTCGGTACGCTAAGCACAATAATAATAATATAGCGTACATATTTTATTATGAGCAAATTACGACGTGTTGTAAAGTCAATGGGTTCAACGTGAAAAATCGTGATCTATGATGTCGGATATTAAATACTAAAAGAATATTATTATTTACTTATAGAAGATAATATTTTTCGGGTGATGCACGATTGCGAACGTTTTTACCAGCTTTTTTTTCGTACGGCGTTACCAGATTTAATTTTATCAATTATATTTATATAACAAATGGATTTAACATTATTTGTGCAAATTTTGTTTTATTTTCATATAATAAAATCATTTATAAGGTTACCAACAATGGTTTTCTGTTATTACGCCATGCGATAAGATAAATTTTCAATAATCAACAATTTAAACATTATTATTTTGTATCATTTTATTTAATTTTTTATATGTTTTATTGTTTATAATTAAATCCCCGAATAAAATAAAACATATTCAGAAAAATATACACTATCTAAACTTGTCAACGTAGCCTAAAAAAAACGATTTGCAATCCGTTCGTTTTCAGTTAAAAAAATAATTCTTTGATAAACGACATTCGTTCGCAATAATTGTGTTATAAAAAATGTAAAACGTTCGCAATCGTGTTGCACACTACTTTTCATTTTGTAGCCGTTTCGGCACATCATAAAATTAAAACAATATTATGTAAATAACGATTCACTACTGATCTCGCTATATCTAGTTTTTCGAACTAGGCACGAATGTTTAACTGTTTAAGGTCGACGGGCATCGTCAAATTAACATATAACAAAATTAAAACGATTTAAATGTATAAACTTATCGTCAAATTTATTAAAGTTCAAGTCATTTACAAAACGCGTAATAAAATACTACGCTCATCAAAACAATTCTTGAAAATAAAATAATTTTTTTCAACTTCCAGTTTCAATTTATTTATTTTAAAAAAAAATTAGTTTGACCCTTCTTGCACCAATCCACAGATATAAATACGTCAATTTTCTCACCGAAAATTCTCCGACATGAGCTCGTATAGTTATTATCTTTTTAATAATGGGTACACGCACATAAACGACCGGCAAAATTCAAATCTACTTTTGTTCGTGAAATTCCGGCCGTCTCCGAGGACCGTTATGTTTTTAAAATACGATTCGCTATGCAACAATTATTATTCCACCGGCGGCAGCACACGGATGAAAATGTTTTCAAACACTATAATTAACCCAACTAATTTCGTATCGCAAGTCACACGGATTGTAGTCAAGATGTAATGAAAAACACAAGTTACTCATCATTAGTTATTACTCATTATTATAATACGAGGCGATCACTGCTCGCCAACTTTTGACGACTTCGGTAATTTGGGTATATGAAAAAATGTTACAAAATAAAACGTATCTTTCAATGTGTTTTTGGGGGAAAAATTTAAACAGATAGTTGATAATATTTCTGAGGGAACCTCATATAGGTGAATATCATGAATGCGAAAATAGTAAATATATATATATATATATACATTATTTTAGAAATCTCTGTAGGTTAGGTACCTCTATTTTCCGGGTTGATATTTTTTTAATAAAATATTATGTTATGAGGTTACTTAGGAAATATTGGCTTTTGTACTTTTTATAATGGATATTTTATCTCAAACATCTTTCATAAACACGTTTATACCGCTATTGGTGGGACGTCCTCTAAAACGTAAGAGCAACACTTATAATACGATACAAGTTACTATTCCGTTGCGATACACTTGGTGAAATAACACTTGAATTATTGCATACATTTCGGTACGATGGACAAGGAATTTCCCAATCGCGTTTCAAAATCAAAAATCTAAGCTGAATTGATGATTAATGATTAACGTGTACACGTATTATTATTATTGTGTGTAATGAGCACGAGGAGGTTTACGTAAATAATAACTTTCGTTGACAGTAAATGTATACTTCGTATACTGTTCGGGGACAAAATTGAATTTAAATAAATATTTCTTTGCCGTTTTACTACTATAATATAAACGTTTTTCAACAGTACGTTATATTTCGAATAAATTGATGCTTATTTTAATTGGAATATTTTTCTAATAAATACATATTATTTGTTCAGCGTAAGCACTAAGCGTGCTAATATTACGGTACAATTTTCATGTTTATTTTAGAGTTTTATGATGCGACACTGTAAGATTAAACGAAATTTTAAACTGTATTCCATATTACGAAATTATGAAGAATAATTAGGAGTTGAAAATAAGTCCGCATACTTTGCACCATCATATGATAGGATACTGTTGTAAATGAAAAGTTAGGAAGGTAGGATGTACAGAATAATTGAATTTATGTAACGATGAATCGTTACAAACGAAAAACTGTTCTGAGAGAAGTTCGGTTAAACATGTTTTAATAAATTTAAATTTAACATTTTATCAATATGTATTATTATTAACATAAATTCTATTGCATTACAAAATGCAATTTAATTCATTGTGTTTCGAACGAATATCAACATAAAATTAAACTTATTATCTGACGAAAATAAATTTCAAAATTTGTAACAACAAGTTCAATTAATTACTATCTAATACTATTAAGAACTCAAAATACGCCAGACTATTTTGAAAATTACTCTACGTCTATAACGTGTAAAAATAAGTATTCGGTAAAAATTTCTGGTCTCTAAGATTATTATAAAAAAATTACGTATAAATATTTTCAGAAATCTACAAGAAAAATCAAAAAATGGTCTTCCTAATATACCAGCTAGACAAAATTTCCTAATAGAAATCACCTGTATAATAGATAATCAAATCAAGATTTCTGGTACGAATTATGTTTTCATATAAAAAAACAAATATTAAAAAAGCACACATCAAAGTAAAAAAAAAAAATCCTTGCCACGCTCAAAATCTAAAATGTAATGTATTCAACATTTATATATTTTTTTTATTCATATACTAAATCAAAATCCATTCCATATAGCCGTAATACTATTGTAGTCGACTATTATAAAATTGTACTTACTGCAATCTGCCTCGTCGGAACCGTCCACGCAGTCTACCGTGACGTCACACTTATAGTGAGGTGGATAACAGTACGTCTTGTTCCAGTGGTACTGTCGGCACGGCAACAACGTGGGCTCGCATTCAGGTGGAGCTGTGAGAGGGGAAAACAATTGCTTAAATCTTATCGTCTAAATGTTGATCGTGAAATATATAGGTACTGTAGAAAAAATAACTAAAACACTTACGACAACTTTGGAACTCGTCCTCTCCCCGGTCACAGTCTTTTTGCATGTTGCACAGCAAGTCTGACGATATGCACTTGCCGTCCACACACCGGAAAAAGCCCGGGCCGCACGTCATCGACATCAGCACGCTAGCACCGGTTGACGTTTCAGTAGTAGCGCCTGTAACATAAAAAAAAAAAATTAATTAAAACCCACACGTTTACGCACATTTTTGAGTCAGAGTTATCGTTGGAAAAAGGACCTAATAAAATTACCGAAATTTCACCGCGCTAAAGCGGTTTATCAACCGCCCTAAAGCGCTTCATGGCCGTTCAAAAATTCGAATGATAATTGGATCATATAGTCAGTTACCTATATTTATGTTCGTTAAAATTTAAAATTTCAATTTCGCCATTTTCTGAAATGGGCTCTTGGCGTCGTAAACCAGTTTAACAAGCCATATGCTCTGACTATACTTTTTGAGCACGAGCGTTGTCTTAAGTAATAATGATCGATAAAAAAATATCTACAAAATTAAAATGGCTCTTTCGTTTCGGTTAGCACAAACATGTATATTGTACATGAATAATATTAAGATATTTATCAAAATTAGGGTGGGGGGGGGTTCAGATGATTATATTATTGATACTACTTGTTTAAATCGGGCGTTTGGCGTGACGGACAAATTCAAACACCGGCACGGCAATTGAAACAGAACCAAATAAATTTTTCGCCGTTTTGGGTACGCCTGGCAAGACGATAAACGACACGTACACCCAAGCGAACCTCACGAGAGTCAAAGAACGTCAACAAATATCATAATAATGCGTTGCAACTCGCAAAATAATCGTCACATCGTGGTTGACGTTCACACGATAATCACTATTGCATCCGACGATTAAATAAAAGGTCAATAAATATATCAAGTTGCGTGTTTCCAAAGCATCTATAGTATCGCTGTAATATATCTATTCGCTATAGTATCGCTGGTTTGAATATTGTGTGGCTAAAATGTATCATAATATAGTGGATAACGAGAAAATTAATTTGATTTATACGAGTATTTTGCATTGTTCTGTTATTCTTAAAACGTATAATCGGTTAAAAACTACAACGTGTATAGGTCCCAAACGGTCGGATGGGGAGAGGGAAACCACGTCACAGGAATTAGAGGTATATAGTAATTGGATAGGGTATTTTGTCAAACGCGGAGTAAAACATACGGAATTCACGTTGAAGACTTTTTCGGTGGACCTTTGATGCTTACACAAGTATAAAATGGATGTATACCTACATAGCGCTATACAGTGGTGGCTTAAAATATTTTTACCTTGAATCACCTATTTAATTTTCCACCCACCCATCCCAAATCAGAATACCACAAATTTATTGAAATTTAACAAATTTAATTTTGTTAAATCTTAATATTTGTTGACATATTTCTGAACAGCCAGGCATCCACTACCCACCCTCTCCCTTTTTTTCTAAATCACGTGATTCAAATATATCCCTTTTGAGCCACCACTGGCCGTATATCGTATATTAAATGCACTTTTTGCGGCCAAATCTACCATTGAACACGACATCACGCAATCAAATGAATATGGTAAAACTCGAGAATGCCTCCCCCCCTGACCAAAGCTATCTCAGTCTCGTATATCTTGTAGTCCGTGATAGCAAACACATTGTCAATATTTCGGGATTATCACATTTTTAAACCGTGGAAATTCGTATCAACCAACGAGACCGGCGAACGTATAGCATGGGACTATACGTAGAGACTACAATACAGTTTTCCGAGGTTATTGTGCGAACGCCGCGGTGGCGTCATACCTAGTCGGATTTCGGTTCGTCTCCGATAACCGCGTTCGGTTATTACAGGAATACCCACTAATCCGTAGCCGAAGTGTTCCGGTGAGGTTCGTGACGGAACCGCGCCGGTATAACGACAACAAAGTGCGCCCGGTAACGGGGTCGCGGTATACGCCCACGTTCACACGACCGTTTATACGCGCGTGCAAACGTCTCTATAAAATTTTGTAGAAAAAAAAACGATCGTGATGATATTTAACACGCGTATTCGACGACGACGGACGAATATCGTGCGAGCGATTTTCGACAAAAGAAACGCGGGTTACGAACCTGCAACGACTGGAACATCAATTTTTTTTTCCTTTTTTTCGTTATACGGAACGGGCGGCCCGCGTTTATTGTTTATAGGGGAAAATTATACGATTTTTTTTTTATTTCGTTTTGCACTTTATAATTGGGCACCAATAAAAAAAAAATAATAAAAATTCGTGTCATAAGTGTATATTACGTATTATTATAATAATTATTATTATTATAGTGCAGTGCAGTGTTATTGTTATTGACCCGAATTTCACCAAATTAGGTCGGCGACGAATTAACCCAATATAGTGTGAACGAGCCCACGCAGCTCACACGCGCACACACAATTCGAAAAGTTCGATTCGAAACAAACACATAGGTATATTATATCAAAACTCTATACGCGATCGTATAAATATTACAGTTCTATGTCCGATTCGGAATATCCCGATTATAATTTGTCACGTATTTAGGTTTAAGTGCAACGCATATAATATATGGAAAGTGTAAGATTTGCAATAATGGCGTTTGTATAGCAGGTAAAAATCGACGACGGTTAATTTTTAGTTTTAACTGTACCAATATCTATTGTTGATCTACCATTTTTTTTTCAAATATCTGAAAATGAAAATTTTATCACGGAAAGTGCAAGTCTTATGAACTTTCACTACATTTGATCATTGAAGCATCACGGTGCAGGAGAACATCTGAAGTCCCTAAAAACAATTTAAAAATATGTCCAATGTCCAATCTCTAATAAAGATAATTAATAATTTGAACCACGACAAGCCAAATTTTCTAAAGAACGCAATTTAATATACACTTATCACTTTACTATATTTTTTATTTTTCAAGTCGAACACGTCTATAATAGTAGATATAATGAATAATATCATATTATTATTGTTGTTATTATTATTATTATTATCGCCTAGTCTTACGAAGAAAAATAATTTCCAGTGGATCGGATTACTAAATTTCCATCAAAAATCCGATACTTTGCCGTCGAAGTTAAAACGCGATAAGTAATCTCACTATGCGTCTTTTTCCAGACAGTGGTCAAACTCGACAACAACAATCTATTTGTATTAATGTATAAAATATACTCGTATGTAGAAAAATATACAAAATATCTCCGTGGCCGTGTAATACTTTATTGCAACGCGACAGTAATACGCGAAGTCGTCGAACGACGAAGACTTTCTCTAAAATGTACGTTTGTGTACTAATAATATTTTGCAGTGCCTGTGTAGCCTTTAACACTATTATTCTATAATAAAAGAGAGGTGAAGCAGATATCCTATATATTCAACCTGAACGTCCTCCGCGTGCGTAGCACGCGATCGAAAAAAGATTATAAAAAATAATAAATAAAATCGCTTTAATCCAACGAGAGATCATCACATGTACATATTATTATACAGTACGTATACGACCACCTGTAAGCAAACAGACACTTGTTGCAAACGTTCACCGAACGAAAGGCAAGTTTAGGCACAGAAGATTATAATATTATTATTATAATGGTAAACTGTGTATATTATATACCAGGGGTAGGCAATAGACGACCTGCAAAGAAGAAATAAACGGACTTTTTTTTTACTTTAACGTTGTTTTCATTATTTGTCTCTGTGCGGATCCAGAATATCCAAGCGTTCTAATCTAATCTATATTTATGATGCATTTGGCGTATTTGGTGTATTATTATACAATTGTATGTAATATATTTTATTCTATAAAATAATTAAATATTATTATAATAATAATTGTATTTTTAATACAAAAATAAATCAATGTATTTACTTAAAAATTTATGTTTTTTCTGGAATTGTTAAATAATACGGAACATCGAATAGATATAGAGGTTGAATTTTTTTTTTTTTTGCTCAACTCCAAAAATATATGGTTCTCGAACACTTTATTTTTAATTACCCGGCCCCCGTTATAAACTAATTGCCGACCCCTGGTATATACTGAAGTATATAATTTGACTAGATCGGTGAATTCTATAAAAGTTCACACATCTCAACGTTTGGTCCAACAAAAAAATTTCTTTTATCAAATTTGCATTTTCCATTCACGCGTTCCTTATTGATAATAATGATATTCATTTATTGCAGTACATAGAACAATTTATAATTATATACTCAGGAGAAAAATGTTTATAAATACGCACGTCATTTTCCAAATTATGAAAAAAAAAAAAAAATAAAATGTTTCAAGAAATTAACGCGTAAAAAAAAATATGAATAAAAAAATCAATAAGACATTATATCTACTCGTACACGTTGGAAGTTGTTTTAAGAATACCATTTAAACAAACTATAATACAAGTATTAAACTTATTAAAAAGCTAAAAGAGCAGAAATCGTTTCATTTTTTTTGTTCAAGTACTATAAGGTATTATATTACCTATATTGTATTGTATATTAATATTATATTACCTATATATATTTTTATCTATTAACAATACGTCTATCTATACGCATATATTTCAATATAAATTTTATAGGTCGGATATAATGATTGTTATAATTTTCTATAGTACAATTTTGAACGAAAATTAATATACATTATAATAAATAAGTTAACAATTTACTAAATATGCTTAAAAAAATAAAATACATACACACACACACACACATATATATATATATATTTAATGGAAAATAATATATTATAGTGTATTTGGTTAAAGGTCTGGTTGATATATTTAGAACATACACTTGTTTGACCTTCTAATATTGATTAAAGATAATATAATAAGAGTTTTAAGATTAAATAACATACAATAATAATATACGATATCATTTAATTTATAAGATGATAAAAATAATATTGTATGTAACTTTTTAAATATAAATAAAAATATATTGGATCGAAATAATATAAGTAACATAATTTAGATATCGTAATGTACCTGCCTACAAAATAATTGAAAAAATTACTTAAATCGAATACAATTTTGTGCAGGTGTTTTTTTCGTTTAATTCAATCTGGTGCCCCTCTACAAAAAAAAAAATATAATTTATATTGATATTAGAACTTCTATTTCAAATTTCACTGATAATAACGATTGTATCTCATTGTTACATTATTTAAGATAAGTAACCTGATACCATTAACAGTAACAATAAATTAGCGGCGCAATTTTCCATTTCATGCTGCACTAATGCATTATATTCGTACTGCACACTATTTTTAAGGCCCTTGAGTTTAAAAAAACCAAAAAGAATGTATAAGATATTGGTATCAGATCTCTTGTCAAAGTAAAGTTAATAATTTCAAACGAGAAAGACATACGTATCGAATTTTGTTTGAAAAAACCATAATATTTACTTATGAAATATTAGAATTCAAATTTAAAGTGAACGTTTGCTTGAATAATCTTGATTATTTTAGTGTTGTTTTTTATTTGTTCGCAATTTTTTAAAATATTAAAATAACGGGAAATCCGAAAATAACCGATCGTACGAGTACCTAACCTAACTTATCTGTAAAATTTCTACATAATGTTTATTAAATCAAGTTAAAAAGTGTTTTTCCTACGTGGTGGAAAAAGTAAACACGTCCTATAAAATTATTAATATTTGTATTTATTCATATAATATTAAATTGAATTTTTATCCAAAATATTAAAAAAAAAACATAATAGTAAAAATGTTTACACGCGAGTTCTTATCTATATCACGTATTGACCTTGTTGCGGACATTCTGAAGGGTCGTATATCGTTATAAAAATATTTATGTCCGTTTCGAACAGGCTTGGCTGTAAGTGTAAGTGGATATAAATGTCAACCCCGATCACCTTGTACTCTATATAAATAGAATATACTATGTATAGGATTCCATTTATTAAATATCGAAAAATAACAAAAACCACGTTGTGCTTCATTCATATAGGCTATAATTATTATTATATGCAGCTAAATCTTTCATTTATTTTTTATTTTTTAATAGTAAATTGACCTTGAATTGGAAATTCGTAGACCTTGTACGAATTCGTATACATTAGGTATATATTTTATAGTAGACACAAGGAAGGTAGGTAGGTAGATACCGTTGTACATCAATCCATAGTTAACCATAAGGAAAGGGGGAAAGGGGCACATACTCTAGAAAAAAAATGAAACATAAAAACGATTTTTAATTCATGATTATTGAAGCCGAAGAATGTCTATTTTATTTTTGTTTTTACGATAAAAATGTATATTGTTATTTTTTGCAATTTTTATGACTAAAGTTACTGATCTTAGTTCTTCTATATATTTAAGATTTTTTTCTTAATACTTAAGTTTCTCTACATTGCATTGTGGTAATAAAACGCTCTTTAACGTCTTTCTAAACTTCGTAATAACCAAGAAATGGTCAGTATCACAGTCCGCTCCTCTCTTCTGTATCTTTTTACAACCAAAATACTAAATGTTTTATCAATGAGCAAGTGGTCAATTTTATTGTAAGTATGTCCGTTCTGTGTATTTATGAATATCCTTATAAGGGAAAGTTATACTACTGATGGTCATATATTTTAATATTATAAAAGCTACAATCCTTTGACCATTATCATTACTTTGCTTATGCACACTGTGTAACCCAATTATAGGTATAGACAATAGTCCCTTCCCTATTTTAGCATTAAAATCACCAATGACGATCTTAACCGTATTTCAGCTCTTAACAGATTTTGAAATGCTTACATAACTTTGTTTCTCATTCGTTCTTATTCAAGAAAAACAAACCTAGTATAGCTATAATCTATAAGTTTCATTTTTTCTCTTCCCTGAAAATTATCATATGGGTGTCATTTTTGCATGAAACTTAAAACCGTTCAAATAATATTTTTCAAGGTATTTTCAGAGAAATAACACATTTTTGAGCCTACTACATATAATTTTATTGTATCTAAAGTATATAATTAAAGTCACATAATGAAAACAGATGCACGCATATAAACGACATCATAATAAACTGCAGCAACACACGAATGCCATAAATTAACAGATATATAGTCAATTTTACATTCGTATGTAGCATAAATAATTACATGCAGAAACGTAGGCACAATTTTTTTTTTATCAGTTGTATAAAGCTTAAATTACGTTAAGGATACAAACGCTTTTTAAAAATATATTGTTGAAAATAAAGTAAAAATCAAATAGCGTTATTCGATCACGTGCGTTTAAATAATAATAAAACAGTAGGTAATACGATAATGTTGAAATCCAATACGATATTAATTCATTAAGTTTTAGCTGCAGTGGTATGGCAATTTATACATAAGTACATATTATAATAATATATTATTACGGCCTGTTTACAAGTAAACACTTTATATTGTATATTTAATAGACGATACCTAACTAATAAATATATTGTGTTTGTAATTTAAAAAAATAAAAGAAGAATTTTTAACTATAATTTACATAGAACGTTTTCAATATTATACATTGAATTATCCAGTTGTCGAAAAAATGATAAGGGAATAGCAAGTAACAAGACCAACATCGAAAATAAAACGTCCAAACGTTATACTGTTTCAAGGAATTTAATAGCCTAACTCCGAAATGAAAACATAAATCCTTTAGTCGCTGAAAAGTCAAGTACCTCTGACGTCAATTTTAAATTATCAGAGAAGTCATATGGTGAGGCGATAATCAGTAGCGGATTTGAGAGGAGTGATGAGGCGATTGCCCCCAAAGATATAATATTTTTTTGTTTTGTTATTTATTACGGTTTTACTACGATTATGTATTGTTTTATAAAAAATATTTCTAGGTATAATATAATATAGGTCAAGAAAAATTTGACAAATTTTTGCTGCTTATAGTTATTTTTTTCCGTATCAAATTGTTTTAAAATAATAAAATAATACACTGTTAAGAAAGTAAAAATAAGAAAACAATGATAACATATTTTGGTATCGGAGGGGGAATATTATTATGTTATAAACAAAACGATTTAACAAAAGATGTTTTTGTCATACTCGTTCATATATATATATTATACATTTTGTTTGACAATTTAAAATATGCGCGTATTTCTTAATAAAACTCTTATGCTACTTAATTAGTTGTTTTTATTAAATTATTATTTATTTATTTTTTTGTATAATTATAAAACAAAATTATAATGATACACTAACGAGTACTTATATCATTCAAGGACAATTACAATAATATTGACAAACTATTTCGTCAAAATATAATAAAAGTATACTCGGGTTTCACACCACGGGTAGACCACTGTTGTGGGTTGGAGGTGTGAAAAGTATTGAATATAAAGGATCATTTAATTTATATATTTAAAGCAACGATCTTAAGCAGAAAAAAAAACATTCTGAGCAGAGTTCAGTAAAATAGAAAGGATATAATTTTATTAGTCGTATTTTTTTTCTTTGTACCCAAAGTAACCTAAAAATCAACAAAAACAATATTGAATATGACATTTATTGCCATTTTTTTTTCATTCTTTAAAAACGCTGTTGTGAATTTAGTGATATTTTTCAAAAAAATTTTGCTACAGAGTGAAAATAATTTTAAGTGACTGCATAAAATAGTCTAAGCATGTTTTTCGAGAAAAATTCACATCTTAGTAAAACAAATAACTTCTTCACAGAATCTAAAATATTGGCATTAAGTTAATGATTGAAATAATATTAAGAAGTAATATTGAAAAGGGTTTTTCTGTTCTCTTGTATAATAATACGAGTAAATTCGTGTATACCTACAACAACACGATACAGTCGAAATCCTTTCGCGCAAACAATGCGAGTCTTAAACAATAATAATATGATACCGCGCGATTAATCAATCACCGAATACAATAGTGTTCATATATTATTATCTTTTGGCATCTTGCATATCTTAAAAAAAAAAATCGTTCTCCTTCTTATCGTGTACCCGAGTACCTATATAAAATGTACTGACTCTTTGTCGGAAATACCTATATAGGTACATCTATTTCGAAATCAAATGATTCTCCGTCATATTTGCACATATACTATATGGGTACAAAAACTTCGATCGTGACGACCAGCAAAGAATCTCTTCCAACCATCATCGCACGTAGTTTTACAATAATAATAATAATGATATAAAAATAAAAAAAATACGCTCGCAACATTCACCTCTCTTCGCAGCGGTGTCATCCGGAGTGAAAGCAAATTTACCCATAACAACAATGTAATGATTCGTAATTTTTTTTTTTTCAGTCCAGGTACGTGTTGTTTTATATATATATATATATATATATATATATATATGTTGTTATGTCTCAAGAAATTGCACGTGTAATGCAATAATGGATGGAAAAACGTAAAAATGTCCAAAAAAAAAAAAAACTATAAAATTAGACTAGAACACGGTTTTCACAGACGTCGTTTTCGTCTTCATATAATACATAAAAGAGAAAACCGATCGGGTACCTACTGTATGTATGTGTGTGTGTGTGTGTGTGTGTGTGTGTGCGTGCGTGTGTACTGTATTTGTATATATTGTATAAAATATTAATCTATATAATATAATATTGTTTGATATTTTTAAAAATCTAATTTTGAAACAGTATTTTTGTACTTCGTATTTTTTAAAAACTGTTAATAAACTTTTCCTCAAAATTAAAATATCAAACCCATCGTAAATATTAAAACTGCAAATCTATCCTAAATTTTTGAAAAATATAACTTTTGTGAGCGTTAAACACAAAATTAATATTTCCAAAAATGAAACACTGATTGATCAAATATAAAAACAAGTAATAATTGAAATTTGTTTTTTTGCTTCTGTTTGCAAAGTTACAAACCGAAACTTTTCGAATGAAGCGTCATAGTTATTAGCACATCAAGTAGATAAATACTTGAAATTGTAATATTATACATGCGTACCTAATTACATAGTTAATGAACGTATCGGCAATGGCATGGAAACATATCGTGACACATCGAATTGGCATTAAAAAATCGATGGGTCCCTATTTAAGTAAATTATAATAATAATAATAATAATAATAATAATATAATGGTTTTCGTATGCATACAGACAGTTCGGAGAATTTACGAAAAAACAAAACTATTTTTATAATTTGTAATTAAAGAAAAAAAAATCTAACACGTTTTGTTTTATAATATACAGCGTGTACTGTAAACACGGACGTTAAAACTTGATTCAGGCGAATATCATGAAAAAAAAAACTTCAATACATTTACAGTGGAATGTTTATCGAAAATCAAATATTTATTATAGTAAATATATGTATAAGTATGGTATCTACTATAAATGGAGGTATAAAGACATTTCGTTTCAAAATGTCATTGTCACCGGTTTTTACCAAGCCGTGTGCTCGAGAATACATTAACCCATCGTCGCATATTATAGAGGCCATTAAGGCTAATATTCGTGTATTCGACTAATATAGACGTGAACATATTATTGTTATTAAAGTACATCGCAATAAATTTGTTTAACCAAATATGTTAACTAAGAGCAGCCTTCGAACAGGTGCCTCGAGAGAAAAAGCCGCTGCCAAAGAAAAATTGATAGATATTGTAGAACCGAAGATTTTAGAGCGTTAGGTATAAAGTAAATTAAAAGGAAGCAGTAGTACACGATAGAGATAAGTGCCGTTATATTATAATGGTGACTAAGACCCCCAGAGAGTACAGCTATACTAGAAGATAAAGCATAACATGTATAATATATATATTATAAAAACACATTTTGCCGAAATCGCCAGAATTCTCAGAAAATATACATATTTTCTGGTAGTATTTATCATTTTTCGAATCAAAAATATATAAGTATCTAGAAATAATATTATACTGTTTTAGAGCGTCGCGTTTCGAGAATCTTTAAACTACACTTTCTCGCGCAGTATTTATCCTCACATTACTTACGCGCATTATTAGTGCGCAAGTATTGCCACTATCGCCCAAGTACCATTTGCATTGCGTAAAATATGAAAATCGTAATAATTTTTAGTTTGATAATAATTTCTCTCTCTATAATATCAAAATAAAAAGAATTGCTAATAAAAAAAGAAAACGATAGTTTCAATTTTGAACAACTTAATTGATATCAAAACGTTTCTGTAAATGCGTACATTGTTTTAATTTAGTAATGGGACAATACTCTTAAACTTGATAATATAATATTACTATATAGTTTATGAAGATATGTAACTATAGATTACTAGATTTGAAAGGCATTTGCTTTTTCTTTCTATCAGTTCAAAATGAAACTTTACCAGCTACGAAATATTATGATTAGTGCAACGTAGAATAAAATATGTACATAATTTTATTTTCGCATAGATTTTTAATTTGTTGAATATATTCAATTCCTAAATATTTTAAAAGCCTAAGTCGATTTTAAACTATCCACTTACATTTTAAAAATGTAAAACAATCAATGTTTTAATATTCTTTTTAATTTGTATTAATTTAGTTTGTGTTAACAAAGCAAAAACATCATAAATAACATTTTACTTAAATTGCGCGTGTAAATATTACTTCAATGGAACCTATACTTTGGTGAAAAATGATCAGATTATTTAAATACATACGATAATGTTGCGGGTTCAATATCATTAGCTTTAGATGCATTAGCAGATGGGTTTATAAAATAATTTATCAAATTTTAGATTGTAAAGTTAAAAATAGACAGTCGGTCATTCTTGTGAAATTAGTTTTGTGTACACGCGGATACGTGATTATGTCGACCAGCAAATTTAGAGTAGCGTGACAACCGCGCACATACGGGCCATGGATTGTATCCACAGTCGTTTATTTCTGTCCAATACAATTATTACTATCGTCTGAATAAAATCTAATCTATACTCGTACTACGGAATTTGGACGGTTCGATTATCAATAAACAGACCGAAAAAATTTCCGGGGACGATATTATAATAATGATATCGATAACACAGTAACTCGTTAACATCGAAGGGCCATCGCCAAACACGCGGTAATTGCAGGAAATGTACACACACCGTTTGACAAATAATAATGCGACGCCGCCGGAGAATTTTGAAGGACGAGAGAAACAATACCTAATGTTGCTGCACGAGTGACAAAATTAAATATAATATTCATGTAATTGTAATGAAAAACGGTAGTATCGAGTCCAGTTACATTATTATTACCATGGCCTCGATGCATTTGTAAGTATTTCTTAAAAAAAAAAGTGCATATGCGATAATCTGATATTATATACAAATTCGTTTCAAAAAACCTATAATTATATATCAAATCAAATAAAAAAATAGAATTAATTGCATTTTTTTTGTATGAGTTATTTTTGCGATAATATTTTTGATATTTTGATTGTGTGCACAAAAAACAAACGGTTTTTCTTACAGAAGATTAGGATTATACAACCTAAAATACCAAATTTGTAACATACCATTTTCAGAAATTTGGTATTTATTATTTCAAATGTTTTTTACCATATCGATTATCAATTATATTATTTATTTCACTGTATTCAAGACCTCGTGGCAAGTAGATCACCCAAAAAAATGTCCGTCGAGCCTACCGCGTGCCGGTTTTCCCCTTACTTTTGGTTTCTTTTCTCCGCGATGATGATGATAACAGGCAGACAGACATGACCTGCATCCAACCTGAGAACCGCACGGAGTTCGTTCACCCGGTTCCCCGGGTCACACCCATCTGTTTGGAGCCGACCTCTAACTGGTTTTATACCCGGCAGGGAGAACACACACAATTATATACCAACGTGGAGGGGGACTTCAGGTACACGACGCTGCGTCGAGTATACCTATAGGTACACACACGCATAATAATATCATATACCCGGTCGAAAACCATTTGGTCATACGTATACGTACACAAACACGTCATACACGCACGGACAAAAATACATAAACACACACATACACACAAGCGCACGCACGCACTTATCGTAGTTAGTGACCGTTCTATGAATACCACATGTATATAAGTCGTTACCATTACCTATATCGATAATATTATACGTGTCATTATTACGCTATTAATACCTACCTACGCGTGTATTATATCTATAATAATATGTGAGTCTGGCACGGTCAGTAATCGGTCCGTAATACGTGTATACTGCGTATATACTACGACGACAGTATTAGGCGATATTTCGAAAACACGACAAACCCATTTGTCCGATGAAAAAATATCACTCAGCTACCTGCAGTTATAACTAACTGCAACGACATTATAAAGATAAGACTGTACGTGGTGCGGTCGTATAAATACAAAAAAACGGATAAGAAAGAATGACAAGGTCTACTGTTTTATGATAAAGGTGGTTAGTATAAAGCTAAGTATTCTGCTAGCATCGTGTTGTACTGAGCAATTGGATTGGTCAAAATACAGTAGGTATTATTGTAGTCTGTATTGTAGTCTAATATTTTGATAACAGTAATAATAGTATATAGTTACCAAAGAATTGAAATATTGTATTCAACTTTTGGCCCCATGTGGTTGAGAAATAAAAAGATAATAATTTATTAAATATGTATACATGTAATATTTGTTAAGTGTTCTCTGCATAATACAAAAAAAAAAAATACACAATAAAGTGTTAACGGAATTATACCGGCTTATGGCAAGTTACGATAATTTTTTATAAAAATATCCCCGGTAGAAATATTATGAACACCGAATATCCGATCGTATAATGGTACGAAATTCGCCTTAAACGCAATAACAATCGCCAATGTTTTTGGGTGAACCGCTGTGAGTTTATTTGCAGACATCACTGGTAAGTTCTACACTGCTGGAGTTGCTTATACCGAAAATTGAACAGCAGAGATCACCGTAGTTAGGTATGTTTTCGCTTCTGCCGTATATCTACTATAGAAATATCAACAGAATACACTAATGTAACAATCTATTATCTCCACGAACGAGTAAACTCTGGGTTTGTTTTATTTGACGCGTGCTTGTCACCCAATTGTAAAATCAATTCGTAATAAAACGTGGATGGTGGAGACTTCAACGCAGGTAGTTAACTACACCCAACAAAACAAAACTGTCTATCAACTACACCCGTACGAAGAATGAACGACGTTGTAAATATAATATTTGTTGAGTTTTAAACATATTTACATTGTATTATACTATTTTATTAAAATATATACCAAATGGTTTGTTTATCATCTTATAAACCAGTAATTACCGACGAAAATTTTGTTTTCAATTTTTCAGATATATTATAGAAAATAAGATAAGATAATATTATTCAAAATTATAACAGAAAATCGTCGTGAATAAACGCTGGTTCGTGATAAAAGTATCTTCTGTATAATATGATGAAAACAAATTAAATTTCTAATAATTTCTTGCATGTAAACCTAATAAAAACCACTATACTTATATTATTCAAACTATGATTTCTGGTCCATCATGCAACCATTTTAACGCTGCAGAAACACCGCGTTAATCATATTTCACGGAATAATATGTGATACACGAATTTCGCGGTTAACCATTCTTTAAGTGCGTGTGTTACGTATATGTGTGTATCTATACAACCACAAACGTCCATAAATACCTTTGGTTATTGCGCGCGTAATTTTTTTTGCTTTCAAAAAAACCAAAAATAATATTTAGTAAAACATATATATACATATATACATGTATACATATTACATAAGTTTTACTAAGTATTATTTTTGTTTTTTATACATATATGTATCGCTCGCACTTTCCCCCGATGAACAGTTACCGGTGTGGTGGTGTGACACAATCATATGTAACATATAACTATGTGTCTAATAATATTGACTATATTATTATTTATTTTCGTACTATACACGTGTATATGTGTTGTCTATGAAAATTACATACTGCAGAATATTTGGCTGCTGCGATACAGCTGATTTTCCCCTCTAGCTCTCACACGAGAACTAAACGTAGATATAAAAATTGCTATGTGTGTGAACTAATCGGTGACGACGCAGCGATCAGATCGCTAAAATAATTGAACGCGAGCGAGGAGATTTCTAATTTCGAATAATAGAGGTCTACGGGAGTGAGTATTAAAAGACAAAAAAAAACACCCATGAAAAACCGTTTTCGTATACACTCGTATACATTATATACTTTCCCGCACTGACAATGAATAAAATACGAGTATATAACGATAATAATATATACACCTTAGTCATTATATATATACGTATACACGACTGTATTTTAATTGTCCTCGCAGTATCCATCCCCTTCTCCTCAAGTCTTCTTGCTTATCCTTCTCCTCCTCCTACTCCTACCGTTCACCACTTCCTCTTCGCACAGCACCAGCTCAGTTCACGTCTTGCCATAAAAACGGTACGGTACGTTGATATGCAATGCACACGCTCGTCACGCAAGACCAAGTCTACGGTGCGTTTTCCTGCAATGTTAGTATATATTTTTAGCGAAAACACCGGACGAAACACAAATTGCAGCAATTACATCGAAACGATTTATACATAAATTGCGCGTATGCACGATCGCTGTTGCGCAGACTGTGCACTATTTTACCAACACAATATATTGACAACGACGGATTGTATTATAGGTGTTGTTGAATATGCGATAATACATTATAATAATATTAAGTAACACCGCTCGCGCGCACAATGGCCGCGTATAGGCATTCTCGCAATAAATAATAATCTCCCATTGCGCGCGGTATTTCCGAATACTATACCATACACTACTTCTCAGGGGTCGATTTCATCAGTGAATTTGCAACGAGTTCTCTATAGAGGGACTTTGGTTAAGCTATGTACGACCATAATAAGACTTGTGGATGCAATATGTTGTCCACAGCTCCACAACTGAGAAAAAAATTATACCATACAGCTTGTGTGCAAATAAAGTGCAAAGACAGTGTTTGATAGTGAATTAAACATGTGGCGTAGAAGGAGAAATGTAGGGTTTGATTACGCGATGCGAAAAGTAAAACTACGAGTGTAAGAATAGCAAACGAATGGGAACCGTTGGGAAAAAGACGCAAAGAATGACGGGTAGATAAGATATGAAAGAATTTAGAAAAACTAAAAGTGACGAATTGGAAAGATGACAGTTAAATTGGACAGTGACGGTGGTGGCCAACAATCTTAAAGGATTTTAAAGCCAAATTAAACAATACATTTGTATTTTTTTACCTGAAATTCGACTAATAAAACATTTTTCTAGACCAATGTATGCAATATACTGTTTGTAAACGATTACATCCTCCGAATCCTACTGCTATCACGAGGGTTCGATAGTAGGAAAACGAATACACAGAAGTATGAAATTATAATATTATTATATAATAATACGGATAACCGATTGCACACACTGAGTGATATTGATTGTGATCAAATAATCATCGTACGGCATAGTTCTCGGCGTAGAAATTAAAATAAAACATCAATTGCATACATTATCCGTGACCTGTTTGTTTCGACATAATATTATCGTAAACATTACACCCGTAGATATAACTGTAATAAATCGACTAGAATTAACACAAAATGTTCGAAGGATTTAATAAATCTGAACCAGAGACATTTTAAGTATTTAGCTGGTTGATAAGATATCTTATATTAGTAGCCGTATTATTATGATAGTATAATATAAAAGTATTCGACATTTTGATGATTTGATCATATAGTGGTATCATTTCGATATGCTGGAAAAAATTGTCAGTATATATTTGTCTATACCTGTCTTTAAAATGCAGTCTATAATACTATAATATACTTCGACCACATCTTTGGCCATTTCGATCGGTAAGTAGTGCTGAAGGAAACTCACTCATAGTCGACGAACAGCTTATACTACTTAATAATAATATCATGACGACACAATAGCCCTCGATATCGATCGAAATCCGTGCATCACAACAGGCCACACGTCGATCTTTCGCGTCAAGGACTCGCGGGCAATGTAAACAGACAGTCACTGCAGGACGTCCGTCGCACGTATGACGCACGTCCTCATCAGCCGTCTCGGTGGTAATATTATAATATAGCTACTCTTGCACGGTACTATTGTAACACATTATATATATTATAATATTATAACCTATACGCATCACGGGATAAATAATTAAATCTCACGTGATGTCCGACCCACGAGGGTTGTGGTGATGATGGTGGTCGACCGGGTTCGATGACGATAACTACATTAGATCACGAAGGGGAGGAGGAGGGGGTTGGTAGTGAAATAACAGCGTAATGTTTGGTGTGGTCGGCCTTGCGAGACGGAAATACAATGCATCAAGAGCAGCAGCAGCACTGTAGTTATTGTTGTGGTCACCATTATTAAAAGTAATACGATATTATGATTATGATTATTCACGGAAAATCCCGCACTAAAAGACCGTACACTGTAAATATGCAGCTGCACAAATATGTAATAAAAATGATGAGGAGAAACACGCATCGGAGGAAGAGTAGGAGTTATGCATAGAACATGAAAAACGACGTGAATAATTACCCGACTACAGAGATTAGTCCGGGCGACAAGTAGGTATAGGTAACTGGAAAACGTCCGAAATACGCGTTGTCATCGTCGTAGGAGAGGCAAAAAAAAAATAATAATAATAATACGAAGTAAAAAAAAAAGAAAACATACACATGACTATAAAAAAAAAATCATTAATACGTCAATTGTATATGTTTATATTTGCGTGTGTTTGTGTTTTGCTCATATGGTATTTGCAGGTAATTGCTGTGTGATGTACGGTTCGATAACTGACGTCCTTGCATATTAACGAGTGAGTGCGACGTAAACCAGAGGCCTCGCGTCACACTATTATACTGGTCATTTTTTTTAATCCTCATGGGTACACCATATAGTAGGCAGAGTATATATTATAATATACATGATTGAAGTTTAGATCATTCCCGAGAGAGAGGAAGAGAGAGAAAGAGAGAAGTTTAACAACAAATATAACAAGAGATAACATCTACAGTTTAGATCCTATCATTATATACCCAGATATTGGTCATCTGTTTCTAATATTATTGGTACTATAAGAATTCGTATATTAATATATGTTTATGCATTTGACCAGAACAAATTTAGTTTCAATTCCCTGAATTCTTTTCTACCGATTTTTAATTTAGTGAACAAATTATCGTTATGTGTTAACATAATAAATTGTTGATTATTAGTTAATCTCTCGTCGTATTTTTTTATTTTTGTTACATAACTGACTAGTATTATATACTGCCGTATTTCCATGTCTTTTTATTATTTGTCGTTTTCCTAATATGGCTGTCTGAAAAACAAATATGATTTACGCAAAAATGAATTTGCTAAAGTTTGGAGTTTCATAAAAACAAAAGTATTCATTCATACGAAGCGTACTGCTGCACTTTTTATAATAGAATATAGGTAGTTAACATAATATTGTCGTGGTTTTTGTTTAAAAAAAACTATGTGGTAACCTTACCTAAATTAGCCACCGCTAACATTTATTTTTCTCGGAAACCTCTCGTGAAACCATATACCGCACATTTTCTAATCCTCTTTCGCCAATATAGACAAATATTACCTATATTATTATTATTATTATATAGAAAGCGCGTCCAGTTATTAAAATAATAATACCCTCGTTAATGAGCCCGGTGCACTTTCTTCATCGATATTGTACCTACTACATACCGATCATCTATTATTATTGTCGCCGTTTTCGTTTATTATTATCATTATATTACTATCGAGTTTCCCGTACCCACGTCTCTATGGCGCTATACAGTACATCTATGTACTACCTTACACAAACCTTCTATAGCTGATAATATGATAGTAGTCGGATCTAGCAGGTTGCCATGATGCATTACCCTTTACAGCACAGTAAACTAATAACTATTATAGTATACACACGCGTACACGATACCTAATCGGACAATTGCCCTTGCAATGTTAATATATTCGGCCGGCTTAGATTTCTGCAGCCAATTATCGTACACAGTACACACGCACGTGACCACGAACATACCTACGACGATAATAATATAATTCGTCCGTCTATTGATAATTTATTATGTTTTCGTGGACATTATTGCTATACGGTGAAAATACTATTGTCATCAAAATTACAACAAAATAATATTGCACTAAAAGCCATAATTAAAATAAGAAAAGAAAAGGATGATGATGTTAGAGCGACGCTAAAATGGAAGCGTATAAACATTTCGGTAGATTCAGGGAAAGGTGGATCCACGTTCTCGAAGACATCCTACGGAGTCTAGAAGTAAAAAACTGGAGAGATGTGATCCAAGACAGGAACAGGTGGCGTAATTTAGCAATGAAAACTCTTATTGAAAGTTGTAAAGGACCAAAGGAAAAGAAAGGGAAGATACAACTTTCAGTAGATAGTAGATTGAAGATACAAAGTGAAAAAAAGTGAAAAAAAGACGAATTTCACTTGATAATTTTGTTCATTAAAATTCAATTTGTAACTATACAATTGACTATCTAATACCCACTTTATTTATTTTTAAAATTTTATTTAATAATACTAGTACTGGTATTTTACATCAATAATAATAATAACATTATACCTGCATTTTTGTAATTTTATCTGCTATAAAAAAAAAAAAAAAAATGTTTAAATTGTTATTTTATATTTACTTATATTTACAGAACCTATTATTGAACTATGACTTTCCTGCAGTCCAATAGCTAAAATCATAGAATAAGCAGGTAGGTAATGTAAATATTTTTAAAATAATTCACGTAAAACGCATACCTATATCTACCTACATTCATATCAATTATCTATATAGTAGGATATTATCCTCTATTATAATACCTAACTTAGTATATTATAGAAACTTACTGAAGAATTTAGAAATATTCCTCGTCGTTAATTTATACGTATCATTATAATATTTATTTAAATGTTCGGATAATTATCTAAGAAAAAAAAATACATATAGTTAGCAGCCGTTTTAAAATGATGCGTGGACAAATATTTGTGGCAATTAATTTTTATTTATACAGGTATAATATATTTTAAACAGGAATACGTACAGAATATTATACGTCTTCATAGCAATAGTTCAATCACATAATATGATAGGGAAAACATAATTTAATTGATATGAACTATTATATAAAAGTTTCTATGTACCTACCTAAAGACTAAAGTTGTATAATATTGTTTAATGGATCCTCTAGCAATGTAATTCAAATTTTGTTTGATGTGGGTAAAGTATTTTATACAATTTATTAATACTATTATAACAAATTTTTGATATATTTAATATTGAATTATTGGCGCTTTACGGCGATAGGTTAGGTTATACGGATATAAAGAAAATAAAATCATTATGAATTTATGTATAAATCAATAGTGACCAATTTTTTAAGTACAACTATAGTATTGGTTATTTGAATTAGAAGTTAATAGCTATGATTAGTATTTAATACCTACTCACTAAAAGATATGATATAAATCAAATTTAAGTGCGTCCTTATAAGTATTTGTATAATTGATTTAACACACACGATGGATTTTGGAGTCTTCTAAATTAAGTATAATTCAAAATTGCCTACGACTCATATCTACAACGATTCGTTTTGATGAAAAAAAAAAAATAGGTTAAGAGTGATTCGAATAGAGAAATTACCCAGTGATAACACCCAGCACAATATGTATATTAAGGTATCATATCTATGAAAATTTACTAATCATTGTATGGTTCGTGATTTACAAGAATCATCCTGTATATATTTCCATCATTTGCGTAACGTTTGTATGGTTCACTAAAAACACCAAAGACTACACGTGTTAATAAAAAAAAGTATGTAGTAGGTACATTTAAACAATTTTATGACTGAATAAAAACGGTTTTTATTATAATACCTAGGTACATACGTTATAACAAATGTTTGATGATAATAATTTTTCCCGTCCAAAATAATTAAGAGGTCGCTGGCATTTTCAACGCAAATTACCTTTTTCGGTTATACCTATCAACATTCACACTGCACAGTTGCTAATAATATCCATTCTCTATTTCGTTCCGGATTTATCACCGAGTACTTGTATTATAGTGAACATTATGTTGACGGGTGTAATATATATTAATTATATATATATGTATAAAAAAAACGTGCAATGGACATAATAAAAATACACGACTACGAGTGCTACCGGCTATCGCCATCGGTGGCATTATTTCAATTTTCCGTTAAGGTGTATAAAAAAATAAAGAGGTCAACACTTACAACGTATCGTTTTTACCGGGTCAGTTGTTTAAGAATACAAAAAAAAATCAGAGTTAGTTCGATGTATAGATACATATAATAACATAATATTAGTATTTTTCATTTCCCCCCCTACTTTTAAAAAACATTAACTATTTAAGTTTAACATACAAATAAAACCGTATAGGTAACTAATTACATTTTTATTTTATTTTTTTTCACCTGATACTTACAGTTCGCAAATTGTTTAGGTATTGATAATATATGTTCGATGAAAATCAGGTTATAAAATAAGTAAATAAAAATGGAGGATACCGAGTTGAATATATTTAAATATTATTATTTTATTCAACCTAATTATAATATAAAGTTATAAAAAGATATACTGACGCATTGTTTATATAGACCTACGTTAACTATTGGGTGCAAAGTATGGAGCATACTGTATGGCCGTTAACAATGTATATAGAAAGAAAACTTATGACTTTATGATCCTTTAAGAATAAGAAGCTAAGAATAATATAATATGGATCAGTTTTCAAGATTATGGGTTAAACTGCTGGCGTAGAAGGAAAAACGCTAAAATAAGAGGGAAATAATGAAAGTACCCTTCATAACAAGTCATATATGAAAGGACAAAAACTCCAGGAGTTGTGATACGCTGCATAAAAAAAGGAAACAAATTTAGAGCAGCAATTAAATAGAAACCAGAGGAGAAAAGGCCTTGAGAAAAAGTGAAAAAACAATGAATGAAAGGAATTACGAGATTTAAAGAGGATAGAATAATCTAAGATAACGATTATTAGAGGATTGCGACAGTGGTGATGGCTAAAACAGAATTATTACATTCTGTTTATGATAGTAAATAATTTAATACCTAGTTAAGGTTGGGTTAAACAACATTGTTATGATAAAATAATTTTACCGTTACTAACAAATAGGACGATTGGTTAATGAAATGTAAAATATTTAATTTTCGAAATATTTTTTTGTAGAGCGTTCTTAAAGAACTTTCTTTTACACGAATTTATTGATCTTTCTAAAGTATTATTGTAAATATCTATAAGATTAACTAAAATTACATCGCATCAATGCGGAAATGAAGAAAAATCACTTTGGCATACTAATATACATATTCAAAAAATGCTAAATTTTCTTCATGCGATAGAGGCACCTGTCCAAGTATATATACAATAAAATAAAATGTTTAATATGTATATACGATTTCACATTATTATATTACAGGACCAAGTTCATAAGATCAGTATTATAGGGATCTCAAGACTATGTTATAAATTACAATACATTTAATTATTCTTGAAAGTACTAGGCAGTTAACTATTTTAAGACTGTTTGTTTTAATATTTTGGAAATTTAGGCCTTTCGTTGCGTTAAAATATTATCTTAACCCGGGTTACGTCTTGAAATAACGTCATTACCTATAGCATAGCGTTTACCTTAACTAAACTCATAATTCGATGACACGCTTTGCACTATTTCGGATCGTTTCGATCGCTATATAGATCAGAGATTATTATTATTTTTTTTTATAAACACTCGACGAAGGTCAGGGCGAAAGATAAAACGAGTTCCGACCTTGAAAAATGTTATGTGAACGATGCGACGTATAATTTCGACATTTCGTCGGTATATTAACATGATTGATGAAACACATAATCAAATGTCTAATTTTATTTTAATAATATCAATGTTCGATACACGGTTAGAACCTCAAAAATCTAAATTAACATTTCCTTTTAAAAATATTTCCAACGAAAAACTTATTCTTAAAAATGGTAATGGTAAAAGTTTAACGAACAATATTGTTAATGATGTTAGATACCTATATTGGCTATAATACTTAATGTAAAATAACTTTTTTAAATCTTAACAATAAATTATAATAATTATCAATAAATTCGTAATAATTTAGGTATACTGAGGCCACCAACACACAGGCAATAAATACTATTTACCGAACAAATTTTAAAAAAGCAAACAATTAAGCGACAAAAACTTCAATACGACTAATATTCAAATGTTATTAATTTATAAACTGTGCAAATAGATTGCAATTTAAAAGAGAAAATGAATCCGAAAACGAATTATGCCCATTAAATGCTTTACATTATATTCCACTTCAAATTCAATTACAAACGATTCAACGCGCGTTTAACTATATACATATTCAATAACAAACGTATACATGAATTTCCGGGCCATAATAATTATTATTATTATGCGTATAGGATCCGAGATGGTTTCCGATCGTTGGGCCGAAAGAGTAGGCGTTCACACCAGTTGTATAGATCGAAATATTACTCGTTTTTTTCATACTATCTTATTTTAAAATACGCGACACGCACCAAAAATTTCGGTGTGATTCAGAAGTCAAAGACCATTATAATGGCCGCCACGGTATTATATAGGTAAGATAAATCGATAAAACTATATAACGGAATCATCCAGAGAAAAATACTCGACTGGCACGAACGATGACGTGCAATGAAATGAGGTGTGTACTTTTTTTTTTATCCAGACACGAAAGGGCCACAATGATATTAATAATACGAGTATATAATACGGTACATGTTATATTATTATTACGATTGTAAAAAGACCCGACAATAGCGTGATAACCACCAAATTGGCCGGAAGAATTAGTTTAGACGCTTCTTTTTATAGAGTTATAAATAATATACTACACACTGTAGGTATACACACTTGGGTCCGGCCAACCAGTTGCTGGTTATTAACATTTTATAGGTCCTAGTATAAGTAATATAATTATAACTACAATTATGAAAAAAAATCGGGATATACTTTGCACCGTGGGTAGGCCATTGTTCTTTGTGGGAAATTAGGAAAATGTGGGATATAGGGTAATTTAGCCAGTACATTTTAATGAAAGAAACAATAAATCACTTCAATAAAAAAAAAAAGATTCTTAGCATAGCTCGGTAAACTGGTAGTTTAATAATATGAGTCGTTTATTTGTTCTCCTATATTTAACCCAAAAATCAGCAAAAGTAAAACAGATACATCGGTATCGTCATAATGTATTAAAATGTTTCAAATATGGTACCGCCGGGCGAAAAATTGCATCGATTAATATAATATTAAACGTAAAAAATCGAGTATATTATTATGTTCCTATACAACGTATACGCTTATACTCTAATGTGTCTAAAATATTATAGTCAGATAATTATTGATATAACACGGAGTATAAAAATCGGGTCAATAACAATATTAGAGAAGAAGTACACGGCCATCGTGTCCAACGATACAATAATAATATAATAATAATATTATAGTAACGGTATAAAAATGACGATTATAATTATATTATATATATATATATATAAATGAAAATGGAAAATATTTAATTTTTGAATTTGTCAGTTATTTCGGCAGTAGAGTAATTCGGTCAATTTAAATTCGATCTTGGCGAAATAATTTTCTACTGGTTAGGTTTACCGAACGGCAATTTTCGTGCAGTAGATACAAAAAAGAATTATACATTCAAACAAGTATCATAATGTTATTATATTTAATTGCTCAATTGATCAATTACTTACACTGCAGTTCTTAAATTGTATAGCAGCAAATAAAATGACAACATAATAATAATAATCTGCCATCATGGCGGAAACATGTAAACAAATATTATTATACATGTACGTATTATTTGATGTGTTCGCACGTCGCATTGGCTAAAATGAATTATTATAATAACAGCACGACGGAATCGGTTCAATTTTAACTCTCCATAAAATTCCTAACTCCTTAAAAGAAAAGAATGTAAACGATTTCGATAAATATAAATGTATAAATTTGTTTAGGTACTATCCATATTAAAAATGCGAAAGCGTGACTATCTGTTATACCATATCACGGTTATTTGAAACGATATTGAAAAAATTTGGTAAATAGACCGGTTGCTACATATCAACATATTTTTTTATCCCGGAATTCAACCCCTAAAGAGTAATTTACATATTTGATTTTCATCGTTAAGTCTTACAATTCGAAAATTAAATTTTTTTATCATAAACGTAATAATAACTATTAATAAAATAATGAAGTAAAAACAAAATTATTAAAATATTTAAAACTCGTAAATAAATATATTAATAAAAAATGTATATATAGAAATAAAAATAAATAAATTAATGTGTCGCCTGGAGTATTATGATAAGTGTATTATATGACCGCTTTCGAATTAAAAATTCATCATCAGGTATATCACAGACAAAATGTAAAACGCGACTGTATATAAAAAAGAGTTGATTCTGGGGATGGAAGCGGCCACTATGTAGGTAAAAAGTTGGGAAGGTAAGATATATAAGGTTATTTCATTTATATCTGTAAGCAACGATAAACCATTGCTTGGCGAAAAACGATTCCGAGCGTAGTTCGGTAATACATAATATGAAATGCCGTAATTTTTTTCCGATTTTCGTTTAAATTTTATTTCAAAACGCTTATTAAAAAAAAATTCGTCCGATAATTTTGGAAATTTGACCACGTCTAGGTAAGTCCAATATAAGTATTATTACCAAGTTTCAAGTCCCTACGTGTATTTATAATCAAATTACAGCAAAAAAACTCCCGAAAATTAAAATTCTTTAAAAGCTCAAAAGTGGCTCAAAAGTTTTAGCAATAATACCATAATAAACTAAATCAAAAAGGTAACAAAAAAGGTATCTTGTGATTTTTCAATTAAATCTTTTTTTCTGGTAGAAAACGTCGTCCATGTTTTTATAAAATAATGAAATCGTGAAATTGTACATTTTCTCAACGTTTTTTCCCACTAAATGCTTTTATTTTAAAAATCGCGTCGAAAATCGAAAAATGACCTGTTTAAAGTGCAATTTAGACAACTTGAGCTTTCATAAAAGTTGCTATACGTAAAAATCGGAGTGAGTTTACTGTCCACAGACTAGAAGAAGACAAAAAAAGAAAGAAATAAACATCTTAGTAAAACCAATAGCTCCGTCCCGTCGCTACGCTCAGAAAGGAAATTTTTAATTCGAAACCGGACGTATAATACTCCAGGTGACGCATTTATTTATTTATTTATTTTTATTTCTATATGCATACATTTTTTATTTACTATATTTAATAACTATTATTTATTTGGTCGTGAGAAGCTAGAAACATAAATTAAAAGCACAACATTGGTACATTTAAATTTAGATAAGGTACTATACATAGCCATCAAATGATTTCACATGACTTTTAGAAGTTTATTGTTTTTATATACGGTGACGTAGCGGAATGTTTTTCATTGAAATATAATATATTCAATTAGGACGTAGGTACTTATTCAAAATTATATCGCCTATCGAACGCAATAAATTGTCCAAGCTTTTATCTGAAGAAATCTCATCCAATATAAAAAAAGAAACGTAATTGCCTTTAAAAAGGCGGTCTGCGCAAAATGAAGGCACGTGGCCAACATTTTGTTAATAACAATATGTTGATGGAGAATTTATCAATTCCGGAAACTTGGCGGCAACAGTATGTTAATGTTGATCGATCACATTTCGTATTAAATAAATAAATAGTAGTGCGTATGCAATATACATAGTACGACAGTCAAAATAAATAATTTGAATATTGCCGTTATTGGTATTTTTTTTGTTTCGCCAAGTTAGCGTATTTTCGAACATTTCTTTGGCGACTGGCCATCACTAAATTCCCGTTTTACATCCTATCATTTAATCGAATAAATCGATCGATAGTGTGTATAGATAGACAATTTTAGATAATATAGGTACTCGAGATTCTACAAGATCCCCAATACTGATCTGGTCTAGATAGTTTAAATAAGACATTTAGTGGAATTAAGACCTGTAGATGAATAATAAGGAGAACGGATTAGGAATTCAATCCAATATCTTATTCCGGATTGATTAAGCTATAAAACACTGTAGTAAATACGAAAATATTGAATATCAGATTAGGTATACCTGTTTATTTTAAAATTATGTCCTGAATTATTCTTCGGAACAATAAATGCCAACAACGAACAAAACATTTTTCTTTTACATGTTATCATTAGTCAACGTTTTAAACCTTATAAATATAATATTATAGAGCCACGGCGCGGTAAACCACGATTACTGTATAGATGTAGATGATGATGATTTAGACTAATATACAAATCCTGATTTACTATTCCACCTATATAGTATAGCCACATAAACGTAGTAAATATATTTAAATTTCATCAAGGAGTTTGATAACAATTTTTTACAGTGTCACACACGAAACGCGTGTAATGTGGGTACAGAACTGCACTGTTCCTTTAATATATGTGCACTTGATTATTAAATAATCAGGTCCTATCGATAAGAAATCGAATACATTACGTTCACGACATAATAATAATATATAATATCTAAACACGCGTAGATACAGGTATACCCACTAGGGCGCGAATAGAAAAAGAATATAACACGTAACTTTTTTTTTTCTCTTTCTTTCTTTACACACGCGTGTATACCTATATATAAATTGTATTATAATATTATATATCGCGCATTCTTCATAGACCGCGACAGCGGTGATGCGCGCGCGTGCCTTCTCCTCTTCGTTATAATATACGTTATAATATACGCGTATTCAACAATAATAATAATTTTTTATACATATATGTATAATAAATAATAATCGTACAAAAGAACCATCGACTCGAGTCTACATGACGATAGGTATACCTATAATACGAAAGTATGTGATGCGCGTATTCCCCCCGCAGTTTCGACCTTGACGGTTCATGTTATCCAAAAAAGGGTTCACCAACCTGACTAATTAGAGACTTTTTTTTATACATATATATACGAACGTATAAATAATTAATTAGAAATGATTCCCCGGCGGGAAATATTCAATTTTAGTATTATAACAATATTGTAATATTATATTATGTGTGTATATATATATATATATATATATATAGTTCAATTAAAAAGGGACAATAATGCACGGGGATAGCTGATGGTATTTTATGTATTTAAACTCACAATAACACAAGTATTATAATATTATAAACTCGCACTGCCTTATAATCGTAATTAACGTCGTTCGTTGTGGATAAATTTAATTAAAGTTACTTTCACGGGAATTTAGGTCCAAAGCGACTGCTGCAGCTATAAATACGAGATTTTACATTAGTATAATATACGTATAAGTTTGCATGTACATCAGCGACACTATTTCAATATCGAAAAGAAAGGGGCATTTTTTTTCGTACAAAATCTTATGGTGGCAACAGGTAGTCGCACAGTGGTGTAATTTGAAGGTAGGGGACGCCAAGCAACTCGGGAACTCACCCCAGTTTAACATTTTAACCTTGACTCAAATCAAAATTTTGGCTTTTGGGTCTAGATATGTAAATATACAGACAAATGTTTTATATACCTATATGAAACCTACCTTTTGTTTTCTATTTGGGATTTTAGTTTTTATACTTTGGAATTCTGACATTTATATTATATAAATATAGGTATATTATATTTAGGGCCCGGATTTCAATGCGAAATACATCTTTTTTGAGTGATATTAGACAATACTTTCCAACTACGAAATTTGATTCGTATAGTTGAAACTTCAAAGGTGAAACTTTTATTTTGCCTTTTTTTTTTTTAGCATTTTTCGATTATTTTTTTCGTTTTATTGCATATTTGTGCAAAATACGAGTGTTATCTATCTATACATATAAAATCCAAATACCACTGACTGACTGATCGCTGTATCTCAAAAACTACGTAACGTACGGACTTGAAATTTGGAATATAGGTTCTTCTCATATTTTCACCGTGCAATAAAGAAGGATTTTCAAAAATGTTGCGTTTTAGTGGAGTAATTAACAATTATAATTATTCACCGCCAATACGTATGTGCGGCACGGCGGCCCGCGGGTCTCCAGCTACCTGCAACCTATCCTTTTTGTTCGTCGTCGTCGTCGTGTAGATAAGAATAATGATTCCGAGAATAAAATTGTTCCGAAAAGTTTATCGATAAAAATAAATACATAGATATTAGGTTATTATGTATATTATCAATAATTATGAATTTAAGACGGTAGATGGTAATACATGGCGTTATCTAATTTGTCACGAATTTGTTTTCGGGCAACGCTGGGTAATTCAGCTAGTAATATCATATAATATTTATTACGGCCATCGATTACATATACTTAAATATTTAAATTTAGCTAATTAAAAATATTACCCATATTGTTCGGGTTTTCCAGTAAATCAGTAAAATACAGCAGCTCCTCAGTCAATACTACCGTCGCTAGTTAAAAGTCAAAGTTATCAATTTTCTGGTTTTTTTTTTGTTTTTTATATTATATACTATAAATGTATATATCATTTTCAAAATAAATTTTTCTATGATTTTTAGTGCATTTAAATCCGGGCCCTAATTAAAATATAATATGTATTATTTTTTAAAAACTAAGAAAATATGCGAAAAAATTAATAAACATGCGATTACAATAATAATATATATATATAATGTATAGTAGGTTTTAATCAATAGGTACATGTCCCTTTTTTAGATTTGAAACAAATAATTATTGTTATACGCACATTGCTCAACCGTATACGATATTTTGATTACCTATATAGGATTTAAAAACTCATGATTTTGGATGTTTAACCAACAATTATAATTTTGCATACAATTTTTAAACCACAAACAGTAATAATAATAATATAAGTAATACATACCGTAAGTATATAAACGATATCTCAAATAAACAATAACACACACGCATTATATGATTACATATTTTGTCAATTAATGAATAGGTACCTACTAGTAGACCTATACCCGCCTATATATTACAATAAAACATAAATACACTGCAATGCAAAACAAATAGGTACCTTGAGCGTAATACCAGTAATATTATTATTACCTTATATAATTTATTAAATTGCAACTATTGATTACTGTTTTCCCATTTTCAGCGGTTCAACGCAATTAAATGTATGGGTCATCGTTAAAAATGTATTATAAACCAGGAAAACGTCAGGGCAAAAATAAATTATGTGAGACTTTGAGATATATTTATATTGTATATGTATGTATGGTCGTAAAGGTATTAACGTACGCGCAAAATACGAACTTAATAGAGTTTTATGTAATATAAAAACCGGACGAGTAGTTAAAACGATGACACATTCCAACGATTATACATATAGGTACAGGGTGATATTTTTTATCATGCGTTAACAATTACAAAGGTTTTTAAGTTTTTTTTTTTTTTTTGTAAAATGTTCAATGATCTAATTTACGATATTTTAAAAATTCCAACTATCATTATATGTTAGCATCCTATTTAAAACAATTCATTACTCAACAGTTAATAATTTGTGTTTATACCGAAAATGAATAAGAGTAAAATATTTAAAATATTGTGAATAAAATTACGAAAAGGACTGGAAACGGCTTTCCAAATTTTCTCAAATTATGTAAGATTTGAAAATTATTTTTATATTATTTTATGCTCCCATTAATCCTTGTCTGATTTAAAGCGAAATGATACGGTAGTTTCCACATTTACATTACGTTTTAGATCAATAATAAGCTGGAGTAAAATTCACGCATTATACTGTTCACCCGATAATAATTTTAAAAAAATATCTTAGTTCTTCAATTTCTCGTCTATTTTTTGTTGGAAAAACTTGTCAATTTTTTAATTTAGTTTATTTAGTTACAGTGCATGATAAGTTCATCTTATTTTATATTCGAAGCGTAGCGAGGGATCTATTGATTTTACAGTGTTTTTTTTTTTTTAATTTCCCAGCTGTTTTTATAATAAATAGAAAAAACCTAAAAAGATGAGACGATTTACGAAAATAATAATTTATTATTCTTAATTTTCTTTTTGTTGTAATTCAGCGAAAAATATTCATATAGAAACTTGACATTTTGACAGAAATTTGCCTTCTATGGATGTGGTATTTAAGCTGTTTTAAGCTATTTATAGACATTTTAACTTTGCTAGTTTTTTACATAGGTAATATTTATTTGGTGGATAAAATTGTAAGATCAAAGAGAAATGCTTGATAATTTAACAGGAGGTTCATTATAAGTTGTACTTAGTGGTTAATAAGAAAAAAATGAGTTAAATGAAATATTTTTTTTTGTATATGAATTTTAATATCAAGTTTTGGCGAAAAAAGTAAATATTAAGGCCTTTCAAAACATTTACCTAAAACCGAACTTTGTTCAGAATTATTTTTTGTTAGCAAAGATTAATTGTTGCGCATAGATAAACATTAAATTCCCCACTATATTCTACCTTCTTAACTTCTCACCTACAACAGTGACCCACCCATCGTATGAAGTATCTCCGTCTTTTCAATAATAATTTGGAAAAACCAAAAACAATTAAGAATACGACTTTTTTCAAATTACAACACAAAAATATATAGGGTACAATCTAATGAATCCCAACGGTTATTGTAAACAATGTTTTAAAAATATATAACAAATGTTATTTTAAGTTCAAATTTTGACGAAAATCATAAATATGACCTTTCAAAACATGTATAACCTAATTTCGCTCCGAATTTTTTTTCGTTAGTAATGGTGTATCGTTGGTTACAGATACAAATTAAATAATTATATGTATCCTACCTTCCTAATTACCCATCTACAACAGTGGTCGCACCTGTTCTTAGTAGGTAATAACTATTCTTTTGTTTTTTTACGCAATAAATATCTCAAATAATCACAAAAAAAAAATTTAACATATTTCATACAAAACATGTAAAAAAAGAATACGAATCCAAATCATTTTTAAAAACATAAATTGGAATACTGGAAGTATGTTTATTTAACAAATCGCTTTCAATCGTCTTAAATAAAAGAAAAATGTATCCACTTTAAATCTTCATATATAATAATATCTAATATATTCTTCTTAATATATACATATACCTAATCGATGATGATGGTCCGTGATCAAAGAATCACCCTGTACACAAATATATAATAAAATATGATTAACGGGCAACAAACAAGCAAAACTAAATCTCGTAAGACTTGGGTTATTGATTATGCTACCTAAATGTTTGATAAATATAGTTAGTGTATTTAAAAAAAAAATTATGTTCAATATAAAATATATAATTAAATCACGATATATTATTATTTCAATGATAAACTCGAAACATATTAATAATTTAATATTTAATTATTATTAAATAATACATAAAAATTAATAATAAATATTTAATTGGCAAGTAAATTTATTATTTACGCTTTATAATAACCATAATTTAGAGCAAAAAAAAAAAAAACGATATATTTTATAATTATCTCCTCTGGTTTATTTTGTACAAAGAAAAAATTAGAATTTTTTTTTTCCCAAGTGGGAGAGAGAGCTTGGATAATATGTATTATTCGCAATCTAGTAATTATATAAGTATACGCATAAATTATATGCGTTAAAAGTTAATTAAAAATGAAATTTTCAAATTTAATTTTTAATGGTTTTAGTATCATATCGTATTCCTTTGTTGTTTATATAATATTATCATTATTATCTATATAGTTTTTTTTTTCTTAGTGTATGTATTTAGTTTTACTCATTAATAATTAATTATTAGGTAATTATAAGTATCTAAATAATAATTCGTATTTTAATGAGAAAATTATTTTATTTTATTCAATAGAAAATAGATTTTTATCCAAAAACAATAATAAAAATACAAGTAATGTAAAATGTATACAACATTTTTCAATGATTTTAGTTTTTGAGAATTTGTTCAAAATAACTTTTTTCCAATCTCGACATAAATCTAAAATATTATTACCATTATTAAAAATAATACAATATACTAATTCAATAATAAATTATGCGAATAGTATATTAATATACAAAATAATATACATACATTCAGCCAATTTAAGGAAATAAAAACTATAAAACACGTTCAAGAAATAATTTATTAATGAATTAAATATTGTATAAATACCTACATGAATAGATAATTATAAAATAAAAATTATAAGGAAAATAAAAAATTTGTATTAATTTACTATCAAAAATCACTCCGATCTCTGATAACTGAAACCAAATAAATTCCGTGCTACGTAGGAAATCTTAAAACGTGAAAATGAAAATGTAAAAGATTGAGAAGCCTTTCATGTTTTTACTCTACAATTTTGGATGGCGCGCAATTTTTCCAAATTGGCCGAGTGGCCGAGTTCGACCCATCTTGACACTACATCTAATTTTTTGTATAATTGAAAATATGAATTGACATATAACTGTAATAGCAATAATCACGGCGGTGAAACCTTAAACAATAGTATTATTTGATTTTCAAATATATGACACAGATTGCAATAATAACGTTTTTATAGTACCTTTGATGAAAACAATTTCGTATGATTAAACAAGTTTTCCATCTAAATTATAGTTGATAGAAAGTTTAAATTTTTTTTAATCGCCATTCTCTGAGAGAATTTACATAACATAGTATTTTTTTCTTTCATGAAAAAAATTATATTAATACATTTACCGTATAGTTTATCTACCAAATCGAAAACATTTAATATTCATCGTGAACGTTTGCAATATATTTTACAGTTTCACTGAGTTGCCAAGATATTCCATAAAAAAATATCCAAGATAAATCCATTATTTATGAAATTTTCAACTTTTTTTTCCAAAGTAATAAATAAATATGTATGAAAATAATAATTAAACCACATCTATAATAGTATATTATTATATTTACCACTTAAAAATAACTAAATATTTCAAACTAGGAATATAACGAAACATAAAATATATTATAAGGAAAGCCAGACTTGGCACCATGGATGGGTTACAGTTGTAGGTGGGAAATTAAGATGGTACGTAGGATAAAATATAAAGTAATTAAATTTATATCTGTACGCAATGATAAATCATTGCAAAAAGAGAACCGATTCTAAGTCGGTAAAACATGATTTGATAAATTTAAATTTAAATTTAAAAAAAAAAAACATAAATCTCGTCTAGTTAGTGATAATTTTGTGAAAGTTATATGTTTTCAAGTTAATTTAACTTAACTTAAATAAAAACAACAATATCGAAAATATTTATGGAACATTAAAAAATAACTCAATGCACTAACTACAAGACATTTTCCATCATAAAGTTCCTATAAAGTTTTTTATTGGAGCAAGTTTACTTGTCAAAAAGTTGTTAGCGTACACAAAAAAATACGTCATATTTGTAAAACCAAAAAAAGGTACAAATTTCCAAAAGGGAAGACGGCTTAAATTAAATCATCTATTATTTGTATAACAAACCTAATTAGGCGTTTATCTTGAAAATAATGAACAATACTTCTCAACAAAATTCAAGGAGGAATCGACCCCCCTAAACCTCTCTCCCCAGATATGAAACCAATACATTCGCCCAGAATCTAAAATGTAGAACATAATACAAACTCGACAGTTATTCTTGAAGTATCTGAAGGTTACATTATATTATTATAATATTATGAATCAAAACGTATATTGGAATGAACTCTATTAATTATTGGTGAAGTTTAATGGCGATAAATGATAACTAATAACACGACACGACGGACACCATCAGTACCTATTTATAAATATTATTAATGTATTTATAACAATTAACTTTGGTGATCTCTTCGTGGTCAGTAACTGGGTCACCCCTACCCCGGGGGAGGAGTGGAGGAGGGGGACTAGCGCACGCGCACACTCGGCGGACTAGTTCGATTTTCACGGTCGCTACTGACACACATCGCGGACGCACGAACCGACCGGATATCCGATTGTACGACGGTTTCGAAATTAAAATAGTAAAAACACACTCTGCGTATACCTATACTTATTTTACTACCCTACCGACCAACAATAACGAACAAAACTCAATAGGTTAGGACGTTAGGTACACAATATTTTATGAATTTTAAATAGCTTTTTCTATACAACGTCAAGACCAATAATAATAATAATAGGTATATCTCCATTGCGGCGACTCACGTTTGTATTTTACAAAGCCCTGATCGACTTTTATTAATTATTTTCATCTTCCAAAAAATTATAATTATTATACGTTTACATCGTGCGCACTAACAATAATTCATTAATTATTTGTTTAAATACATTTCAGACGTTACAAGACAATAAAATAAACTGCGCGAGTGCGTGACATACTTGCAGACTTCTCTTCGTGTATTGCCGGTTTGTTATAATCGAGTAGGTATAATATATTTTACATGATATGTCGAACAGACGACGTAAAATTGAATTGTTTTTACAAAACCCCGACGTAAGTGTGTCATTCGTCGTTTATTATCACATATACGTCTACGGCATTGGAAAATAAAAATAAATTTCGTTTTTTTTTTTTTTGTCAATAACAACTCTGTTAATAATATCACTTTATAACAAAAAAATAAAATGCAATGTGATGGTTCACGATAAAAAAAAATAGAAAATAAAAGTCAACTACGTATAATATCAAAATATCTATAGGCGGAAAATACTTAAGAAAACTATACTAACTTTATAAGTATTTTATATAATTTAAATACTTTTTGAATTGATATACATAATTCTCATAGGTAACTTAAATTATTTAAATTTTTAAAAAATTAATGTATTTAAAATATTTTGTTTTGTATATGTCTAATAAGAAACTAATGATATTGCCAATTATTCACACGTTATGTCAAACTGAAGTTTAATCCAATACTTTAATATTCTATATTGTGTTTTTTGTTTTTTCCACAAGATTTAGAAATTCAGTTAAACCCTTATTTTTTTAATTTTCCGGTCTTTTTTTCTCACAATTTCTTTTACCAGTTATCGACTGAGTAATTGTACTTTATAGAGCTACATTTATTTATTAATACATTTACGTCCCTATTATATTCATATTGTATAAACAAAAATGCTGCAAACGCGATGTATTATAACTATTGTAGATAAAAAATAAATAAATATAAAATTATAGTTTAAAAATAGATTTTACTTAAGTTATTAGTATAGGTATCTGTAACAACTGTAATTATTTTGAAATTTAATTTATATTAATGTAAGATGGTTTGTTATACCAATTAGTATTATTATATACGCGATGACATTGAAAACTTAAAACTACCGACTGCAAAATAAAATAATTTCTGAAGAGTCTATATCATTATTGTATTATATTATGTTTTATATAAAACACCAACTTACATCATTAAAATATTATTCTCTTTATTCAACGGATATAACTGACTTTCTTAGCTACTAACGAACAGAATACAAAACTATCGGAATACAAAATTTACCGTGGTGTTCTATAATAATATGCACACATATTGTTTAAAATTCAAGTTTAACCAAAACGATTTAATCGACTAGACGAGTGTTTCCATAATAAAACCTAAACATATTCCATATTTTTGGACTTACAAGACGTAAATAGCGTAATATCAGCCTACCAACTACTATTATAGAGTTTAGACGAGAATTATGCGAAACAAAAACGAAATAAAAAATAATAATAATAAAACACTATTACCAACAATAACGAACAATAAAGACATGTATTGTATTGCTACAAACAGCTTGGTACGTCTTAGCAAAGAAAAAAGTATTATTATTTTTTTTATATAGAACAAAGAATTCTCAAACTATTCTTTGTTTATTTTCCACTAATTAGCCTTTAACTGTATACCTCTTTATAATATAAAAATATTTAAACACGAGTATCACGACCATTGATTACGAATTCAACAAACTATCCACTAAAATAATATATGTTTTTCTCTATTTGTGTGCAAAAATAACATTTTTACTATCTACTAAAGTAGTAAATAAGTAATTAATAGGCGAAAAACATAATAAATAAAAAAAAAGTTCGAATGATTTAAGTAGTTAATATATTAAAATCTCAAATATATTGCCTTGTTTTCAATTTATGGTTTCAACGTAATCAAAATTTTTGACATCAATATATGACTCATTAAATAACTGTAAAAGACGATTTGCAAAGTCATTTTTGAAAAATAAACATCGACACGCGGAAAATAAATCTGACGAAAAATTAATAATGAACAAGTCATACGATTTGATTGACGGAAAGAGATTTGAAGTCGGAATAAAGTACGCAACAATATTTCGCAATAAGTGTGCATTTTGATTGGATACGGTATTTCTGTATAGATCAACTAAACTGCGTATTGGGGATTTCAGCTTTCAAATTCGTAAAAGCGTTTACAGTTTTAAAAATTCCTATACAATTTTATGAAATTGCCATAAGTATAGATACTTCCGATATGTTTTTTTTTCAAACGTTACCTATCACAAAATTATAATATTTATGACATATGTTCTGGTCTTTAATTAATTGTGCTTATAAATATTATAGTATCTCTATCTATATTGTATATTATATTATATTAAAATAAAATGTTGATCACGTGTAGGTCACTATTATAGGAGAATAGATAGAGAGGTAGGATACAGCAGAGTAATTTGGTTATTAATGTATTATACAGTGTGCAAAGATTAAACATTTAAAACGAAAAATAATTATGAGTGGAGTAGTATTATTTGTATTTTCTCTTGTTATCAAAATAATCAAAAGTTAACGAAAAAAGATACACGAGTTAAATGTTTAAAATTTCGATCGTTTTTTTTTTTTTAACTAAGTACTATGGTGAAAAAAATCTGCATTTTTATATTAAAAAATCAAAGAAGTTTTATTAACCGAAATAATTTTGTACAAGGAAAAACACACATATTAGAAAAACTAATAGCTAAACTTAGGATCTAAAATGGTATAAAACCATAATCGTGGATATTAATTAATGGAACGTTTAAGTATTTATTTTTTCCTTCTTCCCTCGATATTTCTTTTTCTCTTTCCTTCTTTTCTCTCTCTTTCTATGTAAATTTTTCCGTCTCTCGTCAGCTATATTTTCGATGACCATGAACATGCTTGTCCGTGTCATTTATGTATTCAATACAAGTAGGTATAGTAATTCAATATATCGAAGGTGAACGCAATTCATCTCTGTGAAATGAAAATGTATTAAGTCTACAACTATTATTGGTAGGTATTTAATGAAAAACAAATTGTGTAAAACGTTTTTTGATTGAATTGTTTGAGAATATTGCATTAAAAATTAAAAATAATAAATAAGTAATTTGGTAATTTGTTTTTTTGTTTTGTGTGTGTGTGTGTGTGTGTGTGTGCGTGTTTTTGTCACCAGACGTGATGCAGCTTTATTAAGACAACCGGGGAAAGGTCACCTTCAAATATTCAAATCACGATATAGATAACATTCAATATAGAAACTACAAACAATACGGTACTATAGGTTTAGAGTACATAAGTATACGGATAATCTGTGACCGTACGAGTAGATACAAATTTACACCTGTTTTGGGACCCGAAAAATAATAGAATTATTGAAGAATACTGGAATTCGGATTTCGGCGAGTACCTGTAAAAATGTAAAATAAAAAAACGATTTTGTTACCGACTGAAATATTCGCAAAAATATTATATTCACGTCTGCGCGCAATAGAAAAGGATTACCCGAAATGCGATGATGATGGTTTTAAAATACATAACCCGGACACAATATTATATGCACACGACGAATACGTTTACTCGATTGTTTATGCTGATCACACGATGTATAATATTATAATATATAGGAAGTTAACATTGTGTATACTTAAAAATGCGTTTTAGTGGGCTTCGTCATTGTTGCCATGTACCTACCACTTATATATTATTACTGTAACCGCAACTGTAGAGCGGGGTACCTCTTATACCACGACCCGTAGTATAGTGAAGTCATATAGAAAACTCGTAATTTTTTAATCGTCGTGCATTTTTGCGTTGTCGTCGTTCCCCTCGGGCCAAGGAATCGATCAACGATATGTACACGCGTCTACTAGCCGGCTGTCGCTAAGAAACCGACTATCCAACAACATAAAGAAATATATATAAATATATAAACCCCCGTATATACGAAAGAAAAAAAGAACAATAGTTCGCCTTTGCATGATGCACGCTATAGGAATGAAAAGTTAACAAACAAAAAAATACTATAGACTCCTATATAGACTAGGAATTCAAATTTCATTTCTAAGATGATAATACTATTTTGCAGTCAGTCGTAACAATTCGTATTATATATGAGTAATATACTGCCATAACGAATCCTGGAAAAAAATCCCCCGCAAAAAACACTTCCAGGAAAAAAATCCTCAGGAAAAAAATCTCCAAAGCAACTATACTGTCAAAATAATATGTATAAAAAAAATTGAATATAGTTTAATCATTAATGGTTTGAGTTTATATTGTTCACACAGCTGTCGAAAATAATAATAGTAATAAATAATTTAAAAAATATATAATATCGTATCAGTCAGTAGTTCACTTGCGTAAATTATTGGATATTACTGTCAAAAAAAATCTAATGTATTTTTCTAATTCCACGATTTAATGCTCTAAACAATTGATTTTTAGAATGTATGCTATCTAGCTTATGGCATAGGAATATTTGGCAACTAAAATTATAGTTATGCGGGCTTCCCTTGAGAGAGTAGATAACACAGTTATATTCAACAAATTATTTTTCTGGAATGTTTGTTGTTTCGTTAGTAATCTATAGAATAAAAAACCATACGGATGACAATGATTAGGCGATAATTTATACATATAAACACAATTTAAGTACCTATATCAGTAAACTTTTTTTAAATATTTTTATTACTGGTAGTATAGTTGTTTTGGGGATTTATTTCCAAAGATTTTTCTTCCCGGAGATTTTTTTTTCGAATAACCGCCAAAACATGTTTTGTGGTATTATCATTTTTGTAAACGCATATACAACGTACCTGCTCATCAATATAAATAATATAATCATATACAGGTTGTACCAAAAATAAATGTTACACTAAACCAAATGATACTGATATTCTGAAGACTACGTCTTCTTACGTAGTCTTCAGAATAGATTTTTTGGAATTTTTTTCTAATGTCAAAACCTCGGGATTTTCGGATTTATCTGTACATAATTTATAATATAAAAAAAAAAAAAAAGAATAAACCATACCACATAATTTCCTGCAAAAAAAAAGAAAAGAGGTCATTAGATTTATTTGAAAAATTAACATTATTCTGCTATTCTTTTATTTATCATGTTCAAAATCGTAATTTTGATATGACACAAGAATTTATTTTTACATTTATCACAGATTTCCATGGAATCATTTTTTTTAAAATGTAAGTACTAATTTAATGATCTTATTCGAAAATACGACTAATTAAAACTAATATTAGTAAACCAGTGAAAATCTTAATAAATAAACAAATTCAACTTACATTTTTGATTTCGATAGCAAAATGATGATTAACAGATACTAATAATAATTATTATTATTATAATTTTGAATAGGAATAGATAAAAGTTAATAATAATATTCAATAAAAACAACTGAGTTTTTTTATTTTACATTTTATTTTAATATTTTTTACTATTAAATTAGTCATCATTTTCTGAAAACCATAATGTTCTATAGTTATATTAATTATAATTAATAGAATCATAAAATTAACACTTAAATAAAAAATAATTGATTCCATGGAAAACCGTGAAAATGCACAAACAAATGGATGAGTCACGCCAAAATTACAATTTTAGACATGATAAAATAAAAGTGATAATGATCATTTTTGGTAAACAAATCTAGTGACCCCTTTTCTTGAATGAGAATTTTGCAGGCAATGTAATGGTATTATAGTTAATTTTTATTTATTATAGATGTTTTACAAATAAACCTAGACCCAGGGTTTTAATAAAAATATATATATATATATTCTGAAGATCACATATAGTATCCATAGCGTTTTTGTTTCTAGTACGCCCTCTAAATGATTTTTAATTTTTTTTTTTTTTTTAAACTTCACTACGAATAACCGTATGCACGTTGTAATAAACCAACTCGAAAACCACTTAGCTTGATTAAAAATAATATCACAATATAATAATAATTATTATTTAATTAGAATATTAATTATTTAAACAATATTGCGCAATCCGCTGTTTATTCCCACAACTGCAAAATATGCAAATGCAAATCAAATGAATTGATTATTATAACCTAATATCGCCGAGACTTGTGTGATGACTATATTTTTTTTATACATAATATATTATTCTTACTGTAACCCGAATACATTTAATTTTTCTTAAGAAAATGGCTTAAAACCAGAAAATTTCTATGTTTTTTTGTTCTATTTTTCCTATAATTATATAAGTTATAAGAGAAACGTATATTAAACTTACACTATAAAGTTAATAGAGTACTTATCAAGACATCCAGAACTATTAGGTTCTATCTAAGTATAAAATACTACTAGGTATTATAAAATACTAATAAGTATTTGTTTTGAAAAAAAAAATACAATAAGGTATGATAGAATATAACCGTCTGGTTTTAATCCAAGATTCTTCAACTGAATTAAATAATCGAAGAATATAAATTTGTTTACGCAGAGAATAGTGACTTAAACTCGTATTTGTTATTAATTAAAACCATTAGGTATGTATTACACACTTCCGTACCTTACATACTCAATTTCTTTGCTAAAGTGAGGCGTCTATTCAAATCTGGTTGATTTTGTAACATGGTAATTTGTTTGTAACTTTATGAAACCCCGGCTGAATTAGGTCGTCGTGCAATCATGTTTAGCATGAAGAGCCCACAACCTAATTATTAAATTGGGCTGGTATTGGCGATGATTATAATAACGTCATATTTTGTGATATCAAACACATTTTTTAAAGTGAAAAAGTAGAAAATGTTATTTTATTGTTAAATATTGACCATTTAACTAACAACACAAGTGTATACGAGTATCACAACCAAACCATACTTTTCTTATCGAAGTTGGATTCAGCATCTATGGCAGAAAACTCACCACGTTCTGAAAATTTCGTATGAGGGATAGTGACATCCCGTATAAGTAAGTCATTTTATTGCACTGTTTGGATGTTAAGCACAATTGCCCAAAATCACACAATCTGGTGCTATTAATGTAACTATATAAAGAGACTACTCGGTGCGGCGATATAAGTATATTAAAATATGAGAATATTATTTCGAACTCGATAAATAAGTAGTGTACCAGTGTATCTATTATTCAAAACTCTATCGTGGATCGCACGTTATTTATCTTTAGTTTTATTCAAATGCGCAGCACAGAACGAATAAGAACGTGACGGTTAATAAAAAAGATTTAATTTTTGTTACGACGTCACGGTTTTACTTTAAAATTACCATTAATCTGATAACCAAACTGGTGGCGGCGCCGGTGAAAGGATTTCCTTATCGCACAGAATGTCTGGTATACGATGACGAAAACCAACCTATCGGGGATATTATCTTAGTAATAACTCGGGATGAAAATAAAACGTTGATTTTCACATATGACAATGGTATTTATATTGGTATACCTATATAATCCGTGGGAACACACGAAAAAAAAACCGTTCTTTTATACAACGGGGCCCGTCCCAGGTAACTAACGCCCCTCCATTGTTCGGGTAAAGCACAACGATATAGGTATACAAAAAGAGAAAGAGAAAAACTATTTTTAAAATAAACCCCGTCAGAATATGTTTGTTGTCTCCGATTGTCATACCGGTCTACGTATGAGACACCCCCAAAGTGTATCCGTACATATTATATTGTGCTATATTGCTTATACTGTTGTGTATAGGTATGAAAAACGTCGAAAAATCAAAAAAAAAAAAAACCACCAGTAGGAAGATAAACTGTATAATAAAAATGTAGGTGCACGGAGCACATTACAATGAAATAAATAGCCGGTTGCAAACGTACTCTCTACTCAGCACGATGTGTGGTCAACAATTATTTCGTATAGAGGGGAAAAAAAAGCGAGAAATATTGTACGTGTTTTTCGGGCACTGCAGGTGTAACGCGTTTCGAAAAATGAGTATACATATATAATATACCAAGTAGTAAGTATATTATATTATATATTTTATATATACCTGTAAATAAATATAATAATATGTACATTGTATAGGTAAGTACCAACACGAACACGAATTTACACTCGACAAACGTACAATATGCACGTCACAATTATTGCGCGTGCGCGTAGCTTTATAATAATAAAACATGGCTTACCTAAGTACGCCGTCGTCGGATGTATTATTGGTTGGCAAAAAACCGGTCGGTCGGTCGGTATAAGAACCAGTTTTCGAGAAAGAAAATATAATAATAATATTACATCCAACTTTATATACTGATTGTAATAATAATATACTATAATATCATCGTGGTTCTGATTTTATAGGTCCTCTAATTATCGTGCGGATTTCCGTTTATTTTTTATTCCTCTAAATACCTATCCGTATTATTTTTTTGGTGACCTGCCAACTTTTAAGTACCGCTTATACGTGCTGTACAGCGTGGCGTCAATTATTAAGGCGTAACACTTTGAAAACAAATTTGAAAACGATAAAATACACTTTCCAAACAGAGTTCTTATTCCTAACAATAATAAATAAAGTTTGTTTTCATACGTCTGTTCGCGACGTATCGAATATAATTCGATAATATTATATTAAACCCAATAATGTAATATAAAAGAATTAAATTACAAACGGCATGTTGGATTTAAATATAATATTATGCTGTCGTGTTGTTAATTACGTTTAAAATCGCGAGAGTATTCTCGTAACGATAACGGTACAAGTACATTAAATTGCGTACGTATATTATTATGTCATGCAATTTGTCATAAACTCTACAATTAGAATTAACAGGTAAAAAGACTGCAATGTCCTCTAAATTAACAATAAAGAAGGCGAAAAATCTATTTTTGAACTTACGGGTGACTTTTTTCGTCTAATTCTACTCTATTCTAACGACTCATCAATATAGCCTTTATCAACACAATATTTTCTCTAACTCTAAAAAGCATTCTTCACAAACAATATTTTTCTATTTATTCGGTTGGGTCTACTTTAATTCCGTCCGATCAACGTTTTCTGAGTCCTCTCCCCTTTACCTTGGCAACTAAAAGCTATAAGGGTGACTGAATAGGCAGCTCTCCTTACCCGTGTTGTTAGAGTGAAAAGAAAGTCGAGCATTATGGACGTGTCGGTAAACCTAGAAAAATAACTTTGAAGCGGACTATTTTACAATTCTTTACAACTTTTAGCAGGCTAGAAGCCATAAAGCTATGGAACTAGTACATGGTATAAAACTAAACCGTTTCCTAATATTATTATTAGGAACCGGTACCTAATAATATTGTTGTATTGGTTTTTTATAGTTCCCCCCCCTCGTCGGCTACGCATGTACTTAAATCGAACCAGTAATATTCTTGGCCGGCAATCCTGTAACGGTAGTGACTGGTTTTAAAGAAAAAAAATGTTTATAATCGTCATTTAAATCCGTCGTTCTGGTCGAATCTAAATCGTCGCACACACGTGAAAACAACACCACGGAGGCCGTGGCAGTTGCCGAGAGGCAAAAAAGTAAAACGTCTCTCGGAGGAGGGGAACCTCGTTACTCCCTCGCCTCCACCGCTTCCGATCACGTCGTTGTCGGACAGGAAGGTCAACCCTCCCCTCTACACATACACACACGACAACCCGTCTTCACGTAACTACTGGAATTGAAAACTTCGTGTGGACGTCCGTCCAGATGGTGGCCGAAAAAGTACCTGTCACCGGTAGAGAGCGTTTGCCGCTCTTCCCCCGAAAACCGTAGTTTTCCAGGCGACCGGCGTCTTAAAAAATTATTATTTAGAAAAATCGATTGTATATTATAATACTAAGCCCCTAAAATACTCGCCAAAAAAAAGCTTCTACCGGTGCCATGTTCTTCGTACCTACGCACGATTTTTATATGTGACCCGTTTACTGCGATTTCTCTCATCGCGGTCAAATATAACAATGATAAATATTGTTAACGATCGTCTTTTCACCGTGAGATTCATCATAATCGTCGTCTTACAGAAAGTTGTCGATTGAAAATAGATTTCAAACGACCGGTTCGACAATAATAATTACTCTTAGTATATCTATACTATAGTCAGCTATATAATACCTATATTACCTATCTAGTGTTCGCAAATTGTGATCTTTTCAAATAACTAGGAGAACTGTGTACACAAAAGTGAAAAAATAGAAAAGGAAACGGGCAAAAAAAATGAACAATTAAAAATATGAAATTCATTATTTAATTTTCGTTCTATTGTGAAAAACACTGAATATTATAATAATGAGCAAGAAGTAAATATAACTAAATTAGGTATTTTAAATTTGTGCACAATACTACATAAATATACTACAGTCTAATAGAACCCCTACTACTACTACTACAGGTTCAATAAAACAACAATAATATTATGATCAGAAAATAATGCCTGGCTACTTAACAGGTAATCGTAGATACGATATTATTTGCGTCGCATATGAAACGTGAGTATACAATCATAAAAAAATTGTTGGTTTTTTCGGTTTGTTATTCAAATTTTTCGACGAGTAATTATTTATTTATCTTCAAACGCGTCGAACCAAACTATCGGTAGATAGGTATTAGAAGATTTTTTTTTTTCGTAAATCGTTTACTGTCGAATTATTTTTCAGTTATCGCCGATTCAAAAACAGTCAAGCTCATTAACCGAACCATAAGATATCTACCTAAGAATCTGTTTGAGCAGCACACATTATTATAGCACCATTGTGTCGTAGTGGTATCTCTATATTTACGATTCCCAAGGATTTTACTGACACGAAATGCAATTCAGATGCTATTTAAAATGTATACAGATTGAATTCTCATACAATAATATGTATGTAAGGTACTTACTCCATTCTCTATTATGGTTTTAAAATAAATAACCGACGCGAAGAAAACCCTGATGATAACAAACACATTTAAAAAGTATACAACAACAAAATGTATCAGTCGATCGATTTATGAAATGTATAACTTTATTAGGTATATACCCGTTTACGAATTACGAGGAATTATCTTTATTGTATCGTACTTATACTCGTATTATATCTTTTAGCCTTTACACGTGTTCACTTAAATCTGTGCGCGTATTTTGGATCATCTTACCCGACTAAATCATCTTATAAAAACACATACACACAAAAGCCCGTATTTGCTACTCTTAAGGGGCGATTGCAGTCACCTCTCAAAAAAGCGCCTAAATCATTGGGGTTTTAGGGGGTAATCTATCTACTATTCAGAAGCAAACAACTTCTATAATTTCTCTCTTATAGATAAAATAACATCATGTATGACGAAAGGAAGTTGACAATATTTCATTTTGTCCTCTTAATTAGAGGAATTTAAGGTAAGATTTTATCCATTCCTACATAAAAGAAAAATGCTTTCAAAATAAAAATGTTGACAATTATCACGGGTAAAATATACGTTATTAGAATATCACGGTTTTTGGTGACTAGTTGCGAAGGTTGAATACATAGGGGATTTTAGTTTTTATACGGCTTACAATGATAATCATTGGAAACGTTTCCGAACAAAGTAGTATTAATAGTATCATTCTAATATTTTTTTTTTTGTTTCTTAGCAGAAATAACTCAGAAATCAACAAAAATAAAATCAATGTATTGAAATTTAGTTAGTTTTTTTTAATTCTGTAAAAAAAAACTGTTGGGAACCTGGATATTTTTTCAGGTAATGTACTACTTTTTTTTTTAGAAAAAAACTCAAATAATATCTAAGGTTTGAACTGTTGAAAATGCAAGGAAATGTTTTAAATAAACTACTACCGGGAGATTATAATATTTGTGTATGTATGCTTAAAAAATTTTAAAAAGTTTTGCCCGTCACGAGCAGACGGTGATCGCTATAATTATTGTTTTGGAATTTCTCGATTATAACAAATATTCACGGTAAAAATGTGTCGTAAAATACAATAATATTATGTGAAAACGTATTATGCGGCGGTCGGTAATTCTGAATTTTCCGTAAGATCATACCTAGGTATTTTTCTCTATTAATATTTCGCCAAAATTGTAAGTTTATGTGTAACAATATTATAATGTGTTGTTTTTGACGCATCGTGCATCATTCCGGTTGCCGGGTGGGTCAGTGCGGGTCTGAGCACACGCCGCAAAAATAAATGAAATGATGAGATTAAAAAAGCCACTGGAATATAATCGAATAAACGCATCAATGAGATTCCCGTTGCACAGATAGGTATATACAATATTCTAACGCGGGAACATTGTGCAAGATCCCGTAACGCGTATTATTATTATTATTGTTGTTGTTGTCGGGACGCGTATTCAAATTATCGTCAGAGGCTCTGCCTAGTGTATTACACCGACAATCGTATCGTAACGGTTGCCGTAACGGAAGACGAGGAGTGACGGCGGAGAAGGAGGAGGAGGAGACAGGACCGAAATAATAATAATAAAATAAAAAACCTAGTCAAGAATGAAAGGGGGAGTGGAGGGGTGAAGTGATAGAGGGACCCCGCGGTCGGCCGGTTGATTAATATAATTGTATCAAAATCAGAGATCCCTACGGCGACGCGAATACGGCGGCAAAACGATATACCTATAAACACGCTGTTGTATATAGAAGATACGCGCGCGATTGTGTACATAAATGAACGGATCGCGACGAAAACCGCGCGAGACATATCATTGTACGGTACACTGTCCGCTATTAAAAGTACGTGACGTACCCTGTACATAATGTACTTTACTTTTATAGCGTGAGCGTCCGGCGTAATATTATTATATATTTTACAACACCAGTGATACAACGAGCGTACTAGAAGGAAAAAACAGGAAAAAAAAAATAAAACGCACCTGTATCGCGACCGTATCCCGCGGCCACCAGCAAGAGGAACACCGCGGTGGCGGCCAAGACTCGCGACGAGCGCGACGTCGTCGCGGCCGCCGCCGGCGTCGTGGTGCCCGTTCGTCGGATCGCCATCGCCCGCGCGCGCATAAATTTGGTGCGGCGCGGTCACTTCAGAACATCACAGCGGCGCGCGTCTCGGACGAACATAAAAAAACTAATGCCGCAGCCACACCGCCGTCGTCTCGGGAGACTGCAGACGTACAACACTCGCGAACGCACTCGCGGATATTGTGCGCGGGAGGGGAAAAAAAAGATACGGAAAAAGAAAATTTTATATTTCTAATCGATTACTACAATTATCGCGACGATAATGATAATTATAATAATATCGCGTGTGTGCGGAAAATATTAATAATTCGAACACGTCGTCGTGGCGCGCGCGCGTACAAGTCACTACGCACAAGGTCGGTTCGGTCGGCGATCACGTCGCGGCACTACCTACTTGTTGACTGTCCGCGTTTGAAACGGCGACTCTGGAATGGGCTGCAACGCCGCCGCCGTCCGTCGCTGCTCTCTCCCCCGTGCGCGCCCGCGCGCACTCGTACCGTCAACTCACCACACGCGCATGCACCGACTATAATATAATAATAATAATAATAATAAAATACAATAATACTCTATACCTATATTACATGCGACGATGACGCGTTTGGCCGAATCGTAATATAAATATTGTACGATTATGTACGTGAACTGGTTCCCGACGGGTCGACGGGGATCACGACGACGATACGTGCCGCAGTAGGGGTAGGGGTCGACCGGCCGCCGCCCCCACCGCCCTATTTTGTTTAGTTGTTTTTTTTTTTCGTTTTTTCCTGTATCGACGACGTCACAAAGCGTGTACACAACCTAACGTAATAATGGCCAGACCAGGTAGGTATTGTACCTGTCACGGGCGGCGGGTGACCGCACCGGAGGGACCGACGCGCGACGACGACGTGCCGCCAAATCGTAACAATGTTGGTGGCGGCAACGGTGCGGGGAAGAGACCCTACGACCGCGAACCGAATAACCGGTAAGTCCGTCTGCCGCAACAGTCGATAACGTATACGAATTGCGGTTATAGGTATTGGATTCATTTACCATGAACTTTAAGAACACAATGTTCGTAAACGGTAAACGTTTAATTTATCGGTTACATATGAAAACTTTGTACAAATATCGTACGCTCCTAGGAGGAAGCGAGGTTCAGGGATTATAATATCCACCCCCGTTAGTTTAAAAATATAAAAATGATGAGTGTTAATTTTAGTAATTTGATCTTAAAATGATAAGTTTAAATATGCAAGTTACAATGCGAAAAACTTGATTCGTCGAACACAAATTTGATTTTTAAGTTCGGTTTTAAATATTTTTTTTCGAGTTATGTATCACAGAAAAAGATTCGAAGGTTTATTTGTAAATCGTGATTATTATCTCATAGCATCCCCTCTCATTGAAAATTCCTGGCGGACTCAATTCCGATACTATGCCTTTTATCGTATTCTTTAATCTTTGTTCTATATTTTAATAAACAGGACCTACCGAGAAATGTCCAGAGTCAGACTAAACTCATATTTTATCTTGTTTCAGTTATAACATCAATTGGATTTTTGATATAATCGGTATATTTTCTGTGAACTCGACACGACACACAACGTCGCTGAAACATCGATGGTATGGTCTGTACATCTATTAACTAATGGACAACATATACCACACCCCCAAATCTATTATATGCAGACGATATAAAACAGAGAAAGATGATCCAAACTAAATTTGTTCGCTCTCAGTTGTGGTGATTTATAGCTTTAGGTAAACCATTTGTGTGTGGCGCCTAACGATATGCCTAACCTTTAAGGCGCCACACGAATTTTTCGACAACCGTAAATATACAAATACATACACTCGATAACATTTTCCCAAACTAATTCGGACCAATTGTTACGCGTCAGTTTTTATATAGCCGTGAAAATCGATTAGGTATTTATTTTATACACAAATCACTAAAACCGAACGTTTTGTAAAAAAAATCAAAATTTTTTAAAACGATATTATTTTAGGGAGAAATGACTGCGAGTAATATTATAGTAATAACCTACTTCTTGAATTTTTATATTAACACTATTTTTTTCCTATAGTGATGATGATATAATTCGTTATACACCGATTTAAGATAACCTTCGTGTATCGAAATTTTGACACACAATAGATCTAAAATAAAAAAATAAAAAAAGGAACAAAATAATTATGGTGCTGTTATACGAATAATCATACAGTGCTGAACTATTTACCGGGATTTATAGTAACAAATTTGGCTAATAATTTAAAACAATAATCATATAACATACTGCAATTTGTTGAAAAATGTAATTAAGGGCCCGCAAAAAGATCTTTCAAAATGTATAATAATTTTAGTATATAACTTGTATAGGTAATATAAACTAAATTTTTTTTTTAATGTGAACACAATATATTAACTTGACTTTTCATTAAGCAAATAATTCGCATAAGTCATGAGGAATAAATCGAACATCGTAAAAATATATATATCATTTTTTATCGACTTAAAACTACCTAGGTAAGTATATAATGACAAAAACAAGCCGATATAACGACTTCAAATTATCTATTTAAATACTTTTAACTACCTACCGAGCATACTTAATAATAGTTATTAGTTTTTATACATTTTCATCATTATTTTTCCTCGTATAGTATGATTACATCAATACTTCAAGTTCTTGAAACTCGAATTGTCGCAGTTAGTCGGATATCTATAGACATAATATGTCACATATTATGTGTACTCATATAAACAAATGTTAAGAATTTCTACGGTATTTATTGATTAAGATAAAATACACGAATAATAAAAATATTTTAATTAAAATGCATTATTTACTTATTTTCTTATGATAGCCGTTAAAAAATTAAATTTTCATCTGTCAAGAAAAATGATCTCATATAAAATCATGTATTAACCTACATCCATCAATCAGTGTGGTATAGACTTATAATTAGTTCCGAACCGCATTGTTTTACCAGAAGCAACAAACATTTCAATACTAAAGTTTGCAGTAGGTGACAGACACCATTTTATTAAATTAAAAAATAGTATTATTTTTAAGTAGTTACCTACTTTATTTAAAAATATCTAATAATAATATTATCACAACAAAACACTTCGCCTACAGCTACGTGTAAAAAAAAGGCCAAGTAAAAAAAAATATCACCAGTTATTACGTATCTCATAAGTGTTCAGCATCATAAAATTGTGATAATATTTGTGTAAGTAAAATTTTTGATTTACTTGGCGAGAGCAAATAAAATTTCCTAAACAGATGTCATAACAGTGTTTAAGAAGATGGAAAGTATTTTAAATATTTATTTATTTATTTAAACATATTTATGCAGCATTATAAAAGTAAAATAATTAGTATATTGTATAACTTTCCTCTCTATTTGCTATTATAGCTGTTGAGGAAATTTTATTTGCTCTCGTCAAGTAAATTGAAAATTTTACTTAGCACCACAAATATTATCACAACTTTATGATGCTGAACACTTACGAGATAAGTAATAACTAGTGATTTTTTTTTTGTTTAATTTTTACTTTACTTTTTTTTTACACGTTGCTATAGGCAAAGTATTTTTGTTGTGATATCAGCTCTTTTTTTCGATTAATTTCAACATGCATCACTGAGAAAATATTGGTTTACAATATTTATTTTTTTTTTGTTGATCTATTGTTAGTTGCAAATTATTATTATTTCAGAATACTTTCGGATTGCATCCTAGCAACGCCTAAAGGAAATTATAATTTACGCATAATTCTATTGATCTACATCATTATCTTTTTTTGGTAAAAATTCTAAACATTAATGTCTATATAACTTCCGCTCTATTGAACCGATTTGCATGAAATTAGAAAAGGTACCTCTCAGTAATATTTTCAATGTTTTAACATAAATTAGAAGTCAATTGATTCTGTAGTTTTATAGTTATGCGTACGCAAAAAATATGAGCCGTTTTACATGTGTTTAAATGGGAACATTGTTGTTCGATATAATATACACTGTCGTTCGCTACACTCCTTTTCTTTTACTTAGCGCGTGCAACTACCGTTGCACTGAATTACTTGCTTTTTTATATTTTCGTATCTATATTATTACAATAATATAATATTATGTTTCTTCTTCGTCTTCTTCTTTTATTTTTCCTTCTCCTTCGTTTTCATCTCAACTATTAGAGATGGCTACCATAGTTCTAAACTTCCATATGACTTGATTTCTCACGTCACCCTCGCGTCCAATCATCTCATTTTTTGCTTTCCTCTTTTTCTCTTTTCTCCTACTTTTATTTTCATTACTATTTATATTGAATCCAATTCCTCTTTTCCTATGACATGTACAAACCATCATAATGGTCTATTTTCTCTCATTTGGTTCACTAACGAAGCTACGTTTATGTTACCTCGTATATGTACTCGTTCCATATTCTATCTTCTACCACATAACACTCCGAACCAGACAACATAATTGGTCCACCACACTCTTTTAGAACTTACCTTTAGGTCACATTGAAATTTGTTCTCACGTAAAACACTTGGCGTGTTTCTTCACTTGATCCAATCACACCTAATAATATATTTCACATATTTATCAAAGCCACCGATCTTTTGTACAAAAATCCTAGGCACTTAATAGTCTTAACCCCATCTATTATGTCACCACTTATTTCCGTTAGCTGTTTTGTTCTGTTCCTCTAAACTAAAATTCTAAACACTTTGTTTTGCTTTTACTTAGCCTAGTTCTTTTTTTTCCAGTGCTACTTACTGTTCTTCAAGTTTATATTATTAACTTCTTCTAAATTTTCTGGTATTAAAACCATAACATCTACATACATCATTCTCTTTTTCTTTGTCTCATATTAATATCCATCATCGAATCCTCAGCTCATTTTTTCCTTTATTGTTTTTATTTTTATACACTCTCTTTTTGTACACTCAATTCTGCCATGTTGTTTCACTCTCACCAGGAATCACTTTACAATCCTATATGTGCTCAACACTTTCTTCGATAAAATTCTCTGTTCTTCTGATAAAA